GCACACTCCTCACTGCACATGCAGCTTCCTTGGGTGCCAGGGCTTTCTCCGTCAATCCCCCGGTCCTCGGCGCGGGCCCGGCGCCGCTCGGGGCGCTGTGCAGCCTTGGCCTTCGCCTTGTGTTGGGTTTAGGGTTTGAGGCTTTTCTAGGTCTGCTTCTTGGGGTGCAGGGTTTAGGTGTGAGTGTGTGTGTGTGTGTGCGAGGGTTTAGGGTTTAGGTGTGTGCGTGTGCAGTTCTGTAACCTACCAAAGAAATAGCGTAATCCGTACTTCTGATAGAGAATCCTCCCCAAAACGGGTGCTCCGCTATTTTCCGAAGCCCCACACAAAACAAAAACCTAAAAACAAGAGAAAACCAACAAAAAAAAGGCATGCCTCCATACCTATATGTTATTCTATATTTCTATGTGCTCCCAGTTTAGGGCTTAGGGGGCCCTAAACCCTGAACCCGAGACCCTGACAGTAGGGCTTACATGCTTTGGGTTTCGGACTCTCGGGCGGATTTCTTTAGGCTTGAAGGGAGAGGGAGCCAATCGGTCCAGGGGTTTTCGAATGCCTTGAAACCCTTCGTTGGCCACCCCGAAACCATAACAGAATTGTAGGGTTTGGCTTCGGGGTGAGGTTTTCCCCTACGCCGTTTCAGGCATGTTCCTTAGCACGTCGTACAGGGAAATGCTGGGCCACCGCCACCGCAGGATATGTTTCGATGGGCACCGGAAATTTGGGATGGCCACTTTCGTGGGGCCTTCTTTCATGAGGAAAAGAGGGTTTCTTTGGTTACCTCAAGTGCCCACATCTATAAGGAATTGCCTGTGTAATTTCGGGGGGCCGCTGAGAAGAAGCTTCGGTTCGAACAACTTAAACCCTAAACCATCTACAGCACTATAGGATATAAAAACCTAAACCCTGAGCCCGCGTCCTCACTAAGGATCTGGCGGCCTGAGTCTTTGCCACAGCTGACGATCGACGCACCTGGCCGAAACCCTAAAGCCCTTAACCTTCAGCCTCCTCCCCCCACAACCCTGCACTCACTTGGAGCTTTCGGGTGCTTCTAACCCCAAATGATAACTGTACTCATTAAGATAAGTCCTCTGGGGTTTAGGGTTTAGGGTTTAGGGTTTAGGGTTTAAGCAGTAGACTTACACTTGGCACCCATGAACCTCCAAGTATACCCAGCATACCCTTTGGCAATGGGCCTTCGGGCATCAGCCGGCTGCAGCCCAACTGGATGCAAGTGAACCCTAGAAGCCTTTCAAGCCCTCTCATCTGAGGGTTGGGGGTCTAGGGTTTAGGGTTTAGGGTTTGGGGTTTGGGGTTTAGGGTTTAGGGATTTCAGTGCCAGGCCTCCTCCGCCTGTCGGAGTCGCCGCTCGGTCGTGGAGTCCAAGGCATTCGCGTGCCTCCCAGGTTTGCGACGACTGTTACTATCATTAGGGTTTAGGGTTTAGGGTTTAGGGTTTAGGGTTTAGGGTTTAGGGTTTAGGGTTTGCTCATGTTTCTTTAACTTGAAACAAAGAATGTGAGAGAGAGTCTGAAAGAGGAGAGCGAGTACTGCTAGCATCGCCAGCTTTCTTGCCGTTAGAACCTTTCATTGCTCGTCTTAGTACTCTTGCTATTCTTACATGCGATGGCGATATCACCCTACTATCACCAGCATTGCTACCCTAAACCCTAAACCCTAAACCCCTAGAAGGGTCTTTTGCTGCCATAAAGTGTAAAGCTTGGATGGGGCGCTGGGGAACGAAGAAACCTCAAGCCTGGGAGCTCCCGGCATCTCCCGAAGGCCATCGCCAGGGGTTTAGGGTTTAGGGTTTAGGGTTTCGGGTTTAGGGTTTAGGGTTTAGGGGCGACATCCTAGACCCTAAACCCTTTAAAAAACCCAAACCCGAAACCCATGCTGACATGGTCAGCAACTTTGAGGGTTGGACTCTTTCCGACTCGCACCCTAAACTCTAAACCCCTGCATTGATACCCCATTCTGACATGGTCAGCTATGTTGAGGGTTGGACTCTCTTCCGACTGGCATCCTGAACTCTAGGGACCGAAGACCCTAAACCCCAAACCCTAAACCTGGCTCATGGTTGCGATAGTATTGAAAATCAAAACTTCTATCCCTTATTGGGTTTAAGTACCCTTAAAAACGTAAAATGTTCCCCAACTATGACAAAGAAACCCTAAACCCTAAACCCTAAACCCTAAACCCTAAACCCTTCTGACATGGTCAGCATTTTTTGAGGGTAGGACAGCTCAGGCTTGAGGGGTCCGGGCCAGGGGTCTGAGGAGTCCCTAAGACTCAGAATTTTCCAAAAAGGGCCCGATTCCTGAAGGTTTAGGATTTCGCCACCCGCACTGCACTTTAGGGTTTAGGGTTTAGGGTTTAGGGTTTAGGGTTTAGGGTTTAGGGTTTAGGGTTTAGGGATTAGGGATTAGGGCTGCTTGTCGAAACAGCGCACAACACCTAGCATCCTGAATTGCAACCTACATATAACATTTCTTGCTTGCTTGCCAGGCGTATGACCCCACGAGGGGGCCACCCCGATATAACATTTCTCTCTCTCTCTCTCTCTCTCTCTCTCCCTCCTGTCTCCTGCACGCATGCCCCCCCCCCCGAAAGAGGAGGCCGCCCCCAGGGGCGCGTGATAACATTTCTCTCTCTCTCTCTGTCTCTCTCTCTCTCTCTCTCTCTCTCTCTCTCTCTCTGCCGTGCCATGACGAAATGGTGTCACGCAGCAAAGGCAAGAAATTAGATGTTATACATATTTATAGATAGTCGATGTTATACATATGTATATCTATATATATATATATATATATGTGCACAGGAACAATGCTCAAGGAACGCATAATGGTCCACACCCATACCCCTAAACCCTAGACCCTGAAATCCCTGTCTGTGGCCCCCAGCAATCGCCAGGACAGCCCGCAATGGCGGCACTTGTCCTGCCTGGGCAAGGTCTCTTGGGGTGCTGGCACCTGGCACCTGGGGGGCGTCTGAGTCTAAGGTCGAGTCCTTTGAAGAACGTCGTACCCGTACACCCTACAAGCGATGAACTCGAAACCTTAAGCAAAACAACGCCCTGCGATCCATGGCCCGCCTGCCACTCCACTAGCCGCAAAGTGCGCAAGGGCCAACATCGAAGACCCTGTAGAAGCCCCTTGTTTTGAGCGACCCTAAACTGTAAACCCCCAAACCCTGAACCATTTTTCCCAGGAACGTCGCCAAACCCTGAACCCTGAACGATGAACCATCCCCTAAACCCTAAACCCTAAACCCTAAACCCTAAACCCTAAACTCTAAACCCTAAACCCTATGGTCCTGAAGACATTGGACTCGAAGCTATTGCATCCTGCCGGATTCTGCTGGAGATCGCTGGCCATGGCGCAGAGGCATTGGGAGCCCAACTTGTTTGGTGGCGTGGTTGAGTTTGTTTGCTGAGGGTTTGGGGTTTAGTTTTTTTGTTTTGCTCAGGGTTTAGGGTTTGGGGTTCCTGGGAGTATGTAAGAAGTTCTTCTGAAAGGCTGCGTTGTTGAAGGGTGCCCAATTCATGGGTATTTAAATTAGCTCGGATCACCGGAAACTTTTGTGCAGAAAGTTGGACTTCAGCGGCTCATGTTATTCTTGGGGACTGAGGGACTTTGGTACACTTATGACCTTATGTGCTCACTTGAGGGGTAGATATCGGGGGGATATGGGTGGGCATGGCTTCTGTGTTCTGGGTTCTCTTCCCTCAACGCAGAACTCGCAGCTTTGCCGTGAGACCTAGCGCAGTCCTGGGCCAATGATTTGGCAAGCTTCTACAGCAGGGGCCACACTGGGCTAGATTGCGATGAAGGCCCATGGATGCAGGGTTTAGGGACCCGGCTACATGGGGGTGGCCTACCTGCTCAAAACAATCGGACCGCAGAGTGGACATGGTCACAGAGCAGCTGCAGGGGTGCGACTGTCTAAACGCCCAAGCTCGGCTGAAAGGAAATCAGGCGGCACATTACACGGGCGTTTGTCAAAATTATGAGTTTTTTGGGGGACCCTAAATATTACGTGCCGTATTGTAATAGGGATCCAAGAAGGGACCATGATTTTGCCATCCACCCACATGGCATGTTCTAGCACTCTAGCAGAAGATCACCCTCGGGTGCTGTTTTTAGAAGCACGCCGACTTTACTCGGAAGATCAAAACAACCCTTTCGCTAGCGGATGCAAGTGAATACGGAAAGCCATACGCTTGGCCTTGTCGGTGCAGGAGCAGTGAGGCGAAGCCCCTTCAAACCTTTTTAAGGACAAATAGTGCTGGGATTACCTATACTTTACTCGTAGGGATTAAGGCTATTGAGTTTCCAACTGGCTTCTTATAAGCCCTGAACCCTAAACCCTGAAACTCTAAACCCCAAAGCCTCTGCATCCCAAATTCTCTGGAGGCAGCATGCTGTGTGCGCCTTTCACCCTGCATGTCTTGGCGATCCGCAGCTGTCACCAGCTGTCGTGTACACTATCATCTCGGCTCGGGAAAGCTGCACAGCTTTGGGAGCAGGAATAAGACGGATAAGGACGATGCCATCACGAAGAAAAGTCCCATTACGCATCGACTCTTGCATACTCTTATACCAGTCGGTGCAAGCAGGGTGCGAGGTATTCTGGGACTCTTCTTCTGATGAGCACTTCTGTGGATCTAGCATGCAGCCTGCTTACAGAACGCGGTACAGGCATACTTTAACGCGACTGTGTCCGAATACAGCACAACTGATACGTCATGGAAGGCAGCACTGGATCAAATGCCAGCCGCTGGACGATGTGCTGGGCATCAATGTACAACTCAGCAGAGGGTTGGCGTAGCCCTTGCTGCCTCGGTACAGGGATAAGACCGGGTCTTAGACGTGCAGTGCTGGAGGGCTCGGGACCTCAACCAGCACCCGCTCTCTGAGCACATCGCCAGACGTGCATGAAGATACCCTTTTTTTCTTCCCTTTTTGCTCAACCTGCCCATGTTCGCTGCACGGAAGCTGCTACTCGATTCTTTGCATGGGCGCAGACAGATACGGCTTCAGCAGCTGGCCGAGGAATTTCTGCTGCTCCAGTTTCCCGAGCTTTCGCCAGTCGTAGTAGGGAATCTCGATGACCTTCCAACCGGAAGCACGCAAAAGCCTTATGCGAAGAGCTGGAAGCTGCTGCCACGGAATACCCGGTGAGGCATCCAGACCTTCGCCTCCGTCGACGTTGAACCAGCTTTGCTCATCCTCGAGCATCTCATCACCTATGAAGTCGCCAGGGATGGGTCCATGATCTAGTTCGCTCTCAGGGTTCCGACCCCAGCCTTCGGACCCCTCTGCCCAGGCTTCACGGGGACCCTCGAAGAGGTGGTTCTTCAAGCCAACTTCCACTGCCACCTCCCAGGCAGGCACGGCCAGCCGCACGTCGCAGCACGGGGCCATAAACTGCCCCACGACGGCTGGCGGCCCAGGCGCCTTGCAGCGGGCGGCCAGCAGTTTCTCCAGCGCCTTAAAGACACTGCGCTCATAGGACTGAAGATCGTTCATGGACTGGCTCAGGATGGCGACTGCATGTTGTGGCCTCTGAACTTGCCGGAAGCGTGTTGCAGCCGCGGCCGTGAGTTCAGCGGCTTGGACCCCAAACTCCATTGAGGCAGAGGCCACAACCATGCGGGCTGTCTCTCCGGTCAGGTTGCAGCTCTCCAGCTGAAGCCAGGAGTCCAGGCTCTGCTTTAGCAGAGCCTGCCGGAGCTCTCCAGCCTGCGAATCTGCGTCGGATTCCAAAGGCGGCGACGTGCGCTTTGGTGGCCCCCAGAAGGCGATGCCCAGCAGCAGCTGGCGCAGAGCCCGCTCCCCAAGTCTCGGCACAGCATCGACCTGCAGAAGTGCCTTCATGGCCCGGACGAGGAACTCTAGAATGGAATCCCGATACTTGGGCTGCACCGAGTCCGGTGCTCCCAGCTTCACATATGCGTAGACTGCTTGAGGCAGGTCCTCAGCGGGGAAAGGCAACTGCCCAAGCCCCGTCAACAGCTTGGTGGCGGCGGCCTCCATGGCCTGGGAGGCGTTCGTGGCCAGCGCGGCCAGGAGGCGCCAGTCCCTGAGCCCCACCAAGGCCCAGATTCGCAACACGTCGGCCTGGTCTTGGAGTGACAGCAAGTTTCGGGCCAAGGCCAACTGGACGCTGATACTCAGCCTGCGAAAGCGATACCTGAGTTGTGACACAGGGATAACTTGACGCAGCTGCGCCAAGGAGTTTGCGACGGCCACTATCTCAGGCCCTCGATGTCGCAGGCGCCTTTCGGATGACTGCAAAATATCTGCAGCCACTGCGGCGTCGCGGTGGAGAACTCCACAGCCGTGCAGGTTGCTCAACAGCTTTGCCAGATCGCGTGGCGAGTAGTTCGTGGATGTTTTCCTGAGGTGTGATACGGCAGCATGGATCAAGTCTTGTGGAGGGCGCTTCTGGGCGACAAAGGGGTGCAACACCTGCGAAACTTGCCTTGGCGTCCAAGCACTTGACCCTTGCTGGAGCGCGGAAGCTGCATGCTCACCCAGCAACTCCAAGTGATTCTCACACCAGCCTTGCGCCAAGCTCTGCTGCGCAGTCCCAATGGCAGATGAGAACATGGAGAAGTCCTCCGCCGAAAAGCTGGCAAAGCGGGTGGCCGCCGCGGCGGTGAGGCCGCTCAAGAGCCCCTCACTGAAGTGCCGCAGCTTGACAAAGGCCGCCGCGCTGGCGCTCAAGCCCTGCGGGCGCAACTCCTCCACCTTGACGAGGATCTGGGCCTCGAGCCTGTTTAGAAGAGCAGACCTGAACTCCGCCGCGGAGCTGTCCACCAAAGCCGAGGGCGTGGCGAGGGTGGTGAATGTGGTGGGGGTGGTGGGGGTGGTGGCAGGAGAGACCCGCGCCAACGCGCACACGACGTGACAAACAGCCAGGCCACCAAGAGACGGAGCAACATCCACGACCTGTTCCAGGAGGGCAGAGAAACTGCGTCGGGTGTCCTTCTTCACATAGCGCAGCTTGGCCAAGTCAGCCACTGCAAGCGACAGTTCGGCCGGGCTCAGGGCATAGCGAGCAGGCCCCTCTGGAGAGCCCAGCACCTTCGCAGCAAAGTGGTCGGACCACTCGTCTAAGAGCACCCGGTCATAGATGTTAGCAGAGGCGAATCCGTGCAGAAGCTCGCAAAGGCTGGCACCGGAGAGTGTGGACATCATCTCGAGCATCTGAGGCAGGAGCGGCTCTATCGCAGCTTGACGCGCGGGGACACCTTCAAGCTTTGAGTATGCCGAGATGATGGATGCAAGATCACGAGGCCGCATGTTGTTGGACCTCCAGTTTCGGGTCACCTCTCTCTGTATCTGCAGGAGGGAGCTGTCATCCAGCAGCTTGAGTGCTCCCAGATCCAACAAGGCACTTGCAAGTTGCCGTGGGGAGCAGAGGGGCAGCTCCTTCACCAGTCTGGTGCGGAGCCAGAGCGCGAATGGCTTTGAAGGATTTGGGGCTGTAGCCATGCCTAGACTCCCCTTAGAAGCTTTAAAAAAAACCATATGTTTAACATCCTCTTGGGTTTTACATGAACAAAGATTCAAAAAAACAATTCTCAAGGGGGATATAGATGCTGTCCGAGACTAGGGCCACTGATCTCAGCAAGGAGATGAGTCCAGTGGCTTCCACTCGCTCCCCGGAGTCCTCCAGACCTTGCAGGCGCGTGTGAACTGCGTCCAAGACTCGTTCCTGCGACAAACCTATACTGAACTTGGAACCCTAGCACAAATTATAACCTCTGCTGTTTCTTAGGAGTTATAGTGCTCAAAAATTAGAAAATTGTTTCCAAGTACCCCACAGAAACCCATGGCTTGCAAGGGCTTGCGAAAAACAGCAGCAAAGCGGCAGATCTGTGCAACGTCGATGGCTGTGAGGCATCTGAAGGAGATCTCTGGATGAGTGTGGCCGAAAATTTGATCCACCAAGGAGCCAAACCCTGGCACCCAAACCTCTGCACGTGCCAGAGCGCTAGCTGCCAAACAAACGTGCCTGCTCTGGCCAGCAAGGCTGCAGGAAATCAGCTTCCCGGCCATGAACCGGATGAAAGGCTCGTCCCGCGACACGGCCGCAAAGTGATTCACCACCAGTGCGGACTCTGCAGGTGTGCGCGCCAGTCTTCCCGCCTGTCGAAGCAGCGAGAGCGCCTTCGGGTCGTGGGCACCAGACTGCGAAGCTGTTTCGCAAAGTTTTCTGAAACTGACGAGGCCGCCAGGACCCGCAGGCACGGCAGCCTTGTTAGGATCTTTCTGAACATCGACCTCTTGCAGTTCTCGCCTGACCTTTCTTCCGAGGAGCACAGGAGGCCGGCCCCGCAAGAGTCGAACCGGGCTCTGGGTCGCTACCGCACGCGCATCTGGGCCAATTCCGCAGCGACGGTACAGGCACCACATGGGACGAAGGCTCGTAGCTGGCGCCCAAGAGCGCACTTCTGCCAAGTGCGCTCCATCACTGCATGCCGTGACATGTGTCGGGGTTTACGACGATAGGGGACCCTCAACACCAGTAGCAGAAGGGATTCCCCTTTTTGTAAGGACCCCAATAAGGCACCCCCCTAATTTTCCGACAACCCCCCCCCATAGGCGAAGTCTGGACCCCAAGATCCTGATGTCAGGGGTTGTCATCGGGTTGTGTGATGTCATGCTGCGTTCGGGTGATTCCTGCCACTCGCTGGAGCCAAAACTGGCTACGCCAAGGGCTCAGGGCTCCGGGTCCCTAAACCCTTTTGAGTCCTGGGCTCCGGACAATCTTGCCTGAACCCTTTTGAGCCCTAAACCCTCAACCCCTGAACCCTCAACCCTAAACCCTTGGCGTGCGCTCTGCTCTGTGCTTCGCACAAATCATCCCATCCAGGTGCCAAAGCCGGTGGCGCACTCGCGCAGCTTCCCTGGCCAAGCACTCGTGGGCTCGGCGAAAGGTTTGGGGTTCAGGGCCTTTTTTGCCGCCCGCCTAGCGGAGCCAGGGTTTGGTGTTTCGGGCTCCGATACCGTTTTTCAGATGTAACAAGGGGCGGGGGAGGGATTCGCAAGAGCAGAGCCTGGAGCACGAGTTAACTGAAAGCTCCCGCCCGCGAACTGGAAGCAGAAGACGAATAGTTCTTGGGATGTTCCCCCTGATACTAACAGTCCGGAAGAGGGCGGGATGTTGGTACTACTATCATCCCTATTAAGGACTGTTAGTTTAAGGGGGAGCATCCCAAAATAGTTCTCTCAAAGGTTCTTTCCACTGCAAGGAACCCTGGATTCTGACGCCAAACTCGCATGATTTCACCCCCCCCTGTAACCCGTGATGACCATTGCTACCCGACCCATGCAGCGCTTTCTACCCGACACCCCAAATCCACCCCCAACCTAAACTCTCACACCCCCAAAAACCCCAAACCCCAAACCCTAAACCCCCTGGGGTGATTTGGGGTTCTAGGGTTCAGGAGTTGAGGGCTGAGCTTAGGGCTACAAGGGGTACAAGGGCTTAGAACGCATAAGCCCGGAGCTGCAATCAAGAAGTTCATGCGGTTTAGGGTTTGGGGCGTAGGGTTTAGGGTGTCGCAACCCTAACCCTAAACCGTTTTTGCAACTGGGCTCGCGGACTGGCAGCCAAGCAACCCTAAACCCTAAGGGTTTTGGGGCTCTCGGGCTCGAACCATCAACATCCGGAGCATCTTTCTGCAACAGGCCCTCGTCGTCACTGATGAAGACCTGGTTGGGTTTACGGCTTGCAGGGTTTCATAGGCTTTGGGAACTGAGGACGTTAGGGTCTTAAGGGTGCCCCGGTCAGTTTAGAAGGAGGATGGCTCTGTGCAGATAGGTTGGCCCCTTAGATCTGAAAATATTCCTAGATATGATCCCTAAACCGTAACCCTAAACCCGAAACCCTAAACCCCAAACCAGAAATACCAAGCAAGGGCCTGCCCCCCCCAAAGAGCCCCTAAGGTCCCTACAAAGGGTCCCTCCTTTAGTCCGTTAAGGGATGCCCCCATTTGGTGCCAATTCCCCCTCAATTCAACTCCCCTGTCGCTCCGAAACTGGGAGGCTTGGTCCTGGAACCCGACCCGTCAGGGCCCCACAGGCTTTTGGTTAGAGGCTTAACAAGGGTTTTGGTGGTGAGGAGTTCAAACCATCCACTGCCCTCCACACTATCCTAAACCCTAAACCCTGAACCCTAAACCCGAAACCCGAAGCCTGCCTTCTGCCGCAGAATGTTCGGTGACGGGGCCAACCTGGTCTCAAAAAAGGCCCTGGTGAGTTGAACAAATCGGGCTTCGTTTGGTTTAGGCTTAGCTTGGTAGACCCCTAAACCCCAAGCCGCTTTACCCTAAACCCTAGCCCTTAACCCCATTGTGGGTTTAGGGTCCAGGGTCTGGGGTCTAGGGTCTGAGGGCGAGATTTTATCCCCCTAAACCCTAAACCCCAAACCCTAAACCCATTTTAAAAGGTCTGAGGGGGAGCTGGGTCAGCGCTTGGAGGCCTTCCGTGCCTTCGCAGGTTGTGCAAGGGCGCCTTTTTTTTGTTCCATATGGGGGTCTACGAAAATAGGAGCCACAAATAGTAGGATCCCCTTATGCCCTTATAATAAGGACCTCAATAAGGTACCCCTAGTTGGGAAACCCCCATGTCCCTGTAATACGATTGATAGTAGAAGTTAGGGCTCTTCATCCACAAACCCTAAACCCTCTCTACCTATATATACTTAAACCTTAATGGGGTCGTCGGGCGATTTTGCACTTTCGTGGTTCCTAAATCCTAAATCCTAAATCCTAAATCCGAAATCCGAAATCCTAAATCCTAAACGGCCTTTTCCCGAGGGCCCCCCGGGACAGGTCGTCCCGGCGTCCGCCGCCGGGGCTCCCCCGGGGCAGGTTGTCCCGGGGCCCCCCCGGGACAGGTTGTCCCGACCGTGCCGGGGCGTCCCGGGGCCTCCTTGGGACAAATGTCCCGGGCCCCCCCGGGACAGCGCGGGACAGCTGTCCCGGGGCCCCCCCGGGACGCCCCGGGGCCTAAAATCCTAAATCCTAAATCCTACATCCTAAATCCTAAATCCTAAATCCTAAATCCTAAATCTTACATCCTGCATCCTAAATCCTAAATCCTAAGCTTTTTGAAGTATTTCTAGTTTTTTTAAAGCTATTTGGGGCTGTGGTGGTTCTTTGGGGTAAAATGGAAGGGCCCCGAAACCATCGATTTCAGTACTAAAAAAACAGCACTTTTCATTGCGGGAGCAGCAAATCCCGGGCCCACCCCCTTTTGGGGGGTTTGGTTGGAAGCTTTTTGGGGATTTTGAAAGCTATTTGGAAAATGGAAGGGCCCCGGAACCGTCGATTTCAGTACTAAAAAATAGCACTTTTCATTGCGGGAGCAAGCAAAACCTGAGTTCCACTCTTTTTGGGGTGGATTTTGAGGCCTTTTGGGGCTTTTGAAAGATATCTGGGGCTTTTAGGATTTAGGATTTAGGGTTCAGGGGACTTAAGCAATAAGAATTGAAATGGTAGATAGGGTTGCCAAATGAAAGGGATTCTGGTGGGTGGGGGTGATGCCAAACACCCTTAGTGAATGCTTGGATCAGAGATGCTGAACCCTAAACCCTAAACCCTAAACCTTAAAACCCTAAACCCTTTTCTTCTGGCACCTGATGTTCTGCTTCTCCTCACCGCCCTCCCAGGAAGTACCTCCGTCACCATCAACAGCAGAACGTCATGTGGGGGGGCCTGAACTATTTAGAATGGGTTTAGGGTTTAGGGTTTAGGGTTTAGGGTTTAGGGTTTAGGGTTTAGGGTTTAGGGTTTAGGGTTTAGGGTTTTGCGGGGGTGCTTATAGGTGTAACTATATAGGAGCCATAAGGGAATACTCTTCGTAATTCGTAATGATTCCGACCCCTTACATGAAGGCATCGTTTAGAGTCGGTTTCGGACGTGAGGTCTAAGATTTCGGTGCCACTTCTGCTGCCACCTACCTACGTAGCCACATTCCTAACCTTCTCACATGGCCCCCGGTTCCCTGCAAGCTCCTGGGTTCTAGGGTCAAAAAATCATTTTCTGAAACCCTAAACCCAAGGAGGAAGAAGACAAGACGCCGAACTCGCCCAGGATGAGGCCGACTCGGGGGTTTACGAACATAAGGGATCCCTTGATAACATAAAGCCCAAACTAGTAGGAGTCTAAGAACGACCCCAATAAGCGCGAAACCCTAAACCCTAAACCCTAAACCCTAAACCCTCCTAAACCTTTTAACACGGCACCCCCCCCGAAGGTGGGAAACCCCCCGCCACTCAAGTGCCGGGGGCACGCCAAGGCTCCCGTAGGGACTTCTTGGCTCGCCGGAAGGCCTCCTTCACCTCCTCGCCCTGCCATGGCCTCATTCTCTAAGGGTTAGGGTTTAGAGTTTAGGGTTTGGGGTTTGGGGTTTGGGGTTTAGGGTTTAGGGTTTAGGGTCAGGGTTTAGGGTTTAGGGTTTAGGGTTTAGGGTTTAGGGTTTAGGGTTTAGGGTTTAGGGTTTAGGGTTTAGGGTTTAGGGTTTAGGGTCCATGGGTCATGGAAGTGAGTCCTGGTCGCTGGCCTCAGGGTCAGCTGCCCGTCCGCGCCACGATGCAACTCCCCGACCACCTTGCATCAAGGAAGTCTTCAGAAGAAATAACCGGAAGACCGAGAGACCGTTATATTCGACCCAGGAGTCACCTAGAAATAAGAAGGGTGCCCGTTTTGGGTTAAAGGGGCTTTTCAGGGAACCCTAAACCCTCAAAAAATCAATCAGGGACTCCTCCGGGTCCTAGCCCTTGCAGTTCCTATGTTTCGAGGCCCCCCTCTGGCCAGTATCCTTACAGGGTATAGGGGTTGTTGGGTTTAGGGTTTGGAGTCTCTATTTTCGAAAGGGACTCCACTTGGGTGTTGTTGAAGACAAGTCCTCGAAGAAATCAGCCTAAACCCTAAACCCTAAACAGTCTCACGTGAACTGGCCAAGCGCTGCACGGTCACCACGGACCCTACTCGCAGGGAACACTCCTGCACGTTCAGGGTTTGGGGTTTAGGGCGGCTGACGCTTGCTCTGTAAACCTGGGGTGTAGGGTTTAGGGTGCTACCTAGCAAAACCTGCTGCCAGGAGGATGCGAGCTGTTCAGGCGATTCAGCGTTTGGCCCCTCTCCTGGAATTCCAGGATCGCATCATCAGCACCTGGGTACAACCGCGTGTGTGGCTGAGCAGTTGCGGCCTGGAGCGGCACTGAACTTGAAGAGCAGCTGTACTTGGAGGTTTCATGGGTAGTGATAAGTAGGGCTAGAAGTACCCGAAATAAGGTTAGAACCAACCCCACATGGCATGTTATGAGACTCCCCACGAGCCTTCAAGTAACATTCCGGATTTGCACACTCCCCTGCCGCACTTGGTCACGGACGGAGTGACGAACTGGCAGCCCACTCTCGACCTGCGCGGAACCAACGGGAGGTTTCTCGCATACCTGACCGAAAACCTAACTCCGGGTGATACATGGGATTTACCCCAAGTATACGATGTCCCCCCTACGCTGGGGGAACCAGGTACGTTACCCGAGCCAACCACAGGAAAAAGTAAGTGGCGCTTTGGGCCATGCTGCAGATGAATGAGCAATCTCATCAATGCACAACCCATGCAACTTTGCGCAGCATCCGGCAAACAACCCTAAACCCTACACCCAGTAGCACCTCCACACCGCGCTGTTAGTGGAGCATACACAGCCTTAGTGAAGCCCCACGGCATTTGTGAGCGCTCTGCCTTGTGGGGCGGCAGAGCGGTGGGTGAGCACGAAGTCCTGGCTTTGATCTTTGATCTTCGGGTCCCTCAGCCTGGACTCATGCTTTGCCTCAAAAGTCGAACTTCAGCCGTCTGACCATGACCCCTGAGCCCTATTGAATCCGGTAAATCACTTGTCTCTCCCCTAAACTTTGTAGGCCCTTGACGCAGCCGCGCAGTGCCCGCAGCGGCCCATTCGCCACCGGAGGCACATGGACTTTCCAGTCAAAAGCAGTGAAATAGAGGGGGGCCCTTTTTGGAAAGCATGGGAGAGCCCTTTGTGCCACATAAACCTTTTTGAACCCTAGACCCAAAACCCTAAACCGGAGATTCTGTGGGGGGGGGGGGGGGAAAGGGTCATTTTAGGTGGCTTGCAGGTTCTACGCTTTCCCCTTTAAAGTTTATGGGTTCTAAGATTCTATCGTTGAGCAAGGAGGGCCAGATAGGAAGATCCCTAAACCCTAAACCCTTTGCATCCAGCGTTTAGGGTTTGGGGTTTAGGGTTTAGGGACCCTAAACCCTAAACCCCAAAACCCACCTGCCCATGGTCCTGCCAATTGTCCTGCGCAGCCCCGAAGGTCGTCGCTTCCTCAAAGCGTCCCTGCACAGTGTCCTTGGCTTCGAGCCCAAAGGATGAGGGTTTAGGGTTTAGGGTTTAGGGTGTAGGGTTAGGGATTAGGGAGTTTTTTGTTGCTGTAGGGTTTTCGTACCGTTTTGTTGCTTTCAAAAGGGCATGGGCTGTGACGTACGAAAAGGCTCTCTGATTCCTACTTTAACCCTACCTGAAAGGCTTACAAGGGCCCTCTTCGGATTCAGGGATGGATTGCTCTGTGAGCTCAGACTTGCAAGTGGGCAAGTGCCTTGTTTTCATCCGGGCGCCCACAACTTGTGCTAGCGGAAAGCATTTCGTGCTTTTGGGTGCTGGCATCCGAGTGGCGAAGAGGGACACGTCGCGGCCCCGCACGACGATGCCTCAGAAGCTTGATCACACACGGACCGAGTTGTGAAAGTTTCATTTCCCGGACGGGTCATAACCTACAAACACCTAAACCCTAAACCCATTTTACAACTGGGTGTGGCAAGTCTAAACCTAACCCTGACACCCTAAACCCTGAAGATAACCCTACAGTAAACCTTAAACTTTGTTGCTAAACCCTAAGCCCTGACCATTTTTCAAACCAGGCTCCTCTCCTGCCAGCTGGGGTCGCGCCGCACATGTAAACCCTAAACCCCTAAACCCCTAAACCCCTAAACCCCTAAGCCCCTAAGCCCCTAAGCCCCTAAGCCCCGCAGCCCCTAAACCCCTAAGCCCCTAAACCCCTAAACCCCCAAACCCGAAGCCCTACACCCCAAAATAAGGCAGTGCCGAGGGCGCCGCGCGACTCCGGATTGTCGAGGAGACTCACGACAAAGTCGACGCTGGACCTCGACATGAAATCTTGACGTGAAAGCCGCGCACCTTACTTACAGATTAATACATACATACACACACACAGAGAGAGATATATATATATATATACATATCTATATATATGGTCCGGCGTCTGGCGTGTCCGGCCCCCCCGCCCCCCCATGGTATGGTCAGGTAGAAGGGGGGGGGGGGGGGGGCCGACTGTGAGCACACCCTCGGCAAAACCCGTGTGTTGGGAGTGTTGCGCCTTCGGTTGAGGGAGCACGCCCTCGGGAAAACCCATGTGTGTGAGGCGTTTATCCCCCCCCCCCCCCTCCAGGTCTACGGTCTCTAACCCTAAACCCTAAACCCTTTCAAACCCTAAACCCTAAACCCTAAACCAACCCTAAACCCTAAACCCTAAAACCAACCCCCAAGCACACCACAGGGGGGGGGGGTTAACCCTAAACCCTAAACCCTTTCAAACCCTAAACTCTAAACCCTAAACCCTGAACCCTAAACCAACCCTAAGCCCTAAACCCTAAAACCAACCCCCAACCACAACCACACCACAGGGGGGGGGGGGGGGTTAACCCTAAAACCCTTTCAAACCCTAAACACTAAACCCGAAACCCTAAACCGTAAACAACCCGAACCCTAAAACCAACCCCAACCACACCACAGGGGGGGGGGGGGTTCCAGACCATGGGTGGGGGGGGGAGGGGGGGGGGGGGGGGGGGGGCGGGGAGCACTGGACCATAAATATATATATATACATATATATATATATATATGTGTGTGTATACATACATGTACTTGTATATGTGTGTGTGTATGTTCCGGCGCAGTTTTGTGGGAGGGCTAACCTTTCTTCCTTGTGTCTCCAGCACCAACGTATGCCAAGTGGCAGTTGGGCAGCTCTGCTACTCAACCATAACACATATCTATATATGTACATGTATAATATAAGATGTCTTTATATAAGAACCATCTCTCCCAATTCCTTGAAGATGCTTGATGAGAACGTGTTCCTTCCTCTTGGAATTAGTCCCACCACTGGGGCCGCGGGGTTGAAAACTGATGCACTCGAAAGGGGTTTAGGGTTTAGGGTTCAGGGTTGAGGGTTTAGGGTTTAGGGTACGCGGGAATTCAAAGTCCTATGTCTTGTATAGGACTATATCAGGCTCAAAAAACCCTGGAAATCTCAAAACAAAAACGAGGTTCAAACCCCTTTTTCCCCCAAATCACCCAAAAAACCGAGAATCTCAGTTCCATGCGCCGAGAACGCTATGGGAACCGCAGGCCTCAGTGGAACGGAACGCGCCCCTCAATTCGCTCAAAATGGACTCAATGGACTCAATCCAAAAGGTTTAGGGTTCAGGGTTTAGGGTTCAGGGCTTCGGGTTTAGGGTTTAGGGTTCAGGGTTTAGGGTCTAGGGTTTAGGGTCCCACACGTGCTCCATCGGCCTTCCAGGCTGCTGATACCCTTCGCGGGATCGCAGCTGAAACCCAGAGACCGGTGGCCTGAACATTCCCATAGTTCGTCCGGTGTCCCAGAACCTCGCCTAAGCTATTCGTAAGATGACGTACGCCCGCCCGTGCTCGGCTCACGACATGCCGTCGTGGAGCTGCTTCGACCTCTGCGCGCACTCAACTGAGTGAGACGATATAGGAACCTCACAAACACCCATGAGTACTCTTCATGGGTTTCCCTACTACGCCCCTCCATAACAACCCCCCTAGGTTCCCCCCCTTAAATTACCTTAATTGTCCCTAAACATCCGTCGAACCCACTGCCGCTCGCAAGCTCTTCAGGGACGTGAAGCAAAGGAGGAAGGGGTGAGGTCTCTCGACCCTAAACCCTATAGACGACACTACTCTTAAGCTGCGTCCGCCTTGAGCATCCTAAAGCTATATCCTTGAAGGTTCCTGAGTGCTTAGAAGTGGGGATATAAGTACCCTAAACAAGGTCATAAGCGTAGTTACCCCCTACTCATAAGTACCTCCAAGTAGGGTTCTTCCTAGGATGAATCTCCCCTTACTAGAGCATGTCTTCCGCGAGTCCTAAACCCTAAACCCTAAACCCTAAACCCTGATGTTCCAACCACCTCTTAGGTCTCGGGCACCGCGGCCGAGTGAAGGACGCAGCTGTGCCCTGGACAGTGGCGGCTTCGAGTAGGCCAAGGAATATCGAAGCTCAAAGAAGCGGATCTCTTTTGGGGATGTTACCCTTTTATATTGTAGGGAATTGTAGTAGAAGGTACTAGACATCCCTATTCAGGATCCCTATATATTCCTCTGGCCGAAGCCTTCTTGACATCCGCAAGTGCCCAAAGCTTCAAGCATCGGCACCTGTCAGAGGAGCGGTCAGGGCTTCGCCCTGCTCTGCACCTTCCACCTGGCAAGAGGCGATCGGACGCTTGGACGCCGGCTTTGCAGTTGAGGGGGCAGGTTTGTTTGACAAGGGTCGCGGGTTCCCGGCAAGCTTGACTGCACCCATAATCCCCCCAAAGGAAAACACTAGGATCCTCCGGATCCCGACAATTGTTCAGCTTATGGTTTCCTCCGGTGGGCATGTGCCAGAACAAGTCCAAGGACCCCGCGGAGGTTCGAATCAAACATGATACACATCTGATGGCTTCCGAAATTGGCGCACCTTATTGGGGTCCTTATAGACAGGGAATCCTACTATCTGGGGGACCATATTAGGAGTCATGCCCCATATGGTCATACATCGAGGCCGTACCTCCTCAGCACCCGATCATAATCGGCACACCTTGAGCCACAAAACCGTAAGGTCAGCCTTCTACACCTTCGAAGCCCCCTGTCCAACCGCTCGACCCCCTTTGGGTGGGTATGGTCTACAAAAACATAATCATAGGTACTCCAAAAAGGAACAACCATTGGGGTCTACGCTTTAAACCCAAAAAATCCGAAAGAAGCCTTCACCCCAAGCCCACACACAGTACCCTAAACCCTCAACCCTAAACTTACACAAATCCCCAAAACCCCTATGTGGACCTCCTACAGGACCCTGATTTAGAGAACTCCCCACATCCCAAGGAAGGGACTCAAGGAGGGACCCTTACGGTAAGGGTTTAGGGTTTAGGGTTTAGGGTTTAGGGTTTAGGGTTTAGGGTTTAGGGTTTAGGGTTTAGGGTTTAGGGTTTAGGGTTTAGGGTTTAGGGTTTAGGGTTTAGGGTTTAGGGTTTAGGGTGTTGGGGTTTAGGGTTTAGGGTCCAGGGTTTAGGGTTTAGGGTCCAGGGTTTAGGGTTTAGGATTTATGTTGGGGCTACTCAGGTATATCAGGACTGTATGAGGTACATATAGGGGTTACATAGGGGAATAAGATTAAGGGTCCCTCAGGGGGCCCTCCTTACCCTAAACCCTTTGCGAGGAGGGACTGCAGTGCGATTTGCCCTAAACCCTAAACCCTAAACCCTAAACCCTAAACCCTAAACCGTAAACCCTATTCCATACCCCAAACTTTCGCCGGGCCAAGGGCCGAGCCTGCACTTCCAGGCGAAGCACCCGCTTCGAGCCTCGGGCTTTTGGGCGTTGGACTTCTCAGGTCCGGGTTTCGACTCTGGGGCAACTACATCCCGGCCAGGCAGGTCCTCGTCGCATGCTCTCTGCGCAGGACTCTTCCAGCTCTCGGTTTGGGGCTCAAAGAGACTACGGCTAAGGTTTAGGGTTTAGGGTTTAGGGTTTAGGGTTTAGGGTTGAGGGTTGAGGGTTTAGGGTTTAGGGTTTAGGGTTTAGGGTTTAGGGTTTAGGGTTTAGGGTTTAGGGTTTAGGGTTTAGGGTTTAGGGTGTCCGCAAGAATCCCTTAAGCTCAAAACCCTGGGCTCAAGCTCAGAGACCTCCGGAAACCCCCAAAACCACCCCCAAAAGAAACCAAAGAGCCACAAAAGGCACAAACCCCCCAAGCCCTCCCAGAAAGAAAACCAGAACCCCCAAAGAAAAACAAAAAAAACACCCAAACCCTAAGTCGGAGGCTGATGGGCTTGGAGAAGTTGCAGTCGTATCCTGCCAGGGCAGGCTGGGTCTTCCCTGACTCAACGTCCTGAACGCAGGGTCTGTTGCATCCAAAACATATCCATCCAAACACTAAATTCTAAACCCTAAACCCTGAACCCTGAACCCTAAACCCTCAACCCTCAACCCTACACTCTACACCCTGCGTACACCCTACACCCTACACCCTAAACCCTAAACCGTAAACCCTAAACCATAAACCCTACACCCCAAACCCCAAACCCAAAACCCAAAACCCAAACCCAAAACCCCAAACCCAAAACACTAAACCCTAAACCCTCTCTCTCAGAACCGAACCTCCTTCGGAGCGCGTCAGCTTCTCCACGTCTGCGGCCGTGCACCTGCGGAGTGCCTCGGGGGGGGGGGGGGGGGACAGGGGCAGGGTTTAGGGTTTAGGGTTTAGGGTTTAGGGCTTAGGGTTTAGGGTTTAGGGTTTAGGGTTTAGGGTTTAGGGTTTAGGGTTCTGGGTTTTGGGTTTTGGGTTTCAGGCTTAGGGTTTAGGGTTTAGAGGTTTAGAGGTTTAGGGGTTTAGGGGTTTAGGGGTTTAGGGGTTCAGGGTTTAGGCAGAACTAAGAGCGTCTTCGAATGATCTTTACTGTAGACTCGTTCCCAGCAGAGTCCCACCACTGCTGGCTCGAGAGCGGGGTGGCTTTGTTGGGTGTGACGTTGTGCGTGATGACCAATGGCGGTAGGTGCTTTCTGGCCAACGAGATGTTCGCTGAGCTAAACGAGGCTGCTGACCCCTCATCCTAAACCTAAAGCAAAGCAGGAGGCAAATGAGGCTGCTGCCCCCTCATCCTAAACCTAAAGCAAAAGCAGGAGGCAAAACACAAGAACTTAAAGCAGCTAACGCATTGCACTACTAGGCCGTTAAACCGCTAAACCTCCTAACTCTGACCCTTCCCATAAGACCCTAACCCCTGAAGGACTTTGTTGCATCTGCACCCGAAACCGAAACTAAATGCAAACCTTGGCAGCCGCCTCCACAGCCGAGCGAACGTTACCCTTGCTCGCACCTGCACGGGCGTTGAAGGTGTAACATCCTAGATGCTATCCCCTACTCTTGTATAATAGAACAATACAACGTAACATGTACTACGCGAGCAACGCAAGAGAGACACAGTTCAACAAGATCCATACATCTATCTCTCTCTATATATATAATATCATAAATCTATGTATGCATGTATTCGTACCTGGTTTATGATATGGAGTACATCATCCTGAACATGATTGAAAGAACTCTACAGAATGTATGTAGGTGTGTATACATATATACATATATATATATGTGTGTGTGTGTGGAGATGTAGGGTCTAGAGATAGGTTTACATACACAAACACAAGATGTGGTATGCAGCATACACCATAGATTTCATGATGCATGACATGTCATATACAGCATGCAATGTACAGAAGTTTTGGAAACAGAACTAAATGGAGCGCAAGTAAGGGTCACGCTATATGCAGATTTCTTCTCAGAAACTTGGCATTTTGCGTTCTAGGCCCTGTGTAGCCTCTCTCCGCTGTGCCGCGCTCGCTTGACTGCAGTTCGCAAGTCCACAAACAGCCGGCCACCCAGGGGTTACAGGTCTACTGCAGGGTCTAGGGTGACCTCCGGCGTGCAGGTCAGAGCGGTTACGTATTGTGCCGTAAGGCAGAGTAAAGGACCTAAACTTGAAGCTCTACCAGGACCCTTCATTGCAGTTCCTTTCTCTGGGGTGCTTACCTATAGGGCATGTTTCATACAACAAGAAGCTTGAGAACCCCACAACAGAGTGAATTGCAGGCTTTTAGGGGTAGGAGTCGACGCCGACACGTCCTCGAGTCTAAGGGCCCGGGCAGCGCCAGCCAGTCGTGACGGCCATCCAGAACCCGGTTGCCAGGCAGATGACCTGAGCTGCCGGGATTTCGGGCGTGTTTGGGCAGCCACGCCCTTTAAACTCTTGCTTCGCCTTGAAAACAGCCCAAGAGACCCCTAAACCCGAAACTTCCCTAAAACCCTGAACCCTAAGTCCTAAACCCTAAACCCTAAACCCTCAACCCTTATAAACCCTTTGACTTGAAGGCTGAGGGATCGACTGCGAGCCACGTGGCGGCCACGAATCCCACAGCTGCCGCCTCGAACAGCGGCTCAGGGACAGGCCTAAACCCTAAACCCTAAACCCAAAACCCTAAACCCTAAACCCTACTGTGCTTTGGGCCACAAGCCTCTGTGCTGGTGCAAAGATGAAGGTTTTAGGGTTTTAGGGTTTTGATGGGTTTTAGGGTTTTAGGGTTTTAGGGTTTTTAGGGTTTTTAGGGTTTTAGGGTTTCGGGAAACAGGCTTAGATGTGTGGTGGCAAGTTGACATTCCAGACGCTGACTTGCCCCTTAGCTTCATGTGTCTGTTGAAGGGCTGCCACCCACGGCTGCAGCGACAGGACATGGGGCCTCCTAAGCCCTGCTTAAACCTCAAAGACCCTAAGCGCACATCTTTTGAACCCAATATGCACGTCAACTCGCGCGATGACAACTGCATCGATGTACATCCAAGAAAACCAAGTTGGAGCCTCGTACAAGCACCCTTGCATTAAACCCCAAACCCCCAAAAGCCTACCAAAGCGCCTGCATCAGGGTTTTCGGGGTGGTATCATAGTATAATTACAAAGGGGCCATAAGGGAATACGATTAGTAATTCTTCCGACCCCTATATTAAACCCCGAACCCCCCAAATTCAACCCAAAACTCCACAATGCAGCGGGGGCGCCAGCGCGCCAGATCGGGTCGACCAGAAGCCACGGTGCTCGAGGCCTAGCTTTTTTTGGGGGAATCCCTGTAAGAAGGGAAAAGCTGCTTTATTGTGTTTTTAAGGGATATAGGGTTTAGGGTTTAGGGTTCAGGGTATTCTGGCTTCTTGCCGCGTAGGGCGCATGGGGCTTCAACCGGGATTTCGAGGCTTGCCAGTCGATACTACGCCTTTAAGGTGGGGCTTAGGGTTTAGGGTTTAGGGTTTAGGGTTTGGGGTTTAGGGTTTAGGGTTTAGGGTTTAGGGTTTAAGGAACTAACATGAGCTAGGGCGTTTAACTCAATTAAGGAGTATTGGGCGAGGGCTTATAGGGTTTGTAGGTGTGAGCCATTTAGGGTTCCGGCACTCATCAGAACCCAAAAGCTACCATTGCCACTGCGACAACAGGCTTCACAATAGTTGGGTGTCGGGTTCATTATGGGACTTGCTTGGGGCTTAGGGCTTAGGGCTTAGGAGTTGGGAGTTTAAGGGTTTAGGGCTTAGGGGTTGGGAGTTTAAGGGCTTAGGGTAGAGTTTGCTTCTGGGCCGGCTGTGTGGGTTTCGATGCTCACGCTCATCTTTAACGAAAGTACAGTCCGTTCTGGTGGGCTTACCCAAGTGTAGAGGACTGTCCAAGGAGACCACGGGGGCAACCAAATAATATCAGGGCTTAGGGCTGTAAGCTAGGAACCCTACACCCTAAACCCTCAACCCTAAACCCTAAACCGGAAGAAGAGGGGCGCCCCGCTTCTGCTTAGCAGGGTTAATTAATGAGGAAGACCCAACCGAAAAGCGCAGGCGCCTGGTGCCACCATCGTCAGCTCACTTTGCCCGGAGGGCCTGCTGCCAGTCATACCGGATTCGAGGAGACTTGCGATGAAGAGGAACCCAAGAAGGGCATGAAGACGTGGTCAGCACAGGTTTAGGGTTTAGGGTTTAGGGTTGAGGGTTGAGGGTTGAGGGTTGAGCGGTTTTCCAGCACACGGTCCTGCCGATGCTGTAGGGTGTTAAAGGATTGTGGGGCTTGCCACGTGTCTTTGGCGATGCCCTGCACCGTGACATCCCTGAACACGGTGCAACCATAGTTCGCCCAACCCGAACTAACTAACATTCCTATTTAGTTATAAGTCGGGTCATAAGTGCCCTGAACAAGGTTATAACTCATGACCATAGTTACCCTACTCGTTACGCCACTTCTCACTACCCATGAAACCTTCAAGTAGGCCTCTAAGCCAAAGCCGCCCATGGAGCCCCCCGCCTCTTCGCATCCGCAGGCAACTGGGCCGGTTCCTAAGTCTGGACGCGCAGTACCCGACACCCTACACCCTAAACCCAAAGCCCTTTCGAGACACCCTATCCGGAACGAACTGAGTCACTGGCCTTCTCCGCGGGGGCTGCTTGCACCGGCGCACCTGAAGCGGCTTAGGCAGCGCCACTTGAACATTCGTCCAACTCCCAGCTTCCGCACAACGAATGCAGCACTCACGTCGCGACTTGGTAGCCTTGCACATTCCCTGACCCTAAACCCTAAACCCTAAACAAGAGCAGAAACCCACATGAGTTCGCCCAGAAAGTCCAAGTGACACCCCTCCTCCAGCCCGAAGGCTCTGAAACCCCTCAAATCCCCCTAACCCTAAACCCTAAACCCTAAACCCTTTTGCATCCGGGCTTGGGGAGTCACCCTGAACCCCAACCCTAACCCCTTTTTGAACCAGGAGCTTGGCATCCCAAACCCTAAACCCTAAACCCCTTAAGGCTCCGGGGAGTCCCACACAACTGACTAAGGAGTCCGGCCACACCCTTAAAGAGGCCGATTCCTTAATTCGGACATTCTTACTCTTCCCTTGGGCTCCAAGTTAGGGAGTTTTGGGTTTCTGCGGCACCATCTCCGAAGAGCGAATATCGGGCGCCAGCGTGGTTTAGGGTTTAGGGTTTAGGGCTTGTACTTTCGAAGAAAAAACAACACCCAGCTCCTAGGGAACCGATCGATGTCCCTGAGCCCGCTGCTCCCATTCAAGGCCGGATCCTTAGCCCCGACGTTGTCCCGGAGGGCGGCAAGGACCTGACTCTTCAGGGTTTAGGGTTTGGGGTTTGGGGTTTAGGGTTTGGGGTTTAGGGTTTGGGGTTTGGGGTTTAGGGTTTGGGGTTTAGGGCTTGGGGTTTAGGGTTTGGGGGTTTGGGGTTCATGCCATCTTTTCGGGGTTCTACAGCCAGACCCAGGAGTAACCTAGGAGAGGGTGCCCTTTTTTGGATTCAAGGGGATTATCAGCTCAGGGGCTGACTACCCTAGCCACAAAAGAGCTTATATATAGCAGGATTCCATATAACCAAAAAGCTTCAAGGTCACCTGCCCAGTCCCTAAGTAAGGGCACCAACGGAATAAGGGCTTGCTCTGGGTCCTAGGGAATATATGGGGGAAAAAAAGGCTCCCAAACGACGGGCTTCTTAAAGCACCATGTACCCTGAACCAAGTCTCTTGTTTCTTCAGCGTGAGAAACCCAAGAACGGGAAGTTTTCACATCTCCCGAGGGCCCAGTCAGTTGGCGTTCGCGCCCGCATCCTTCAAGACCTCCACCATGTCGGGGGTGCCGAGTTGTATCGCATACTCCAGAGCCGTCGTATCCTTATATGGCCTAAGAACCCTCTGAAAAAAATGATTCCTGGAATATGATCCTCTCAAACCCACTAAGGGAAAGCATGAACCTCTTAAACCCAATAAGGGAAAGTATAAAAATTGTCCCAAGGTCCTACCGAGTAGCGAAGTCATCCACAGCATTCACCTGGGCCTTGGCTGCCAGTAGAAGCCTCGCCGCTGGCAGATGATACTCCTCTGCGGCAATTCCCAAGGGAAGCTCCCTTCCCTCTTTCCCGGTCTTCATATTCACATCGGCCCCGAGCTCGATGAGTGTTTGCACCAGTTTGGGACGATACCCCTGCGACATGCGATGCCCAAAGGCGTCTCACCTCCTGAGGCTTCGTTCACATCCTCACCCTTTTCCACGAGCTCTTTGATGGCCTCAAAATCGAGCTTGCCTAAGTCGTGGTTGTGCATCCTGACAAAAAAAAATCATCCTAACAGAATAATCCCAAAATGTTACGTATGATGCAAGTTCAGCAAAAAGCAAGAGAATTGCTCCAACCATCCCAGGTGCTTTCGGCCACCATCAGGTGCAGCGGTGGTTTTGTGGGCGGGACGGATGGGGAGGACCTCCCAGACTTCCTCTCCCGCCACTCTCGTCGCAGTGCATGCACAAAGTCGACTGCGCTCTTCTTGGCAGCGAGTATTTCGTCCGCACCCGGTATGTATGAGGAGTCGGCACGCAACCCGGCCACAACCCCAAGGCACAAGAGGAGGAGACGCCACATGGAAAACATCACGGACAATTTCGCCGTCAACGCTGGCTGAAGCTACTGAAGGGCTGAGATGGCTCGAGCCAAAGTTTAGGGTTTAGGGTTTAGGGTTTAGGGTTTAGGTTTAAAGAATGATGAAGTGTTCTTGCAGCCCGCCTAGTTGGACGAAAGACCACTTTGGACGGTGCATGGCATATTCGGGGTCCGTTTCAAACCTACTTGGCGTTGTGAAAGAGCTGCCTGTACCCTTTTCCTGCTGGGTCTCACGACTTCTCATTGAAGCAAATGCTACCAGATACTGCTGAGAGCATTGCAGCATGTGCACACCCTGTGGGTTGAGAGATGTAGTTTGCGCATAGGCTGCTAGGTGAATCCCAAATCCCTTCAACCTTTCCCCCCTGAATCCTGAACCCTACATCCCTAAACCCTTTTGCAGCAGGCTTGGAAGGGTACGCCCGGACATGTTCAAGCCGTGCGGTTTCCCTGAGCCCTAGCCCTAAACCCTAAACCCTAAACCCTAAACCCTAAAACCCTAGCCCTAAACCCTAAACCCATCCCTCGAACCCCTGTTCCCCGTAAAGGCGTGTGCGAAGGAGGGCGCTCCCAGGTTCGCCTAGGGTTTAGGGTTTAGGGTTTAGGGTTTAGGGGTTAGGGGTTAGGGGTTAGGGTTTAGGGTTTAGGGTTACACCCCGAGATTTCAAGACAAGAGGCGGGGTCTTCTGCGGCGAGATGGCCGTTGCTTTGTGAGCCTGGGCGTGCACGGCACCATGTGTGTTAAGCTCCTGCCTCAGGGGATCTTCTGCAACCCATGGCCCAAGCCACTGACTGAGTGGAATGAAATGGATCAGCAAGTGTCCCAAGTACGATGTGACGCAACTCTCGTTATATTATGGGCACTGTTGGGCTACCCTTTCAGCATGGAGTTAGGTTTTTGTTGGGGTGTTTGTTGTGTTTGTTCTTACGTGTGTTTTTGGGTTAAATGGACTCTGCTTTAGAAGGCATGCTATTATTTTGATTTTGTTGGGTTGCGTTTTGTGTTTTAAGGGGCTGAGAGGCTAAAGGGTAACCCTGCCCCCGTCATTTGCAAGCACAATGCTCACGTCATGGGGTTTGGACAGGATTCATATGCTGGTGTGCACAGATGCGCCGACTGAGTGACTGACACAAATGGGCCGACTGACTGACGGACGGGCACTGACTGATTGAAAGGTTTGCGGACCGACCGACTGACTGACTGGGTCGGTGGGTCGACGCACGAGCCAACCAAAAAAAAGACACTACCCCCCCCCCCCCCCCCAAGCAAAAGCAGAAACACCCAAAGCGCACCCCCACCTTTTGCGCTCCTCGCCCCAAGGCCCCTGCGATTCTCGTTGAAGGTCGGGTCCTGCGCGCCCACGCCGTCCTCCAAGGCTTTGAGCACCTGGCCGCAGGAAACACAAAGAAGCAGCAGGCGGGGCCACAGTGTCACGGGTCACCGCCAGTGGTGTAAGGTCCGGCAAAGTCGGCTGAAACGTTTGCTGCTAAAAGCTGCATCTAGGCCTAGAGGCACCACGCACGCAATTGGCACCCTCTTGCCGGACTCTTTTTGGAAGGGCTCTAGAGCACGCTTGCAGAATTCATAAAACCTCAAATGGGGCTGTATAACAACCCCGATGGAAACCTGCTGGTCCCCAAAAATGTTATCGTTTTTTTTACTCCTTATCGTTTTACAGTGTATGCGCACAAAACACAGTGTTGTTGGCTAGAATTCTTATCGCTTTACAGCGTTTGCTTATAAAAGGAAATGCTTCGGAGCACTTGGTTTCCACCAGGCCCCCAGAGACACCCCAAGACCAGAGTCACCAGAATTAGGGGTGTGAGGGGTGTAAGGGGTGTTAGGCGTGTACAGGGCCACACAACAAAAACCCTGCAGAAAGTTATCGTTTGGTTTTTACTCCTTATCGTTTTACAAGCTAAACGATACTCGGGCGCACTCCTTTCTAAACCGCAAGCCGCGGGGTTATTATGCAGCCCCAAATAAGCCCATCAACGCCAGAACTTGGACGCTCCTCGTGCCGGCGGAGTATGGCATCAATGGACGAAGCAGGACCATGAGAAACTTGAACAAAAAGGAGAGAGAGAGAGAGAGAAAAAAAAAAGAAGAGAGAAAAGATAGAAAAGAGAGAAAAAAGAGAAAAGAGAGAAAGGAGAGAAAGGAGAGAAAAGAGAGAAAAGAGATAGAAGAGAGAAAAGAGAGAAAAGAGAGAAAAGAGAGAAAAAAGAGAAAAGAGAGAAAGGAGAGAAAGGAGAGAAAAGAGAGAAAAGAGATAGAAGAGAGAAAAGAGAGAAAAGAGAGAAAAGAGAGAAAGAGAGAAAGAGAGAGGGAGAGAGGGAGAGAGCCTGCATAGTGGTTCTGTTTCAATCTACCCTTCGTAGCGGATCCCTAAACTCTGAGCTTCAACCCTCCAAGTTAGGGCCAGCGCACCGGATCTTCCTTCGCGGCTGGCGTGGCAACATCTACCACAGAGTGGCCTCGTCTGCTCTTCCATGCAAGTCAAGCCAACAACTCGCCTCAAAGGGGGGTGGCCCAAGTCCAGAACAACCCCTGCATCTCCTTTTCTGCCTGGTTAGTTGGAGATGAAGGTACCATGTACCTTTTTGATCCCCCCCACCTAACCCCTTGAAGGGATGAACGTATGGGGGCCCAAGATTCCCTAGTCGTCAACTAGTTCAATGCGAAGAGCCCACTACAGCCCACCACATCCCCCTAAACAACCCTTTGATGGATGAGATAGGGACCCTGATGCCCTGACGCACTACGGATAAGGAGGCTTGGGGCTAACCAGGCTTTGGGTTTCGAGTCGCGTCGGCTCCTACAAGGCTTGGGACTTGGGTTTTAGTTTATGGAGGCAAACGATCCGCAAGGTCCTTTGCACACTCGCGACACTACGGCGACGAAATCAGGTTTAGGCTTTGGAGCCTCGTGGCTTAGTGTAGGATCTAAGGCAGGGCGCGCAGCGAGAGGTGAATTGTCGGTATGCTTTGGGTTTGGGGCTTGTGTGCGGAGATGTTTTTAGAGGCTTTGAAGTGTTAGAATCCAGGGGTTTCCCAGTGTTTCACCAACACTTCAGGTTGAGTCGGGTACTTCCTTTTTCGGATATAGCTGTATAGGGGGCCCAACAAAAAGAACCTTATTCTGGGGTACAGGCACCCCATTTTTTTGAGCCCGTGCTGAGGCTGTGCAGGCACCACCTAATTTCGGAAACCCCCAATCTACTAAGCTTACGAACCCCCCAAAAAAACACAAAACCTATCCTCCCTATAAGGGCAATACAGGGATTTTCACTTTGTGTTTTTTGGGATTTTTTCAGCAAATAGTAGCAATAGCAATTCAGAGAGCTAGCCACTGAGGCTTTGCATCCCTAAACCCTTTTCACAAGGGACTCGACTGCTGCCCTTTCTACCCAGCCCGCCCCCACACCACGGTGCCTATGACTGCAGGGCGAGAGTCGCCACTTCGCGGCCCTAAACCCTGAACCCTGAATCCTCTACACCCTAAACCCGAAACCCTAAACCCTAGACTCTAAACCCTAAACCCTAAACCCTAAACCCTATTGGTGCGTGTTGGGCTGGGCTCAGAGGACAGGGCCATCCTCCGCGCTCATCGCAGCGACCACCTGGGCATTCAGGGGGCTCGGCACCTGCCGGAAGACTACTTGTTTGTAGAGTGACTACTGAGAAATATATGCTGTCATTGCGGGATTTTAGGGTAAGCTACCAAAAAGTAGGTTTTGGGTTCTTAAGGATCTGACTTCGGATTCGTGGTTTGCGCTTTGAAGCTTCCACCCCAACCGGCTCTTGAGGGTTACTGCGGCCCGTGCTTTGCACGGACTCAGATGCTGGGTTTAGGGTTGAAGGTTTAGGGGGGCTGGTCGTGATCGTGCCAGTGGTGACTTGTTGCTGCAAAGCCTTGAAGATGTTTTCATGATCCGCTGCGCCTACCTACACCCTAAACCCTAAATCCTAAATCCATCTGCAGCCGAGGTCTGCGCCGTGTCCACTGCCGGGTTCGTCGGGGCCGAGCCGTTTGCCGGGGCTTGGCTCTCCTTTGCCTTCGGGGACCAAGACACACTCAACACTCAAAGAATGCTAAATGTATGGAGTCGCCCAGGTTACACCCAGGTTAAGCCTGCCCCCCCCCCAGGATTTTCTGAGGCATGAAATTGTTCATGATGAAATTGGTCATGCTTATGCAAAAGCTGCCTCCAGCGTTGCGACCGCCTGCCGCATGGCCTCCAAGACCTCCTGCAGAAGAGCCGAGGTACGCAGATGTTTGCAGGCTTGGGGGGGTTAAGGGTTTAGGGTTAAGGGTTTAGGGTTTGTGAGTAGGCTTGGGGATCGAAACATTTCTGCCGCGACAGCTTCTCAGTATGAGTGCCAGAAACGCGACATGAGATGCCCCAGCCTCATCTACCAACACACCGAAACCCTCAACACATGTAGGGGAATTGAGCTTCTTTCATTGCCCGTTGGACTTTAGCCTGATGGGGGCTTGCACTATGGCTGAGGACTTTGGTCCCTCATGAAGGGTTACCGGTTGCCCCCTTTTTTCCCTAAGCCCTAAACTTAAACCCTGAACTAGAGTTGACCCTAAACCCTAAACCCTAAACCCTAAACCCCAAACCCTAAACCCTAAACCCTAAACCCTCCTTGTCATCTGCTGCCGGGGCCACCGAGGCAGAGATCTTTCCCGGCTGCAGCTGAAGAAGAGAAGCGTTGCCTTGGGGTTTAGGGTTTAGGGTTTAGGGTTGAGGGTTGAGGGTTGAGGGTTTAGGGTTTAGGGTTGAGGGTTGAGGGTTGAGGGTTTAGGGTTTAGGGTTTAGGGTTTAGGGTTTAGAGGGCGAGGGCCTCTGAAACCAAAACCTGCAAGGTTCAAAGGCTCCAAAGAGTCAGAGTCAATGGGTCTTGCGGTTTTCGGGTCTTGGGGCTTATCAACCCTAAGCCCTCACCCTAAACCCTAAACCCTAAACCCCTAAACCCTAAACCCAAACCCCAAACCCTAAACCCGAAACCCTTTGCTCCAAGCATGTGGAAGCTTGCGACTTGCGCGCCCCTGGGCGCGCGGCGGACGATGCCGCTCCCCGGGCTGGCAGCCTGGCACGACCACGCAGGCCGACAAAAACTTTAGGCCCTAAACCCTGGCTATCGTTTAGGGTTTGGCGTTTAGGGTTTAGGGTTGAGGGTTTAGGGCTTTGGGTTTAGGGCTTCATACGAAGTTCCGGGTAGCCGGAGCGCAAGATTTCTTGAGGCTTTGAGGGTGTTTTTGGCCACCCGCACTTCTTGAAGGCTTTAGGTTTGCAGGACGCCTGTCACAGACTAGGAGTGAAGGTGTCATGAGATTGAGGGTGCACGAAAGGAAAAGCAAAGGCTAGCCGCTCTCTCCCTGTCACACCTTGAGACCCTAACTCTCATACACTCGTCCATTAAGGTGCTCTCACCTTAAACCCTAAACCCTAAACCCTAAACCCTGAACTCTAGACCCTTGGATTCATCACTTCATCACCCAGTTCTTTCTAGCCCTCATGCTTTCGGACGTAGCATTGAGCCCTTTTGACAGCGGCAACCCTGCCTTGCTACACCCTGAAAAGTGACGGAGCTAGGCGCTCCCCGGGTTGAGGGGTTTAGGGTTTCGGGTTTAGGGCAAGTTTAGGGTTTAGGGTTTAGGGTTTAGGGAGGGTATAGGGCTTAGGGTTTAGGGTTTAGGGTTTAGGGTTTAGGGTTTAGGGTTTAGGGCTATACAGGTATACATCCGATTCTTCACAGCCATTGGCAACCCTTACCCGCCTATGTCCCCCCGTCCGCTGGATCCTCGGCATTCCAAGCCCCAAGCCCTGAACCCTCAACCCTCAAGCCCTTGTGACCCCAAGCCCTAGACCCTGAACTCTTTTTTCCTGAAGACCCTAAACCCCTAAACCCCCTTTTGACATCCAGGCTTGGGTGAGCGCCAACCCCCAAACCCGAAACCCGAAACCCTGAACCCTAAACCCCTAACCCCTAACCCCTAACCCCTAAACCCTAACCCCTAAACCCTAAACCCTAAACCCTAAACCCTAACCCAACCGACACCGCCTCGGCCACCTCGGCAACTTCGGCTGCGGCTTCTTCTCGCGAGACTTCCGGCATGGTGTGCTGGGTGTCAACCTCTGCACCTTCTTCTGGGCCCTTTTTTGTTTTTAGGGTTTAGGGTTTAGGGTTTAGGGTTTAGGGTCTAGGGTTTAGGATGTTAATTTGGGGCTCTTTGGGTTTAGGGTTTTGGGTTAGGTGATTGATGCTTGGCCGATTTTCGGAATCTTTGACCTGTGGCTTTGGGTCTTCGGGTCTGGTCCGATGCCTCAGGGCTTACGAGGTTCAGGGTCCGTCGGTTGCACAGAGATGCCGCAGGGATCTGAGCGCTAAGGGATGCACGTGGCCTCTTCAAAGGGCCCCGTCTCTGGGAGATCCGGCTGAGGGCTCATCCTAAAACCCCTCCAGCCCTAAACCCTAAACCCTAACCCCAAACCCCTTAAACCTACAACCCGACGACCAGAACGAGAGAAGCACTAAAGGGGTACAAGGAGGGACTCGCAGAAGGGAACCCTTCATCTTATTCCCCTTTGTCACCCGTATGTATACCTTATATCGTCCCTATATACCGAAGTAGCCCCTAAATTAGGGTTTAGGGTTTAGGGTTTAGGGTTTGGGGTTTGGGGTTTGGGGTTTGGGGTTTGGGGTTTGGGGTTTAGGGGAACCTTTAAGGTCCCTTGTGAGGGTCCCTCCTTTCGTCCCTTGAAGCACAGGGGGATGGCTGCAAGGTCCGCACCTTGCGCGACTTCCTCGTCAACGCCCTTGATGGGCTGCATGGCCCTGAGAACCGCTTGAAGCTTTGAGAAGGCTTCGGGTAGGGTTTAGGGTTTAGGGTTTAGGGTTTAGGGTTTAGGGTTTAGGGTTTAGGGTTTAGGGTTTAGGGTTTAGGGTTTAGGGTTTAGGGTTTAGGGTTTAGGGTTTAGGGTTTAGTTTTTAGGGTTTAGGGTTTAGGGTTTAGGGTTTAGGGTTTAGGGTTTAGGGTTTAGGGTTTAGGGTTTAGGGTTTAGGGTTTAGGGTTTAGGGTTTAGGGTTTAGGGTTTAGGGTTTAGGGTTTAGGGTTTAGGGTTTAGGGTTTAGGGTTTAGGGTTTAGGGTCCAGGGTCTAGGGTCTAGGGTCTAGGGTCTCGGGTCTCGGGTCTAGGGTCTAGGATCCAGGGTCTAGGGTTTAGGGTTTAGGCTGCAGGGTTTTAGGGTTTAGGGTTTAGGGTACGGGTTTAGGGCTTCGGGTCTAGGGTACGGGTTTAGACTGGATACAGTCAGATAGTGGTAGGTGGTGATAGTCTCTGATAGTCATCGAGGAATGCAGTCGGGTTTGGTAGCTCCCGATTCAAGCTCTCGGCAGCTCAACGGTCTCAGCCCAAAAGCCTCCTGACATGGCAAGCGCTGAACTTCGAGCCCCAAGCCTGCCCAAGGGCCCTAGGGTTTAGGGTTTAGGGTTTAGGGTTTAGGGTTCCAGACAATGGCTCGGCCGCCAGCTGATCCATCTGGAAGAAGCTGGGCGCCTGATCCGCCTTGTCAGGACCTGGGGCAGGGCTTCAGGGGCGGGAGGCAACCCCTGTTCTGGGAAGTACCTGGAGGGTGTGGTTCCGGGTATGTGGGGGGGAGGCATTGGGCTGGTTTTATGTTAAGGGTGCATCTGGGGGTTGTGTATGCAGAAGTATGAATGAAACAGCCATTATAGAAAGTGCGAGTGCATCTGGAAATACCTATATACATATTGATGTATTTGTGTTTATTCACATGCATGTATTCCCGGCACTGAGTTTCATGTATGACCTCTCCGAGTAAATCTTAACCTTTCACCACTGCAGCTTCCTCGAAGCTAGTTCATGGTTGGGAGAATATGAAAAACTTGAGTTGTTATTCCTTATCGGGTTTAAGTACCCTTAACAATGTAAAATGTTACCCAACTATGACAAAGGAAGCAGCCGCGCCTTCACCCTGTGGCCAGGCCTGGCGCAAGCCACACTGGCGGTCAGGCTCCGGGCTTCTTGGGGCGACCTTTCTTCCCTTAGTTCTCACAAGTTGGCAAAGGAGTACAAAAAGAGCATAGATGACTCCTGCCACCCTCCCTGCCTTACTCCCTTCCCTCTAACACTCTTTCTTTCGCCCTCAAAGCTGTTTGCCCTCTTGCATGGGAACAAGCTTGACCGTCCGGTCCACATAGGGCTAGCAGCTTCAGACTTAGAGACTCCTGGCTTCTGCTTTTTGGGGTTGGTGGACGCTCGGGCTGGGCTCAAAGATGTTGGTAGACAATAGGGAGAGGAGCACGCCTCCCTTGCGGCCGTAGGGTTCTAGGGTGTACTTGACGGTTCATGGGTACTTAATAAGTGGGGTTTGTAAGTACCCTAAAAGAGGTTATCACCATAGTTACCCTGCTTATAATCACACTACTTATGAGCACCCATGAACCTCCAAGTAGGGTTCAGGGCATTTTCCACACGCCTCTGCCCCTGCATGGCATTGATCACATGCCTCTTTTCCAGATCACACTGGCTCAAACAAGCTAGGGGGTTTACGCCTTCCTGCGCCCTATGCACTTGAGCGGGCGCACCAGGCGGCGGCAAATGGTCCAAGTACTGCGGTTTTGTGCCGGTTCGGCTGAGCATGGGCACAATCAGCCCTCAAACTCGGAATCTGAGCTGTGTCCCTGAACCGCTACTTCATGCGGCGCTGCATGATGGTGGCCACTTCGGTCGGCGAATTGCCCCAAGTCGAGACCAAGTGACTCAGCACAGTTGCAGCAGTAGCGGCCGCTGTTGTGATATGGGGTGTCGCAGCAAGGGCAAACACAGACCACCTCTCCACAGAGTTCCCCGCAACCACAGGAACAGCTATTCTGACAGAGTCGCTTCCCCAAGCGTCGAGCACGAGCCAAGAAGTTCTTCTTGTGGGAAAGAGTCATGATTGGGCGCCTGTGCAGCGTGAGTTCCTCAAGGAACACATCCTGCACCCCAGCCTCGAAACTCACGGAGACGTCGCCCTGGTCTGGGTCCTCCGCCTCACCGAGAACTTGCCCAAGCCCCTCATCGTGATGGTCCACAAGTGCTCCGGTTTGTCTTAGCAATGCTGCAGTGTTTGGAGCATTTGAAGACACATTCATGGCCCAGCACGATGTTTCTTCCGCATTCCTACCGATCCACTCAGATCGTCCGCGAACCTCTGCCCATTCGCCATCACACTTTGTGGTGAACCTGTGCCGGATATCTGCCGGTGCAGATGCAAGGATCACTTTGATGCGGTGGCAAGCGCCCTCAATCTCTAAGAGGCGATAGACTGCCAAACGCCGATTGTTCAGTGTGTAGAACTTGCCCTCTGCAAATATGACATTGATCGGGTCAACCTCCCGTTTCCGCTTCCTTGTTGCGAGCTCACGCCACGAAGTGTCCAGGGTCCTACCGTCGCGGAAAACAGGGCCAATGGAGTCCTGCGTGAAGCCAATCTCCGAGGGCCAGAGGAAGAGCACATCTCCCGGCCTGCTTTGCGTGAGCCGCCACGTCCAAGAGATTTCCTCGTCGGACTTGAGGATCTGCTGGCCACCCTCTACAAGCCAACGCAGCCCATCTCGACTCTCTCCTCGTACTGCACAACGCTGGCCAGCAAGCAGGCCATACTTGTTCTGGAGCAGCTCCACATAATCTCCAACTGCCATGGCCTTTCGAGGGTGCGGATGGCGCGCGCTTGTCCGTGAAAAGCTCAACTGCGCGTCAAACAACAAGGCCAACTGCTCTTCCGGGGACCGGCAAGACAAGACAAGAACCAGGAAAAGTCCCACGGGTTAAGGGTTTAGGGTTTAGGGTTTAGACCCGGCCCTGGAAGCCTGGCTTCTGGGCTCACAGCGGCAACCAAGGAATCAGGAGAATTGCTGGAGTGCGCGCGCGTGTGTGTGTGTACACACACACACGTACATATATATCTATATATACACATACATATACATACATACATACAGACATACATACATGCATACATACATACATACATATTTGCAAATATGTACATATAACACAAGCACACACACATCAGATATTATTGATCACTCTTCATTGAGAACATAACAAATGATCCTAGGACCCCCAAACCTGTCTGCACCGGGATCACGCCTTCTCTGAGGCTTTGGGCCCACATTCGTCGTCCGTGCCTGGAACGCGACCAATTTAAGGAGCGGCCACAAAATTGCTTAGGGTTTAGGGTTTAGTGTTTAGGGTTTAGGGTTTCACGACCTCCCCCAACCCCACCATGCACAGCAGACAGCCACTCAAGCACTTCTCGACGCTGGACGTTGGGATCAGGCTGTCATCCTTCTAGCACCAACCCAGTCGCAGAGAACGACCGTCCATCTTCTGCAGTTCCGTCGCACCAAGAAATTCCAAGTAGTTAGTAAACCGCATAAACAACAAACCCTTCCCAAACCCTGGCTGTCGTCTGAGGCGGGCTACACTTGTGGCCGAAGCTTTGCAGCTTCCGCGAGGTCACTGAGATGAGGATCCCAGCCCTTTCCTGTCGCAGACTACTTGCATAAGGAGGCCTTAGAACGGTGTAAGTCCCTAAACCCTAACCCTAACTAAACCCTAAACCCTAAACCCTAAACCCTAAACCCTAGGCTCAGGATCCGAAGAGGCTCGGCAAGGGACTTCAAGCCTTTGAACCCGAAACCCATCCAATCCCCCCCCAACCCGGTTCTTATCACATTATTGTTTACATGATGTTATTCTTGTTATATTAGTAGATTACTATATGACTATATTATTTGAATAATAGATTATTGTATTCCTACTACTAGTACATTATGACATGATTATATTCTTCTCTCTACTGCGTTGATGTACTTATGTATGTATGAGTACATAGTTATACTGCGCTAGTTCGTAGCCGTATGCGGATGCCGGTTTAGGGCTTAGGTTTGAGGGTTTTTTGCCATCTGCTGTGGCAGACACTCTGAAGGCACAGCAGGGCAACACTTTGACAAACAGCGGCTCACCATGCTGACAGAGTTTGTTAAAGTGAGCAGACAAACGGTCGCGGGCAGAAGATAAGCCAAACCCCAAACCCCAAATCCCAAACCCCAAACCCCAAACCCTAAACACCGCAAAACAGAAGCCAAACGACCGGGGCTTAGGGTTGAGGGTGCATGGTTTAGGGCTTCATGGGGCTTCGGGCGACTGCAACCTTTGGTGATTGAAGGCCCTTGAACTTCCGGGGCTTCCGAGAAGCAAGCTGTCTGTCCAGCGCACCAAGGGCCCAAAGGGTTCCTAAACCCTAAACCCCAACCCTAAACTGGGACCCTAAACCCTAAACCCCTTCTTTCCATCTGGGCACCCCTAAACCCCTCATAAACCCCTAAACCCCTAAACCCCTAAACCCCTAAACCCCTAAACCCCTAAACCGGAGCACCACGACGTTCCATGTCCGCAGCATAGGGAAGCCGGGGCCTTGTCCTCGGGAACCAACTTTCCCACCTGCACCGAGAGGAGCTGCTGAAAGGTGCAGCGCCCTTAGGTCTAGAGCGTTTAGGGTTTTGGGTTTAGGGTTTAGGGCTAGGGTTTAGGGTTGAGGGCTTTTAGGGTTTAGGGCTTCGGGTTAAACCTAATCCCTTTTTGCTTCAAGTCCTGAGCAACGGACTTTGAGGCTGCCGGCAAATCCTAAAATAGTGGTACCCCGTGTATTTCCCCGAAAAAAAGGCTCTACAATCTTTATGATAGGAACCTCACAAAAGGTACCCGCCGCGCCAACATTTTTGGAACCCTGACATCTTCAGCCTGGCACGCCCTGAACACTCAACCCTCGTCTGCCCGACCCTTTCAACCCCGCGAGCTCTGCCAACCCGAAGCCCTAAAACCCGAAACCCTAAACCCTAAACCCTAAACCCTAAAACCCTACACCCTAAAACCCTCAACCCTACACATTGACAGCCTCTAGGTGAATTCGGCCACGGGATTGCGCGTGCGACGGCCTCGGCTCGCTCGGGGCATCCTGAAGCCCTCCGTAAAGGGTTTAGGGTTTAGGGTTTAGGGTTTAGGGTTTAGGGTTTAGGGTTTAGGGTTTAGGGTTTAGGGTTTAGGGTTTAGGGTTTAGGGTTTAGGGTTTAGAGTCTAGGGTTTCGGGTTTAGGGTCTAGAGGGTCTGGGGTGTTGGGCTCAGGCTTTAGGGTTTAGATGGGTTTCCATCGCTCACACTCGGACAAGCCAGGCGAGGCACACTGTCAATGGGACATCGTAGCACATTCCAAACTGCAGTAAACTCACGATGCTACTCCCCTATTCAAAACCACCAGAACTCAGGGTTAGGGAATCTCTCCCTGGGATTTCAAGGGTTTAGGGCTCCCTGGGTTGGAGTTGAGGGTCCTGGTGCCAAGCTCTACCTCTTCTGGTAAGGGCTTCGGAACTTGAAGCCCCAACACTAACCCCTAGCTGCTTGTAGGCAAGCCTTCAAAGCGGGGATTCGAGATTGTTGGGTCGGGGTGGGGATTTGCCCGCATCTTTCATCTAAGTGTGGCAAGGTTCAAGATTCTAAGCCCTGGGGTTCTTCTAGGGGTTAGGAAGCAAAGGGTTAGGGGTAGCCTAAACCCTAAACCCTTATACCCTCTGACTGCCAGACACTCGCCTATCCTCGCCTTCTTGACGAGAAGCAAGGGACTCGTGCCCTGCTAACCCTTATGCCCTAAACCCTCAACCGAAACTTGATGGTCTCTGGACCTGCTGGATCCCCGCAGGTTCCCTCGGGCCAAGGCAAAGCCATTGAAGATGCCATGCCTCAGAGAGAGATCACAACGCTCCCCTGAGAGCCCAACACCTTCATTAAGGAATGTTGATGTCGGGTTTCGGGTCAAAAAAAGGGTTTAGGGTTTGGGGGTTAGATGGGTTTCCCTGGCGAGGCGCACTTTTGGGGCGACCCGGCAGGCTCTCAATGAAGCAGCGACACTACGACGCCAGCACTATGCAGCTTCAAACCCCATACAAAACGCCACTCTTACCAGCTTAACCGCCAGTTTTCCCACATCCCTACTCCTGGCTGCCCCCCTCCCCGAGCAGCACCGCTCTTCTCGGTCATACCACTTTGCATGTTGGATCATTGGATTATGATGTGGATGTCGGGTTTCGGGTTTAGGGTTTAGGCTACGGGCCTAAGGAATACACCTTGCTGCAAAAATCCAAACACCCCCCCGGCATGATTCAAGCGGTGTTCCTTCCAAGGGTCTTGGGCTCCCCGTGGGGCTCGGAGCCCTTGGGTCTAGGGTCTAGGGTTTGGGGGTTAGGGTTTAGGGTTGAGTTTAGGGTTTAGGGTTTAGGATTAGGGTTTCGTTCCAAGGGTCCTAAACCCTTTTTGGGGCAACAGACTTTGCGGCCACCAACCCTCAACCCTAAACATCGACTTTGAGGTTCATGGGTACTTGAAGCCCCAAGTATAACTGCACGTACAAGGCTCCCTACGTCCTCTAAGTAGGGTTGCAAGTGGACTTAGCATTTGGGTTACAAGTTCCCATGAACCAAGTAAACCCAGAACCCGTATGGAGAAACATCGAAGCCCTGATCCAAGGCACGAAGCATCGACGGACTGAAAGAAACAAGAAGAACAATCTCTCCGGGTCATTGGGGTTTACAGGTAGACAAGTACAAACGCATATTGCTATATGAGTACGTTCCTATACTCGTATGTTAGTATATTAGAATGGTATATTAATGTATAACCGTATATTAAATACACGAACATCTTCGTAACATGACAGGGTCTGGGGGTCTCTGGTTACAGGGTTGTAGGCCCAAAGCCCTTGATGCTTTTTGAGGCCTGGCCTCGGCCCTGGAATGCCTAAACCCTTGACCATTTAAACCCCTAAACCCTTTTTGCAACGGCCTTGTCAGATCTCGACCGGACTGGTAGCCCACAGCAGTGACTTCAGATCATAACCCTAAACCCTAAACCCTAAACCCTACAGAGGGTGTTGCAGGGCTCTTGTTTAAGGGTGAACGGGTCTTTGCCTGTCCCTTTTGAACCTGGACTCTGGCTGACTGGAAGAAACACGCCTCATGGGCCTAAGCCATGAACGTTTGATTGAAATCCTAAGCCCCCAGACCGAAAAGCTGGGGCCACCACAAGTAGAGAGTATGAAGAGGGCCCGGTGTATCGGCAGGAATGCCTGGCAGGTGAAGAGATAACACTCCATACTGTATATGGGGAATCTTATGTTACATAGATTGCAGGGGTGTAAACACTATACTGAACGGCTGTAGTAAACAGCTATATAGCAAATATTACATATTCGATGTTGCTTGTAGAATATCATAGTCAGGCTCAATCACCAGCAGGGGTGAGGTGAACGTCTCGAAGAGCTAATGTGACAGCTGGTTTGGAAGTTCAGGGTACGTGTCTGAGTCTTGCGGTGAAGTCAAGGCATGTATGGATGCTTATTTCCGACAATAGGGGTCAAGGGCCAAGGGTTTAGGGCATATTTTGCTGGGTCATGAAGAGTGTACTGCACTTGCCGGTCCCCAAGCGCCCTCACCTTCTACACCCAAGACGTACATGAGCCCAAATCTCGAGCCATGAGCCACCCTCAACATCGCCTGAGCCCTACCAAAGTCCCTTTGAAAAAGAATGGGGCTTCCCCCACCCCACCCCCTACTCCCTACCCCCTACCCCCCTACCCCCGTACCTAGTTCTCCATTTTCGATACGCTGCCTGGCCACCAGCCCAGGAAGATGATGGCGCTCCGCGCCCGCCCGAGCGGCCTCAGGGAGTTCCCAAGGCCCGTAAATTCCCAAACTCGAGGGGTTGTGTTGTTTTCTTGGGCTCCTTTTGCGGGGGAATGGGAGCGGAATGCGGGACACCTGTAGATAATCCCTTATACTGGAGTATGCATAGGGGAGATACCGCACCCCAAGCACTAGGCCCGGCGAAAGTCAAGACGCTGGGCGCGAAAAAACACATTGAAACCTAAACCTTGGGATGTTGCCCCTTACTTCTGCTAACAGTCCTAAATGGGATTTTAAGGGGGAACATCCCAACCTAAGCCCGAAACCCTAGACCACCCCTGGTCCGGGTTTAGGGCTTTCGGGTTTAAAGCTTGGGGAGGTGCACCAACGCAGAAGGACCGAGGGCTGTGCGGCCCCCGACATCGGTGGCGGCCTCAGAATCACTCACTCCAGGCTTCCTTGAATTGAGTGGAGCTTTTGTTGCCGACTGACTGGCCTAGACTGTTTCGGGCCTTCCTTCTTCCGTTTCAGGGTTTTCAAGGTGCTTTTCGGGCTTTGAGGTTCAGGGTTTACCCTCCCCCCAGGCAAGTTCCCAAAACAAGCGCAATGGATTGCACCTTTTGAACCCCCTGAACGCTTCGCATACCACACCAAGTTTCAGCACCATGGGCTGCAAAACCGTTGACTGCAGCACATATGCCTGAACCCTAAACCACTCCTGAACCCGAAACCCTACAACCCCCCCCCCCCCCCCGTCCCCCCCCCCCCCCCCATGTAAGAAGCCCCCGAATCCGACCGGCCCTTTCTGAGCCCCGCGCTGCCCGGGCCTCAACCAGCCTTAGCTCATTATTGATGTAGAACATGTGTGTGTGAGAGAGAGGGAGCGCGCGTGCGTGCTCTTTTGTCGGACTCATATTTTATATTCGGAAGACCCAAACCGTACACCCTAAACCCGGAACTGGCCATCCTGCTGTACCTCGCAATCAAAACAACACATTGCCCTATGTGAGCCCTTTCCGATGCAACATGTCTTCGACCCGGCATGAAAGCCAGTTCACGAGTGTATGTGAGATAGAGAAAAATGAGATGGATAGATCACAGATAGATGGAGAGATGGATGGATGGATAAAATGACAAATATAGCAGATCGATCGCATGTACATATACATATGTATATGCACAAAGATACAGATACTCAACATATGTATGCATGTGTGCATTTTATCCGGGTTTCGGGTTGAAGCTAGCCTCGTGGACATCGAATGACCCTTGTGCGCGAGCCAGAAAAGCAGCTTCGCACACCAATTGCCTCGCCTAAGTGGGCCGTGTACAAGATACAGGGTCTCGAGCCTGCGTTCCACCAAGACCGCTTTGAACCCAGACCCTAAGCCCAAACCCTTTTTCTGACTCCTGGGTTCGGCATAAACCCAAAAACCTCATGACAATGATCCCCTATGCTGGGCATGCCTCCATCGGGTCCGAAAATATGGGCGGCAGGCCACGTTGTTCGCTGATAGACTCAGCAACTTCATAATTCTTAAATAACCCTTTCAGCGGCCTGATCTGCAAGCATTCGACTGGAACATACGTGAGAGCTCAATACCCCTTTGATCAAGGAACCATAATGAGGATCCCAATATAGTCTTCAAGTGCGCTCCCTCATCAAACGGGGTCTGGGGCTACCTGAACCCTAAACCCACTCAGACACTCAGATGTGGCCAAGGGGCTGCATGCTTTCGCTAAACCGATATGGAGGCGGCACGCTGCCTACGTAGCAGCGCCTGGGCGGACCGCGGGTTCAGTGTTGATTGCACTTGGTCATTGGCGCTTGACATGAGGATGTCTCAGTTGCAAGGAGGCACATGAGGCCCGGGCGATTGTGAATCCCAAGCTCGCAACACTCAAGTTTGCGAATTGGAAACCAAACACCCATTCAGCGAGGGGCAAGGGCGCCTTCCTGAAGGGAATGCAGGGCATCCCAAAAGCCAAAACCCACTTCTGCCGCCGCTGGCTAGCAAAGCTAATCATGACTTTCATGAAGACGATGGCGCTGCCGGGTGTCCGCTGTCAGGAAATCGCCCTGTCTGGCCGAAGTTTCAATCGACCGCCATCTGAGAACCAAACGGAAGCTGCCTTCCACATGATACCCCCGGCCATCCTCCAGGGTCCCCCAGGGCCCCTTTCAGCTTCAGAGCCCTAAGCCCTGAGCCCTGAACCCTAAACCCTAGCCTCCAAACCACAAACCCGAAAAACATCCGGAATCACCCCAAGAGCACTCGGAAGCACATGCTGAGCTGCCGGCGCCACAAGTAAGTATCGCGTGAGTTAAGTGACCTGCCCAGAGAATCCGGGGGCAGTGGCTCAGATTGCCATGTTAGCAATGATTGAGTCATGCGCATGTGAAGATGCCCACAAATGAAGCCGATTCAACGGAGGCCGGAAGAGACACCTCCCTACTTGTCCAATAACTGGGGGGAATTAAAGGGTAGCCTTTGGGATTATAAGGGGGGTATACTACCTCAAAAAGGTTAAAGGTTACCTACTCTACTGCTAGGCCTCAAGCCCAAGAGACATCAGCATTCCTTTGCCGCTTGCGACAACTGCCTACTTAGAGGGTGCCACTGGCATTGTTGGCATGCACCCGTGGCAGCTTATGGACATCACACAGGATACTCGCATAGTTGCCACACACGTCCAACACCTCGAAGCAAGAAGTACCGAGCATTAAGCCTTACCCCCAACCTTAAACCATGAAGGCCCTAAACCCTAAACCCTAAACCCTAAACCCTAAACCCTAAACCCTAAACCCTAGACCCTAGACCCTAAACCCGAACTAAACCCTAAACCCTAAACCCTAACCCTAAAGCCTAAAACAGCAACTCCGCGCCTGCGAGGGGCCAGCGCGGCCTTCATCCCGCTGATGTTTATGCCCGAAGAGCCGGGGAGGGTGCGGCAGCGAACGTGTTCAGGGAGTTCGGCAAGGAGGAGGAGGGGTTTAGGGTTTAGGGTTTAGGGTTTAGGGTTTAGGGTTTAGGGTTTAGGGTTTAGGGTTTAGGGCTTAGGGCTTCGGGTTTCGGGTTTAGGGTTTAGGGTTTAGGGCCCTGAACCCTAACCCCTAAACCCAAATTAGGCAGTCGGGGGGGGGGGGAAGGTGGTTTAGGGTTGTGTTTGAAGGGCTCTTTATATACCGTTTCTATGGGCCCCTGGGGTTTAGGGTTTAATATGGGCCCGCACCTATAACACACCCAACATGGACCTTCAGGGTTCCCCGAAAAGGGTTTAGGGTTTAGGGTTTAGGGTTTAGGGTGTAGGGTTTAGGGTTTAGGGTTTAGGGTTTAGGGTTTAGGGCCCAGTACCCTCCAAACATTACAATGCCCTGCACTTGTTTTGCCTCGCCCCGCTCTTTCACAGCAGCATGCGGCATGCGCAGTCTGTTTCAATGCGCTTTCTGGCTCCTTGGCGACTCAGCGCTTCACAATTCTTTCACAATCCAAGCTGCTCGCCTTCAGGCATGAAGCCCCTTAAGGGCTTGAGCTTGCGTCGAGCTTGCACACACTTCGAGAGTAGCCACCAAAGAACTTCTGAATACGGCAATCCTGGGCAACAGCTTTTGCCGACCCGGAGCCAAACACTGACATGGAGCGTGCACATTTGACGGCATGAAGTGTTCGGTGGCAAATGAAACATTCATTAACAAACCTGAATGCTTGGCCTGGGGAGCAGCCCACTCAGAGCCAAATGTTGCATGCAACTTATCCGTCACTGACATTACACTACACAGCTGATATCTCTTCCGCCTCCTTACGCTTGTAGATGATGATGTACTCGGGGTAAACCTGGTCACTGTTGAAAACAATGAACTCCCTGTACGTTCCCCGAGCTTTCTCGCGATCTCCCAGAACTGAATCATGATGACCTTGCCGAATGTCTTGCACAAGAGCTCCAACATCGGGCTTCGCTTCGTCGGTGTAGATCCAGTCGCCGCATGTAACTCTGCATAGCAACATGCAGAACAGGCCAGTGTAAAGGCCCTCTTTGTCGTCAGAAGCATATTCATCCGCCTTACTGGAAGCTTCGGCAAAGTAAAGCCCCTTCCCGTAGAGAGTTCCTGTTTGAGATCCGGCCATGTCTACACGGAAATCGGAGCTGCAAATCTGATTCGCCGCTGATGGTCTTGTTCCATGGAACAAGTAGAACTCACGAACTTCTTCAGCAAGTGACAAGCAGCCAGCAGTCTGAGAGAAGGCATCACACAGGCTGGTCTTCGCAGTCTCTGCCGGCAAGCGTTTGCCCTCACATTGTTTGCGGATGCGCTCTCGCTGGCGCCAGTATGCCGCCCAAAGACTAGGGTTCTCATTCCGCAAGACCTGTACGACTTCGAACTGTTTGACGCTGCGGCCATGTCCCTCCTCGTCTTCCTTTGCCCTGTCTCTTGTCACGGTGGCCTTCCAGGTGCTATCCATCAGGGATTGTATGGCTTTGCAGGTTCCTGCGGTCTCCTGAATCCGTCGTGAAGAAACTTGCCCATCCTCCGCTTTCCAATACGCAGGCATCTCTACTGCAAGGCTGCTCATGTCATCCAAAAAAGGAGATGCTCTCATTTCATATTGCCCTTCCCAGCACATCCAGCCCTTTTCTCGCATCCAACTCCATCTGCCATTGTCCGAGGGCCAGTTGTGTCCGACCAGGGCACAAGTTGGAAGGATATTCTCACCCAGGAAGCTGACTCCCTTGACAGTGTCAATGTAGATGACTTCACCGCTCTTCGCAGTGTTGTGAGTCGCGAATGCTACCCGTGAGGCATGAAAGCAAAATGCTTCTGGCTTGGAAGACAAAGAAATCCGGTCCAGCAGCACGACTTTCGACAGAGTCTGGCCCTGCCCATCTTCAAGCACCAAGTAGGCAGAGAATTGCCGGCCAGAGGTTGATGAATGCACACTGAACTGAAGCAGGGGAGAACCTGCTGTCCCAAATGAGAGGGACGGCCGCATCTCATATGCTCCTGGTGAGGACATCCTCCCTTCTTCACGGAGGTGTTTTTGATTGCTCATATTGCTCCCCTTCCCCTCCTCTCCCGTCATGATTGCGCTTGGCAGGATGTTTTCACCAAGCAGAGATACCCCGTTCTTGAGGTCCAAGTGTATGCCGCCCCCTGCAGCCACAGCATTTGGGGCATTGCTTTCTTCGGCCTCATCCTCATGATATACAAAGACAACGCTGGCCAGATAGACAGAAAATTGGACCCAAGTTGATGGCAACTCCTGTCGCTGGACCACTTGGGCTGCAACGATAGCACCTTTGAGGTCTTGGCATGAGATCTGTGCTGCGAATTCTCGGCCTGGCGCTCTGCCTCTCACCTGGAACTCCAACAGCTTGATGCCACGCGAGAGCTCTGGCTCCTCCGCTTTCCAATACGCAGGCATCTCTACTGCAAGGCTGCTCATGTCATCCAAAAAAGGAGATGCTCTCATTTCATATTGCCCTTCCCAGCACATCCAGCCCTTTTCTCGCATCCAACTCCATCTGCCATTGTCCGCGGACCAGTTGTGTCCGACCAGGGCACAAGTTGGAAGGATATTCTCACCCAGGAAGCTGACTCCCTTGACAGTGTCAATGTAGATGACTTCACCGCTCTTCGCAGTGTTGTGAGTCGCGAATGCTACCCGTGAGGCATGAAAGCAAAATGCTTCTGGCTTGGAAGACAAAGAAATCCGGTCCAGCAGCACGACTTTCGACAGAGTCTGGCCCTGCCCATCTTCAAGCACCAAGTAGGCAGAGAATTGCCGGCCAGAGGTTGATGAATGCACACTGAACTGAAGCAGGGGAGAACCTGCTGTCCCAAATGAGAGGGACGGCCGCATCTCATATGCTCCTGGTGAGGACATCCTCCCTTCTTCACGGAGGTGTTTTTGATTGCTCATATTGCTCCCCTTCCCCTCCTCTCCCGTCATGATTGCGCTTGGCAGGATGTTTTCACCAAGCAGAGATACCCCGTTCTTGAGGTCCAAGTGTATGCCGCCCCCTGCAGCCACAGCATTTGGGGCATTGCTTTCTTCGGCCTCATCCTCATGATATACAAAGACAACGCTGGCCAGATAGACAGAAAATTGGACCCAAGTTGATGGCAACTCCTGTCGCTGGACCACTTGGGCTGCAACGATAGCACCTTTGAGGTCTTGGCATGAGATCTGTGCTGCGAATTCTCGGCCTGGCGCTCTGCCTCTCACCTGGAACTCCAACAGCTTGATGCCACGCGAGAGCTCTGGCTCGGGCTTGGGCTCAGGAGCCTTCTTGGGCTCAGGCCTGCTAGGCGCGCCAGGCGTTTTAAATGCCGGCCGGTTCTTGCATCTGCTGTCACATCCTGTTCCCTGCTTGCAGCCCATACAGCAATATCCGATGGCATCATCCTTCACTTTTTGACACTCTGGCCGCCAGCACTTCGTTGACACGTTGCTTGTGCACAAAGGTCCGCACCCCCAGCCTTGGCGACACCCATGGCAACAGTAGCCGTCGAAACGCGACTGTCCTTCCTTATGACACGTCTGGCGTGTGCACTTCAAGGGGAGGGGCTTGCTGTTGGCGCATCCCATGGCCGACCCAACGGCTTGTGAGCCGCTCTGTGCAGAGAGTGCTGGTCAAGGCAACGATACTTCAATGACCCCAGTGCGCCAGGCACTTTACGGACTGTACGGACTTTACGTATGGTCGCAAGGACACGATGGCTGCGTCTTCCATGCAGGTGCATCATGCTCTGACAGTACAGGCACTCCGCATAACACTTAGGGTTAAGTAGATGGTTGCAATCGCTCCTCCAGCCCGATATGACTAAAGGCACATACGTGAATAGCTCCTTGATCCATCGAGGCACGCGTGGAATTACTAGCCTCCATGCGACTTCCGAAAAGGGCACCCGCCACAGGGTTAGGGTGTTCAGACCTTAGCTGGAGGGAAATAGGGCTTACTCGGTGCTGTCTCTGTACCTGAGCAACTGAGCGCGACTGCACTGTGAACCAGCACATCATCGGGACCAGGGTTTAGGGTTTCTGTTGTCACTCCGGGTTTAGGCTTTAAGGTTTAGGGGTATGAGTCTGAAGGCATCTCGATTCAGCAGTATTGGGCTCGCTGGGTGTTTGCTGTGCATGATGAACCGGGTGGCAGGCTCGCGTCAGCATTGCAACGCCATTTTTTGAGCTCCAGGGCACTTATGGCTCGCTGGTCACTGTCACTACATGGCCACAATTGCGGTTGCCGACTATTTTGGGGTATAGTGGGACATACTCGGTGGCATTGGTGGTAAACTTGCAAAACAGCCAGCGGAGTTGTACCACCAGACAACAAGACTTATGCCGCGTTGGGTGTTTGGGGACTCCATATCCCGGACCCTACGCCCCTTTAGAACGTTTTACCCTTCCCCGTAAAAACCCAAAAACCCCTGCATCAACCCTAAACCCAAACCCCAAACCCTAAACCCTAAACCCTAAACAACCATGACTACGAAGATCCTGCTTCCCTCCGCGGATAATCCCGCGGCCGCAGCGCATCATTCTCATCCTCGCGGTGGAACTTCCCACCCTGAGGCACGCCGACTTGGGCGCCCCCCGTGGCGTCGCAAGGGGTTTGGGGGGCAACCCCCTAGAAGCCATCCCTGAACACGAAACCCTAAACCCTAAACCCTAAACCCTAAACCCTAAACCCATCCTAAACCCTAAGGACTTTGGCGCTCAGAGCTTAGGGTCTCAGGGCATAAAGCCACGCGAAAGGCTTCATGATCCGTGAGCGTACAGTTAGCCCTCGACGAGAGAACAGGAATCTGGAGCACTTGCCTCTGTGCGTTCACCGGCCCTCTTCAGCCCTTTTCCAAAGTTCCCTATACTGAGCTTGGAACCCTAGCAAAAATTAATCATTTTTTGTGGTTCTTAGAATTGCAGTACCCGGGAATCAAATATCATTCCCAAGTATCCCGAAGCAAGAGTTAGGATCCATCGCATGTAAGCCCTCACCGACATGAAGGGGCATTGTAGCACCAACACAGACATACCTCCCGAACCAGATTCAACGAAACGGAAGCTCGGCCCACAGATCCCAAAACGCCGTTCAATCAAGAAATTTAACCCCGAACTCAAGAAAAAAGAGCCTTGGGGTTTAGGGTTTTTGCGCCAGGGCTTGGGTTTAAGTCAAAAAGGTTCGGCCTTTCCTGTGGCAACTTCCACAATTGCGCCGGCAGTAGGCTTTCGATGCCCTAAACCCTAAGCCCTTTTTTAAGACTGGAACTGAGGCCAGCGCAGCAAACCCTAAACCCTAAACCCTAAACCCTAAACCCTAAACCCTAAACCCTAAACCGGGCAGTAGGCTCTTGGGAATGCGAGGGGAGAGTTGGAGCGGCCTCAGAGTCGTAGTACCAGCCTTGGCCAAGAGCTTCAAGGCTGTTCTGGCAGGCTTTTCTAGGGTTTAGGGTTTAGGGTTTAGGAGTATAGTATATGCAGGGCACCCTGTATAATGTTGGACCCTGTTTAGTAGGGGCCTCCCCTTTAAAGACAATTTGGCCGAATTATTCAGGACATCGTGACTGTTTGGGAGTCCCTCTTTGAAGACAAACCGCTCCCGAATTCCGGGACGTTTTAGGATTGGAGGCTTGTTTCGGCCCGGCTCCGGCTTAAAGCCGGGCCTTATGATTTTAAAGCCGGACCTGGTGATTTTAAAGGCCGACCTCATCCATTCCAACCGGCCCGAAACCATTAATTCCCTTTAAGAAACCGTTTGAAAAATTGGTTTCGTTCAATCCGACAAGGGGGTGGTCCAGGAGCCCCCTTCGGCCCCCAATAATGGGACTGATTCGGGACCCGCTTTAATGTCTAGGCCCCGGCGTGGAGGCTCCGAATTTGGAAAAACCTATGGATCCCTTTGAAATTCATATAAACTCATCCCGGACCCCCTCTCGATTCGCGCGGCTCCCTTTTAAATTCATAAGCTCACCCCTTGTAAATGCATATGGATCCCTTTTAAATCTATCTAAACTCCTCCCTATTAAAATCATATAAGCCATTATTATTATAGAGGGCAAAATCCAGCCTCGACTGTTCGGGGGGGGGGGGGGGGCCCACACAAAACAGGGTCCCCCACTAACCCTTCAAGGGTATATATCCCTAAACTCTAAACCCTAAACCCTAAACCCTAAACTATATATACAGAAAGCGTCACAACGCGGGCCCGAGTTTGTGGGGTTCCCACGATTGTGATGTTTTTCTGGCAATATAATAGGGCACCTTATAGAATCCCTTGAAAGGGTATATCTACACCCTGGGTACCCTACATAATATATATATATATATATGTGTGTGTGTGTATATATATATATAGAGGGCCCGAATTCCCTACTGAGAACCAGAGGGCTTTAGAGTTAGGAAGTTTGGGGGGCGTTCGGGCTGCCAAACCCTCAACCCTTTTTTTGCCTAAACCCTAAACCCTAAACCCTCAAGCCTAAACCCTTTTTTGCCTGAACCCTAAGCCCTATTAAACACAACAAATATAAGCCCTCTACCGGCGGCGAGGTTAGTGGGGATTCTGGGGCCGGAGCCCGCCAAAACCCTATCCAGAATTTATAGGTTTCCCTACTACCCCCCCCCCTCTACACTACCCCCCCGAAGTTCCCCCGTTAAATATCTTTAACTAGGCTTAATTGTCCCTAAGTAGCCTGAATTATGGGGGGGAGGGGGGGAACCTAGGGGTAGTATGGAGAGGGGGCAGTAGGGAAACCCATGAAGAATCTCTGTCACAGCCCTACTTGAAGGTTCATGGGTAGTGATAAGTAAGGTAACTGTAATTACATCTGGCTATCACCACATTTCGGGTACTTAGAGCCCTACTTATAGCTGCCATGAACCTCCAAGCAACTGTTCTTGGAACTCCCAATTTTTGCAAGGTATGATTCACAGAGCCAAAGGGGAAGCCCACAGTTCTCCGAAAGAACGGTCTACAAGCCCTAAACCCTAAGCCCTAAACCCTAAACCCTAAGCCCTAAGCCCTAAGCCCTAAACCCTAAACCCTAAGCCCTAAACGCCAGGCCCCCCGGCAGGAGATAGCCATCCGAGGTTGCACGTTGGCTCCCCCGGCCACAGGCTTCACCTGTGGCTTGGGCTTAGGGCTTTTCTTGCCACCCGCCTATCATGGGTGTCGGGTTTCGGGTTTAGAGTTTGGGTTTGGGGTTTGGGGTTTAGGGTTTAGAGGAAACGCAGGGAGGGGAAAAGTCCAAGTGCAAAGTTCCACTTGTTTGGGCCCAAGGTGTCTTCTTTCAGGCTTTTTCGGGGTTCCAAGCCGTTGAGATCATAGCTCAATGCCCCCATCTTCCCCCGAGCCACTGAACAAGCCCGCTTTTTACATCTGGACGTCCTTGCTGCCAGGACATAGAAGCCCTAAACCCTAAACCCTAAACCCTAAGCCCTAAACCCTAAGCCTTCGAGACCGCCCGCCTTCCCGGGCCCCTGTGAAAAACTCTCTGAGGAGCGGACTGCGTGGAGGTTCCTGGGATCTCCAGGATGCAAACAGATCCAAAATCCAACGATAGATGGGAAAAAACCCTCCAGAGTCGTACAAATCAGACGAGTCGTAGTACTTGGGAAGAGTGTCTGGTAAGGGCAATCACACCTAAACCGATGCGGTCAGCTCCCGGAGATTCTGAGCCCACCCTACAAGAACCCTGGTTTGTAGAACTCGCTCTCTCAACGTGTTGCGAATGAGTCTTCAAGTATGTAGGTTGCAACTAAGCTCAGACATGACATCTTACTTCTGACTCGCACTTAGAGCTTCTCGAACCACAGGGCTTGCATGTCCCTTGCGAACCAATCCCCCACGGGCATGAACTCACAAAACGCCCCGAAACTCACAAATCAAAACGCCCGAAGCCACCCAGTTTCAAGAACCAACCGTATGCGCTCTCCACACTTCCTTTTTTGACTCCAGGCTCAGCCGGATTCGAACTTACCGACAACGTCTGCGAAAAAGAATGTCTGGACAACTCCCACAGACCCGAATCCCGAAACCAGTAGCCCTAAACCCTAAACCCTAAACCCTAATCCCTAAACCCTAAAGCCCTAAACCCAAAAAACCCTAAAGGCGGTTGGGTCCGAAGGTCTTACTGTCGCAGAGGAAGCAGGCCAATCGTCCGTGGAGGGGCTCAACCTGAGCTCAGTCTTCCTTGAGGGCCTTCTTCTTGGGGCTTGGGCTAGCTCTGCCTGGGGGTTTAGGGTTTAGGGTTTAGGGTTTAGGGTTTCGGGTTTAGGGTTGAGGGTTTAGGGTTTAGGACCCCCTGAGGAGCCCGGAACATCCTAGACCATGACTGGAGGCATGCTTTTGAAAGCGTGGGAAAAACCAGCTGCGGGATCATGGGGTACTCGATGTTGGGAGGTTCCCCCTGACACTAACAGGGATTCTGGTACTGGATGTTACAACTTGGGCGTTTGTAAGGGAACCCATGTTCTGCACTGAAAATCCTAGGACTCTCCAATTTCGGCACAAGAGCCGGCTCAGACTTGATCCCAGGGCGGGCACAGCTTCCCACAGCAATCTTGCACCCTAAAGGCCATGAGGACGCAAGAAAACTGCCTGACTCATCGGCAACATGCACACACTGCTGCCTCGAAGCCCTAAAACCCCAAGCATCCACATGATGATGGCCCCAAGCACCCCCCAAGCCAAGAAAAACCCAACTCCTGAAACCTTCAAATGGCCTCATGGCACGGCCCAGAAGGGATAATGCCGCGGGCCTCAAGAGGTAGGCTGTCCGCGGTTGAAGACTCTTTCCGATTTCAGGGGTTTATGGTCCAGGGTTTAAGGGCACCAAAACTAGAACCATGCTGAAGTATTCCTAAATCTAATTCCGTTCTCACCCTCTTAAACCCAATTAGGGGCAAAGGAAAAACGCTAGAGGGCTCTAAGGTGGCAGCCGTGCCTCATCTCTGTCAAGATGCGATTGAGGGGAGGTGCTTGAAGCTTCATGGGTAGTTAGAAGTAGGGGAACTAGAGTTAAAAACGGGTGATGACCTTATGAGGGTACTGATAACCCTGCTACTTGCAACCACCCATGATCCTCCAAGTGGGGTGCGAGAACCGGGGGCTCGAATGCCTTTTGGGGCTTCTCCAACCGCATAGCTGGAGAGACCACTCCACAGCGCATCCAGCGTTTAGGGTGTAAGGTTTTAGGGGCTCCCCTTCTTGCAACATGGGCGTTTCCCCAAGTAAGGGCCCTCTCTATACCCCAACTCGCATAGAATCCCCTTGAAGGGGCCAAGGGGCCCCCCAAAAGGGCACCCCTATGTTCGGAAGCCCCACATGCCTCTGGAAAGATCTGGAGCTCTGCGCCGTCGCCCGGCTGCCAGAAAGGGTTCAAGTACCTCAGGAGGATCGACAACCATGAGAGGCCAGTGTCATAAAAGAGACAAGCCAGGCGCGCTGTCGCAAGTTGAAGACCCAACCTTAAGAACCCCAAACCATCGCAGTAGCCTGCAAAAGTGTGGGTTGTGTTGCGTCCGGCATGATACCTGCACCCCTTGAACAAGAAGCACTTTTGAACCGGTTGAATTAGAGACCCCCCGCGCCTGAAGACCCACAGAGAGAGCTCCCTTTGAAGGCCCATCACCCTAAACCCTAAACCCTAAACCCTAAACCCTAAACCCTAAACCCTAAACCCACTGAGAGCCATAGCATGATGCACGTGATCTTCCGCCCGTTGTCGCCCGCCACGCAGTCGAAGTGTGGCGCGTAGCGCGACCCGGTGCCGGCGTAGACCTGGATGGTAGGGCTTAGGGGCTTCAGGGCTGGGCTTGGGGGGCTTTAGGGTTCCAGGAACTTTGGGTCTCTAAAGTTTAGGACATCTTGGAGATGACATTTGTGGGGGGAGGGGTTGTTTTTTTTCGGGCGGGATAGGGTCAAGGCGTTGGGTTTTGATGCCTTCTGCACCTGTACCACCGCACCCTCACTTCCCCAAGACGCCTCTGAACCCCCGGAAAAAGTTAACCCCCTAAACCCCCTCCCAAAACCCTAAACCCCAAACCCCAAACCCTAAACCCTAAACCCTAAAACCCAAACCCCCTTGTTGCTGGGGGCCCGGGCAGCAGCCATGGGCCGACCGCGCATGAGCCAAAGGCCCTGGAGCTCGGGAACCTGCTTTCTTGCGGCCAGGAATTAGGGCTTTAGGGTTAGGGTTTAGGGTTGAGGGTTCAGGGTTCAGGGTTGAGGGTTCAGGGTTCAGGGTCTAGGGTTTAGGGTTTAGGGTTTAGGGCTTGGAGTTGAGGGTTGAGGGGGGGCTTAGGGTGGTCGCTGACCACACACGATCAGCACGCCATCCACTCAGCTCGTAAACCCCAACGCCGACTCGCCCAGCTAGCATGAAGCCATGACCGCCCAAGTTGTCTCGTGCCCAGCTTGGTGACTTTCACCCTAAACCCTAAACCCTAAAGTCTGCGGCACTCCGCGAAGTCAGATTGCGACCAAGGATGCAGGGTTTAATCCCGTGGGGATTCCGATGGTGACTTGCTTGGCCGGAGAGAGAACCCTAAACCCTACACCCTAAACCTGATGTTGATAGGACCTACAGGTGAAGACACGATGACGTAATGAGGCACACGGCATCCAAGGCAAGATGCTGCCAAGAGTGCTCTCTCCTCCTCCGGTTTTCTTTTCGGCTTGGACAGCATACCGCATCTACACGGGATTCTCTCTCAACCCTAAACCCTAAACCCTAAACCCTAAACCCTAAACCCTAAACCCTAAATGCGCGGGCAACCCATGGCTCCGGCCTCCTTCGCCATGCCGAGGACCTCTTGAGCTGCCCCCGGTTACGAGGGCTGGGGTTTATTACTATTGTTATTGTCATTACTAATTACTAATATTACTATTGTTCTTACTATTATTCTCATGATTCTTATTGTTTTTACTATTACTTTTCTTATTCTTTTTTTCTTATTCTCATTATTCTCATTATTCTTATCATTCTTATTTAGGCTTTTTTGGCGCCCACATCGCTGGACGAACCACTCCGCAGGGATGTTGGTACGACAGCTGTGTGCGTGACCGGAAGTGAGGGCGGAGCTTCGATTCTTGCAGGCCTTTTGGGTCGCCCCCGAGACAAGTGCAGTATCAAGCTAAGTAGTACTACGAAACAAGGCTCGTGCAAGTCTTATCTCTCCTCTCCCGCCTGTCTTTACTAGATTACAGGCCGCCGCTGGTCTTGCCCCATTCCAAACGCTCGATCCAGCACAGGGTTTACAGGGTTTACAGGTTTAGGGTTTAGGGTTTAGGGTTTAGGGTTTAGGGTTTAGGGTTTAGGGTTTAGGGTTTAGGGTTTAGGGTTTCAGGTTGGCGGCCCATTACCAGGCTGGCCCTTTCAACTTGAAACCCTCTGAAACAGGGGGGGTCAGGGTTAGGGTTTAGGGTTTAAGGTTTTTTGCCACCCGCAGGGTTTAGGGTTTAGGGTTTAGGGTTTAGGGTTTAGGGCTTAGGGTTTAGGGCTTCGGGTTCTGGGAAACCATGACGGGGACTTGGGGGATGGAGGACCTCGAGGACCTGTCTTGAAAGCAGTGCTCCGACCGTACAGTGGGTCACTCACCTGGACAACCCTAAACCCTAAACCCTAAACCCCTAACCCCTAAGCCCCTAGACCCTAAACCCTAAGCAAGAACCTCTTAAGCTTCCGGGCACAAGGTGCCCTGGGTTTGGGAGGCCCCGCGAGGCGATCCAGTCGCCGGGTGAAAGCTGCGATGATGGGGTCGCCCTCCTGGTGGTTTAGGGTAAGGTTTAGGGTTTATAGGGTTATAGGGTTCAGGGTTCAGGGTTCAGGGTTTAGGGTTTAGGGTTTAGGGTTTAGGCTTTAGGCTTTAGGGTTAGTAGGAGGGTTGAGGGTTGATGGGTGGGTTTGTGGCGCGCCTCCTTTGGGGCGCAAGCCTTTCAACCAAAGATCCTGAAGGAATTCCGGGGGGTTTAGGGTTAGGGTTTAGGGTTTAGGGTTTAGGGGTTAGGGGTTAGGGGTTAGGGGTTAGGGGTTAGGGGTTAGGGGTTAGGGGTTAGGGGTTAGGGGTTAGGGGTTAGGGGTGAGGGGTGAGGGGTTAGGGGTTAGGGGTTAGGGTTTAGGGTTTAGGGTTTGGCAGGGCCTCCATGAAGAGGTAGCTGTCTGACCTGACCTTCTCCCGGACGCCGCCCTCCACCTGACAAATTCAGAGACCCTCACAAAGAAGCTTAGGGTTTAGGGTTTAGGGTTTAGGGTTTAACGTTTAGGGTTTAGGGTTCAGGGTTCAGGGTTTAGGGCAGGCAGCACTTAGGGATTTAGGCTGAGATGCGGCTCGTGGGTTCTAAAGTTGCGGCTGGGAATCGAACCCTAAGCCCGAAACCCTACACCCTATATAAACCCTAAGCCTTGGGCCCTTAGCCCAAAGAGGTGATGGCTTGGATGATCGCCGGAAAAACCCTTTTGCATCCGGGACTCTCACATCAATGGCGCGGACCCCTGACAACCCCCTTGTTGTTTTTTGAGGAGGGACTGCCCCAGCACTTTGTTTTTTGCATCCGGACTCCCCTGGGTGTTGCCAGAAAACCCTAAACCCTAAACCCTAAACCCTAAACCCCCAAAAACCCTCCCTGGCCCATGGGCCGCCTCCCCCTGCTGTAGCTGACCGCCCTCCCAGAGTTCCAGCAGCCGGGCCCGCACCTGGGCTTCCTAAACCCTAAACCCCAAACCCTAAACCCTAAACCCCAAACCCTAAACCCTAAACCCCAAACCCTAAACCCTAAACCCCAACCCTAAACCCTAAACCCGAACCCCTTCTTGCAACTGGGCTTGGGGGCTAGCCAGATCCGACCTCTCAATCATCATGACTGAGGCATGCGCACAGAGAGCTCTGCAGGAACCCGAAACCTCTTTTTTGGACACCCTCAACCCTATTTTCTTGTAGGAAATGCGGGAATCAGTTACCCCACACAACCCCTTAAAGGCATAAATATATAGGGGGATAGAGGGTACCTCATTTCCTCATTCCCTATTCAGATCCAGCAAGGCAAAAGGATTTGGGTTCGGGGACCTATATTTTGCTGACGAATGTGGGGGCCTTGACAATTAGAAAAGGGTTTTGTCGTGGGTTATTCGGGTGTAGTCATATAGGGACCATAAGGGAATACTACTAGTCCAGGCCCCTCCAAGCACTCGAGCAAGCACTCGAGCACATTGCAGGGACGACTTAAGCGGACGAAATAGTTAAAACACAGAGTCAGACAATTAGCCGCACTCTTCAACCGCACCCTAGAACCCCAACAGTACATGGGCTCTAAAGGTTGAGGGTCTATGGCTTAAGGGGTTAGGCTTTACGATTGGACGATGAGGGTGTTGAGCGTACGGGGTGGGGGGTTTAGGGCTTTGTTGGAGCCCGCAAGGCAGATCAAGTAAACCAACCAAATTACCCTGCAAGCTAGCCAGCTGCATCCTCCTAGCTAGCCAACCAATGTGAGCTCCACGTCCCTCTTCGCCCCACAGCGTGCCCCCACCCATTCACCCCACATGATTGCGTGCTCTCGAGGGAAGTAGCTAAGTAGCTAACACCTCTTGGCTTGGACAGCATAGGCTGCCGATTACGGCCTTCGGCAATTCAGGGAATCGCAAATCATCATTGTGGAAATACAAGCCGATCTCGACGCAGAGCACGAAAGGTCATCAGCACAGGGATGTTTGGAAGATAACCCCAGCGAAACCTGCAATACCGGGCAAGACTACCCCGACAACATCAGGGAGGCCCTAAACCCTAATTAAACCCCAAACCCTAAACCCTAAACCCTGAACCCTGAACCCTAAGCCGGACAAGGCTTCTCTGCAACAGTCAACTTCGGGGTTTCAAAGGTTTCTGGCTCGGGCTCCGGCTGCGTCTGCTTCAGCTGCAGCGAGAAACCTGAGCACTTCACTCAAGGTTTAGGGTTTGGGGTTTAGGGGTTTAGGGGTTTAGGGGTTTAGGGGTTTAGGGGTTTAGGGGTTTAGGGGTTTAGGGGGTTAGGGGGTTAGGGGGTTAGGGGGTTTAGGGGTTTAGGGGCTTAGGGGTTTAGGGGTTTAGGGGTTTTGGGGTTTAGGGGTTTAGGGTTGAGGGGCAGCCTGCCCTGCGCAGGCTCAAGTACTCCTCTGGCCTCAACTCTCGGCCCCTAGGTGAGAACAACCGCCCGTGCGCATCATGCGGAGAAGACCCCCTTACTTGAAGGTTTAGGGTTTAGGGTTTAGGGTTTAGGGTTTAGGGTTTAGGGTTTAGGGTTTAGGGTTTAGGGTTTAGGGTTTAGGGTTTACCTTTTAGGGCCTTAGAACCCCAGACCCCTAACCTCGTGTAAGTATAAGTCTGGCTATAAGTACCCTAAATAAGGTGATAACCACAGCTCCCCTACTGATAACCCTACTTGTAAGAACCTCCAAGTAACCCCAATATACCGTGTCAATGGAACGGGCATTTTAGGTACCTTGGAGTAGAAGTGTAGAGAAGTTGGGATGTCCCCCCCCCTTATACTAACAGTCCTTTAGAGGGATTCTGATAGGGGGCACAGTACTAAAGGATCCCGATTAAGGACTGTGAGTATAAGGGGAGAACATCCCAATTAAAGGGGCGATCTGGCCTCAGAAATCCGGCTCCTCCATCCTTTAAAACTGAGGAGCCCGCCCATCGTGCCAGCCAAAGCCTGGAGCAATGCAGGAATCCATTTAATCGCTACTCATTGCCTAAGAACCCCAAAAAAATGACAAAAACAATCCTCCTTTGTAAAGGCAATATAGGGATTCTCATTTTTTAATTGTTTGGGGACTCTTAAGAAAATTGTAGATCAGAATATGGGTATCCTTCGGATTGCGTTGGAACTACATGGGAATTCACACGGGGGTGAGGCGATGTTATCCTGCACTTTCTTTAGTTTGTTGCCACGGCTCCTGAATTTAGGCATCCGGGGTTCTGCTTGGCGTGGTAGGATCGTGCTCAATTCACACCCTGTGAACTCAGAAAACAAGCCCCAAGCGGGCAAGCAGGGTTTAGGAATGAGGGTCTAGGGTTCAGGGTTCGGGGTTTAGGGTTTAGGGTTTAGGGTTTAGGGCTTACAGTTTCGGGTTCAAGGGCTTCGAGTCATGTGGAGCTTCTGACACACGCTGCTTCTGGCTGATTGGTGATAAACCCTCGACCCCTTTTAACCCTAAACCCTGTCATTCCCTAAACACTTAACCCTGAAGCCTGAAGCCCTATACACCCTTCACCACGTTTTGACAGCTTTGGACCCTTATAGTCCTCTAATGACCCAGAGTCTAAGGACTGTACGTAAGATCTCAAGGGTTCAGAACGGAGGCTGTGCTGCAGCTTAGGCAGTGGGGCCTGCATTGTTTTGGGCAATACACAAGGATCACCAGGAAGCCATAGCGGTGGTGGAAGTAGTCGTCGTCGTCGTGGTGGTAGTAGTAGTAGTAGTAGTAGTAGTAGTAGTAGTAGCAGCAGCAGCAGCAGTCGTAGTCATCGTAGTGCTACGACTACCAGTACCAGGCATCCTGAGCAGACAACCCCAAACCTTCAACCCCTGAACCCCCAAACCGCCCTCAAAGCCTCGGCCGGCGAGCGTTGGGCGGAGGTGCTCGGGCGCAGGCGCCGCTGCCGCGAACGCCAGATGGAGCCTCGGAAGGCCAGCCGCAGGGGTGAGGATCCCTCTTGTTTTTTAAACCTCAACCCTAACCCCTGCCCTAAAGCCCTAAACCCCTCAACCGACCAACTCCAAGTAGCTTGAAGGATGATGGGACACGACATTAGGGTTTAGGGTTTAGTGAAGTGCGAAGGGTAACAGCATGAGTACAACTAAGAACTGTTTCGATTGCAGCTTTCGAGTGGTGGTGATGCTGATTGCTTGGTTTCGCAATCGCGGCTGCAGCGACATGAACACTCGACTGGTCTCAACCCAAAGAATGTGAAGTGGCCAAGATCAAACTACTCTTTAGACATTGTAGTATCTTCGATGATACCATCTGTATATATATATATACACATATAAGCTACAGTCGGGCCTGTGTAAAAAATAGGTTTCTGTGACTTAAATAGGGTTGCCCATAGAACTTTAAGAGACTTTTTGTAAAATTCACCCCTCTCGGGATGTCCTGTCCAGCCTAAGGCTTGCAAGGCCACTTCTGCCTCTCTTTTAGGGGTTTTAGGGTTTAGGGTTTAGGGTTTAGTCCAGCTTCCCTCACTTCTTTTGGGGTGCGCGGGGTAGGGATCCGGCGTGACTATCGGAATGGCCCTGAAGCCCCCGTCCCCGAGTCAATCCCTGAGCAGCGCTGGCCGAGGGGACCACTCCAGGCGACCTGTGCGACGCCTACAGAAGCGTCGCAAAGGGCTTCGGGGCGAGTGGGTGTTGGGGTTTCGTGGGCGTTGGGGTTTCGTGGGCAGACTTTTTGTCGAGCAAAGCAACCTTCAGCGCGGCGCCGTGCTACGGGCATACCACGGAGGCCCTACAGCTGTCATACAAGGCATGGCTTTCATCCCACCACCCCAAACCGACTCCTTACAGCTGAGGGCTGCAGCTTACGTAGGCCTCTACATCAGCTCAAGCTACACCCCATCCCCCGAAGCTACGCATAAAAGCCTTGGGGAGGGTAGCTATCCTCCAAAGGCGCGTCTCTTTTCCTGGCACGAAGTTAAAACCCAGGTTGGAACCAAATCCGGTAAGAAAAACCGTAGATATCGGTCAAGATAAGTTTGAAAGCGATGGCACGTTGTGACTCACGAGCCGCCCTTGGAGAATCACTCCAAAAGGCGTCGCGCCCTCCGCCCTGGCCAAACACCTGTGGCCTCCGCACCACGCTGCACCGAGCTTGGTCCACGCGAAACCCCACGGGCAGGGTCAGCCTCGCGCGTGGGGGGTTGGGGGTTGGTTTAAAAGTAGGATTCCTGTTTTTGGTTCCGAGTGTGATACCTGAGGCCTATGTTTAGGGTACCCGCAAAAGGGCCCATGATGTAGAGAACCCCACATACCTTTCATGAAAGACCGAAGAGAAGGGGTACTCGAAGGTCCAACTGCAATTCCGTTTTGATGGGCGCAGGGTTTCAGGCAGCGCCACACCCTAAACCCTAAACCCTAAAACCCTAAAACCCTAAACCCTAAACCCTAAACAAACAACGAGCCTGGTGTCAGTGAATCCCATGCTGGAAAGATCTGCTCACGAAACTGGAGATCAAGCAGGGCCCCCGGCTGCCAACCGGACTTCTCCCAGCCTTAGCTGGAGAACGATGGCTGGGGGAGGGGGGAGGCGGGAGGGGGGGGATTTAGTCGTTTTGGGTTTAGGGTTTAAGGTTTAGGGTTTGGGGTTTAGGGTTTGATGATGACTGAGGATTCTGCGAGCTCGACGCGCTGCACACACAGCCTGTGCGCCCGGCGGCAGCGCACAGCACCATCTGAGATGTCCTTGCGGCCACGGTTGTTCTTCGAAGGGCCTAATTACAGCATGGCAGGGTGAGAGTCTGGCTTCCGGAGTCTTGCGCCGTAGGGCTTAGGGGGCGAATTAAGGGGGCCCAGGGGTGGCTGAAGGCAGCTGACGGGTGCAAAGCGCATCATGCGCAGCAGGTCGAGTGCTTGCAGCCAAGCATCCACATCGGGGACTTCAGCGGCAGAGGCCTCAGATGGACCATGCGAAAATCCGAAAGAACTTCTACGTGTATACAGCATAGAGTATGATACATGCAAAGTCCAGGAGACGTCTGGGATGTTGGGTTGGTGGGTGTAAGCGCCTGGGCTTCGGCCCACGAACACAATGGATTAGGTTTAGAATTCGAGGCTTCGGATTTTATCTGGTCTAAGAGCCTTTCTGCCTTCTCATAAACCAGCTTGTGTGCGCGAGCGAAGGCCTTGAGGTTCACCTGTTGTGTTCGCCCTGCCGCCCTGCAAACTCGTGTGGGCTGAGGGGCTTGGAGTTGTGGCTGTAGGGTTTGGCAGCTTGGGGGAGGGGGGCAGTTTAAAACGTGTGAGAGTGTTGGGTGAAAAGTTTGAGTCTGACAAGAAATGGGAGCACGACGCTGCAGCACGATGCTGCAGCACGGACGCCTAGGCTCCCAAGCTGACTCTCCAGGCCCTGCCCAACTTCCGAAGCGCAAACCACTTACCCATCCATCCATGATGCTGGGCCCCCAAAGTTCATGAGTCTTGCCAACTTGTTTTTGCATCGAGGACTTCCCAAGCCCTACGCTCCTAAACCCTAAACCCTTAAGGACTCAAACCCCCTAAACCCCCGATACCCCAAACCCCTGAGTCCATAAAGCAGCAGCCTCAGCTCTCCAAACCCTAAACCCTAAACCCTAAACCCTAAACCCTTAACCCTTAACCCTTAAACCCTAAACCCTACAGCCTCAGCTCTCGACATCGGACCCTGAGCTTGCGCTGCAGGGGCCGAGGATCTCCAGCACGCAGCCGTCGCCTGGGGCCCCAGAAACCTACACTGGTTCGGGTGTGAGGGCTTCGGGTTGAAAGGTTTTTTTAGGGGTTTAGGGTTTAGGGTTTAGGGTTTAGGTTTTTTTTTAGGGATGAGGGTTTAGGGTTTAGGGTTTAGGGTTTAGGGTTTAGAGTTTGGGGGGTTTAGGGTTTTGGGGATTTTGGGGGGCACTTAAAGCCCCAAGAGCCACATGATGTTCCTGGGCAGGCCGGACAAGTGCACTTTGCTTTCGGCCTCCCCCTGAACATGTCGGTGGCCTGGCCCCGCCAACCCAAAAGGTGTCTCCCACAATACGTAAGATTGGTAGAGGGCGCGCGGCCATTTTCTGGCCTTTCTCAAAGCAACTACTCTCAACATCTCCTGCGGAAAGAAAACCCTCATTCCCCTACACATGGGGCTCAATCTTCCAAGTCCCCGAAGCATATGCTGCAACATTGCGCGGCCTTCTGCGGGAAGCCACGTGTAGCGAGGCCTTGGGCGCTTTATGGCTTGCAGACTTCTGTCGCTCCCGCATAGTGCCCTCAAAAGGAACTCGCAAAGTCCGGGAGGGAATAAGTGGAGAAGAGAACGGTCATGTAAACCCATTGCAAAAGCATTGACATTTACATTGTGGTCACTGTCATAGAAAAGCACCAGCACCTACTCGCCCTAAACCCTAAACCCTAATCCCTAAACCCTAAACCTAAACCCCTCTCCACTTTACTTGGACCGTTCTAAGCCCGGGGCATCAGCGGGGATGTCTTCGCTCCTTGCGCTGTCTCATTTAGGTTCTACCGGTTGCTTCTGAACCCGAAAAGAATAAAAAAATGAAAAAACCGATAATCCCTATATTACCCTTCTTAAGGAAGAACATTTCCTTTTTTTCGGCAGGCAAATAGTCTGGTTTCGGGGGGGGGTTGGCGACCTGGGGTCTCGATTTAGGGCCTTCCGTTCTCCAACGCCACGCTGAAGGGAACATAGCAGCATTGGGACCCCCAAAAGGCCAATTTAGATCAACCCTAGGGCAAGACAAGCTTCACCCTGAAAAATGGGCCCACCGCGGCGTCGGATGGGGTGAAACCAATCCGTCACCCCTTTTTGACACAAGAAGTGGCCCCCAAGCGAGCCCAATACCCCTGAATTAAGCCGCTTACTCTAACACTTCAAAGGGGCTCTTATGTTTTACTCCAACACTTTCTAGGGGCTCTGATATCATGAACAAACATCTCTTCTCCGAACTCATTGGGCATTGAGCTCTCCGGACCGGAGCAGGCCTCCTGGTGTCAAGGCGCATTGTGATGTCGCGCCTTTTTCAGAACCTGGCACCGCCCGAAGGAGCTTCGGGATTAGGGTGTGTCTAGGGTTCTGGAGTACCCAGAGCCATGCTCCCTCCTTCCGGTACCTCATCCCCAAAATCCACAACTCCACAAACAAAGCCACGAGAGAGACTCGATACCCCAGCGCCCCAACTTCTTCAGGGAACTCCACTCTGCTTCAAGGCTCCAAACGAGGCACGTGCCTGCAGGTGGCTTTCCTGACTGCTCCGGCGCCTTGCGCGGGAACCCTACACCCGGCACCCGGCGAAAAATTTTGGGATGGGACTGACGAAGTCGCTCACCCCAAGTTATAAGTGGGGTTATAAGTACCCTAAAGTAGGCTATAATCGCTTATATACAACTACGGCTACCCCTACTTGCACCCCCAATTGTCACCACCCATGAACCTTCAAGTAGGCCCTCTTGAGCCCTTTTGCATCCAGGCCTCCTTGCGAACAATGCCGGGTACCCCTAAAAATAAGGTACTTCCCCCCACAACTCCAAACCCCTGATGATGGGTGAGTCCCTCTTGCAGGGGGTTCCCTTTGTAACGGGCCAAGTAGTGTAGAGTGGACTGGAACGTTGAGTTGCAGCCCAAGGCTAAGCAACCCCCCCAGGACGTCGGCTTGGAGTTGGGATTCCCATCTGAAGGGAGCTCTCGCGTCGCAGGCCTTTCTGTTAATCTCGAGACATACACCCCAAACCCTGAAGCCACCATCTAAACGCTCTGGCTCTGACCTCTCTGACTCGCCTGGAACACGATCTCAACCCTAAACCCCTACGCAGCTGGCCATACCTGCGATGGGGAACATGGTGCAGATGAAAGGAGGGGCAGAGAAAGATACAAGTCACATGGTGCGGAAGGTATGGGGGCACAGCCTCGGAATAATGTTCGCGCGCTTTTCACTGATGGATGCCCTGAAGTGATTGATATCAAGCTCCACATAGTCCAAGCCCATCATATCCAGGTAGGCCACTTCTGCTGTCTGTGAAGCACCGAGACCACTTTGAGAACAAACTCTCTCCCGCACTTCGTCGCGGCATAGCTCATGCCAAGAAATCTTTCCTTGGCCTGTTCTGCCCTCAAAGTAGAACACATGAAGCTCTTGTTTCAATTGAACTGCCCTCTCAAGGTTCCTTCTCCACTTTTCGAACCATTGGCAGCCCCATGGGGCCCGAGCGCGATGCTCCAAGCATCGCGCCTCCGCCTTTTGCAAAGCTTCAGAAAGCTCTTGCTGCCAGTCTAGCTCCGATTGGTCTCGTTTGATCAGCAAAAGCTGCCCCATGGCTTCGGCGTCTGCTTTTCTGAACTCCAGCGTCTCTTCGTTGAAAATCTCACCATGCCGGCGATCGGGGCTCACGTCAACAATGCTGAGGTAGGTTGACGCAGGCAAGCGCCCATAAATGGTGTGGCACCAGCACTGTCCTGGTGCGTCTGGTCTTTCGGAATGTTGACCTAATCCAGAGGCACGATTTGTGAGAAATACACAGGCCAATGAGCAGACGTCTTGTTGAGTAGCCATTGAGACTGCTTCGTCCCACAGCCACTATACTTGCCAGGGAATGATACGATACACTTTTCGGCCTCTGGGTTGACTCGGCCAGGAAACGCAATGCGCTTCGAAGCCAACCCGAACCCAAACAGGTCTGAAAGTTTGGCAAAAGTGTCCATGGGATGCTGCCACTGTTGAGGCCCGATCATTCCGCTGAGCAACAGCGCGTTCCAGACTTGAAGGCTGATATCCAACGTCACAAACAGTATGAGAAGATCAGGATCCTTGCCGTGTCCCGACGTGATTCCAAATCGAAATCCATACTGCCCCAAAACTCCAAACGACAATGACCCATACAGGCTGAGGGCAGGCCCCACAACTATGAGCACGCAGTTGATGAACAAGCAGTAGGCCGCCGTCCTAATTGCCTTATCGTCCCAGCCCAAGTACCTTGGTTCCCCAGTAAACAAGAAGAAAAAGGGGCACCCTTTTTCGCAATTAGGGTTTACACGGGAGAAGAACCCCAAAAAGGGAATAAGGGTGCTACTACTACTACTACGACGACGACGACTACTACTGCTGCTACTACTACTACTACTACTACTACTACTACTACTACTACTACTACTACTACTACTACTACTACTACTACTACTACTACTACTACTACTACTACTACTACTACTACTACTACTACTACTCGGCATCCGAGGTGCAGGGCCCTGCATGCTGCAGAGAAGAGGCTGCAAAATTGAAAGGACAATGTTGCGAAGCAGGCAAGAATTGTTCAGTATATAAGCGGGAGAAAGAGCTGTTCCTTTTGGCCCCTCTGGCCCCAACCAGCCCAAAAAGGAATCAGAACCACAAAAAGGCACAGTGACATTCTTGTAAGACCTCTGCATATCCGGGACATGAGCCGCCAGCCCACCGCATGCAACCTCAAATTGGTCATTTCCAACTGCACCACATTGCAAGCTATCTCCCAAAGGAGCATGAAAACGACCAAGAGCTTTCCAGGAACTGGCTCCCACCAAAGAACACTGAAGTCAAAGAGACAGAAAGCAAGGCAGTAGACTACACGACGAGTCCACACATGTAGTGCACATGTGCTTGAGAATCTGTCTGGCCGGTGGAGGAAAACGAATACACCTAGACCGGTGACCATGGGCCTCACTATGCTATCTAAAGTGAAGAACTTCACATCGACGTAGACAGCTGCGACACCAAGGGCGTACAGATTGATGAGGATGCGGGCTGTGGTATACAGCATCACTGGCCATGTCCCGCGTCGAAGCTTTGCAGGTGCAACATGTTTCTGTAGTTCGTTACTCACATCGGCAAGCGTCGACCTTCTGCATGTACGAGACGTGGGGAGCGGGTCTGGCATGTCAGGATTGGCTGCACTTCTCAGCACAAGCTCCACGCCTTCGCTAGCAATGTTTGGTGAAGCCATGGCTTTGCAAGCACGCAGTGGTAGTGTTGAGCTACAAGCCGTCGGCTTTTTTAAGAGGTTCGAAGAAAGGCGCCACAAGCCGACGCGGAACCTTATACCCTGAACCCTGAATCTCTAAACCCTTTGTAATTTAAACCAAACAAAAACTAAGAACAGTTAACAGTTGAGTTTAGGTCTTGGGGTTATAGGCTTGCGGGTTTCTGGCCGGCCTATGTCAGCACATGGCAAGCAGAAAGCTGATTCTTGACTCGGCACCCCTGCCTGTGCAGAAGTCACAAACCCTCCTCCCCCCCCCCCAACAGACCAAACCCGATCAAAGACCCCCAAAGAACCGACTTGTGAGCCCTAAAACTCTCAACGTTCAACCTTCCTCAACCTCCAGCCTTACTGGTGCAAGAATGCTGCTTCACGGTCAGAGATCCAAACTTGGCTCCCAGCCGGCTCAGGCTGTAGGCTGGGCTCCCGGGGCGCCCTTTGCCTTGGGTTCAGGGGGGCTTTTGGGGGCTTTTGGTGGTTTTAGGTTGAATACCTCCCTTCAGGGAATCCCCAAAGTGGCAGGTGCGGGGGTAACCAGGGCATATGAATCTCGAGCAGACGCACGGGAGGAGGTGGCGTGAAAGCTGCGAAGTCAAGAGCAGAAGCCTCCTCGAGCACGTCATGCGAGCTCCACGCACTTGAACAAAGAGAAGGTACTAGTACCCATAACCTACAAGTATCTTGCGAAATCCACCGCAGTCCCCCTTTTCTGCATAACAGAAGTGACTCAAAACCCTAAACCCTAAACAAGCAAGGGAAGCGATTCGGGAGCTATATAAACCCTAAACCTCCCCCCTCTTCGAGTTCAGAGCAAGGCGCTCGGACTGTGCCGCCGGCTCCGCGTTCACCTCTTCCAGCCTCCGCCACGCGGCGCTAGGCGAAACTACTAATTGCTTAAGAACCCTATGTTTTTAAATATCCTCTTGGGTTCTGTATATTTCTATATATATAATTAAAAAAAACCCCAAGGGGGATATAGGTTGGGGGGATCTACCAACCAGACGCAACCGCGGCAAGAACCCTGCTTCCTACAGCCTGAAGGCCTTCAGGCCAAGATCCAAGTGGAGGGTGCGTTTTGCTTCACAGGGCGCTACATGCCTTGAATTCTGAAACTAACCAAAGGGCTTCGGCGTCCTCCGTGCCCGGCAGCACAAGACTGTCGCAGGACAGCAGGTGCAGGACGTTTGCAGGTTGGACCACCATACCCAAAGAGACGATGCTACGCTATGCACAAGCACAATGGGATGCGGCTGTCCACGCTCCATGAAGGCGAAGATCAGACGTCGACACATGAAGGCCAAGATCCAGGGGCAGGACGTGGATTTGGGGTGAGGGGGGCCTGCGGCATGCCAATTCGGTCATGTCAAGCATCCCTGATGACGGTGGGCATCACAGCGGTTCATCTTCGATTGCGTTCTGGTTAAGCCCGACTCCTCCTTTCCAGTGGCATCTTGGGTCGGAGCCCCTGTTTGATGGGCGGCAACGACCCACTGGACCATCAGCAAACTCGGGAAAGGGTAGTGAATGCCAGCACCCCGTCTAGGGACCAGGGATTCTCAAGGAGGCATCCGAACTCTCATACAAACCCTACACCTTAAACCCTAAACCCTAAACCCTACACCTTAAACCCTAAACCCTAAACCCTACAACTTAAACCCTAAACCCTAAACCCTACACCTTACGAAACCCTAAACCCTACACCCTCAAACCCTAAACCCTCAACCCGGCTCCCTCAACCCCTCTCGCGCCTGGGAGTGGCATCCTTGGGTTCATCCGTCGGCGGGCCTGTGGCTCTGAGGTCCTCTTTCCTGTGCACATACTAAATATAAGTATAAATATAAACATATATATATATATGTATGTATATATGTATATATACATATATCTCTATATATATGTATATATACATACATACTCACATAAAATATACACATACATACATACATATACATGTATGCAGATCTTATAAGCCTAGAAGTACATGCTCAGTCTTATGCATGTCTACCTTTTCATGTATCCACATCTTGGTATTCATGTTGACTTAGTTCATGTGGTCGGTGTTTATCCACGTGCTTTGCTTGTATCGCGCTTGCTTTTTCCTGTACGGCACACGATATTGCAAGCTAGTAGCCGGCTGGCCCGTAAGCTACAAGCCAGGCCCGGACAGCGCCTACAAACCTAAGGTTTAGGGTTTAGGGTTTAGGGTTTAGGGTTTAGGGTTTAGGGTTTAGGGCCTACCAGGATCATAAGAACCCTCTCTGAAAGCCAACCTAACACATTTACAATTCGCTCGTGGTCCTTTTTTGCATATGGAGCCTAGATATCCCTGAACCTAGTTGTCCAGTAACCTGGGGGAACTAAAGGTTAACCTTACCCTACATTGCTGTAGTTGTCCAGTAACCTCGGGAACTAAAGGTTAACCTTTGGGATTAAAAAGGGGATTATCTTGCCCCAAAAAGGTTAAAGGCCACCTACTCTACTACTCGGTTGCTTGTGAGGCCTTCGACTGGCAAGCCCAGCTTCCGCTTGAGCTCCTGCTTTAAAGTGTGGCTTAAGTGGCGCTTTTGGGTTTAGGGTTTTAGGGTTTAGGGTTTAGGGTTTAGGGTTTAGGGTTTAGGGTTTGGGGTTCCAAGGCTTAAGTTCGGAATTTGCGCTGTGTTGCTGTTAGTGCTGCTGAAATTTGGGGTTATTAGGCTTTGCGACTGTGGGGAGATTAAACGCCCGGACAGCCCAAGACCTTGCAACTAAGCGATCTCTGCCTTTAAACGGAATGATAGATTTGGAAGCAAGATGTGTTCCCGAAACATTACAGGGTATTGGGCTTTCTGAGGGTGTCCGCAGGCTTACGTCGGGTGGCGTTTATGGCCCTAAACCCTACACCCTAAACTTTGGGGTTCCCAAATGCGGAGCAGACCCGAACTTTCAAAAACTGAGCCACAAAGCCCCCGGAGTCCCCAACTGCACAGCTCCAACCCTACACATGGCCCTTGTTAAGGGCTCGGGCTTAGGCGCGCATGCCGTGAAGCCACGCGGAACCCCTAAACCCCAACCCCCAAAGTTTAGGGTTTAGGGTTTAGGGTTTAGGGTTTAGGCTTTAGGGTTCAGGGTTTAGGGTTTAGGGTTTAGGGTCCCCCCTGAAGCCCCCCAACACCCAAGTCCTTCAGAGTCTGCTCGGCGCTGCTCCGCATCTTCATGGCCTCGGCATAGTGGCCGAGCCTCGGCAGCGATTAGGCGGGGCTTCGTTTTAGGGTTTAGGGTTTAGGATTTAGGATTTAGGGGGGGCGGGATAGGGTTTAGGGTCTAGGGTCTAGGGTTTAGGGTTTAGGGTTTAGGGTTTAGGGTTTAGGGTTTAGGGTTTAGGGTTTAGGGGCGAGGCTTCGTGAGGCTCTTGTTGGGAAGGCCCCTGAATGCAGGGAGGCACCTTAGACTATATGGGGGGGGGAACCTTGTTGAAGGGGATCCTACTATTTGGGCGTCTATATTAGGGGTCCCTTATTTTCGAAAAGACCCCAAAATCAGGGTTCCTATCAAGACACGAGGTGATCCTCCTGAATTCAAGCCTAAGCAGGGCTACATAAGTACCCTGAAAAAGTAATGACCAGCTATCATCATAGTTACCCCACCTAGAACCCCACTGAAAAACAACCCATGAACCTTCAAGTACTCCCATGACGGAACACCCACAGATGTCGACAATGCCAGCCCGGGTGCCGAAAGGGTAAACATAGCAACGCATTGACAATCGCAGTAGTGATGCAATTGTGCTGAGAATGCCAATAATACTTCTCATGGTCATAGTAGTTCTAACCGTTCTAACCATGGGTAACAACAGAAATGATGGCAAGCATAGATACTAGTCGTAGCGGTGGTTGTCATGGGTAGTAATCACCCCTACTGCTGCTACTATTCTTTCCCCTAAACCCTAAACCCTAAACCCTAAACCCTAAACCCTAAACCCTAAACCCTAAACCCTAAACCCTAAACCCTAAACCCTAACCCTAAACCCTACCTCTCAGGAGCGGGCAAGCCCTGCTCGAGGTTCTCGTCCGCCATCTTCGTGAGGCTCTGCACCTAGCAGCTATCAAAGACCCCAAACCCTAAACCCTAAACCCTAAACCTCAACCCTAAACCCCAAACCCTTCTTGCAACCAGCATTGCCCAGCCTGGTTACAAGGACCCTAGATTCCTTTTTGCATCCGGGCTTGGGCAGTCGGCCGGGGATGGAAAAGTTGCGGCTCTCAATGCCCTAAACCTACCCTAAACCCTAAACCCTAAACCCTAAGCCCTAAACCCTAAACCCTAAACCCTAAACCAAGTAAGCCTGGGCCTCCATATGCTGGAGCGATTGAGGGCGCATGGCAGTTTAACGAGTCGGGGGCTGTTTGCTAACGACCGCCTCCGAAGCGGTAGACCTTGAGATGAGCCCGAAGCACCTCCCCGACTCCCCCCAAAGATTTCCACCCCCAAGCCCTACTTGGAGGTTCCTGGGCAATTGCCTACTTAGAGGACTTAGGGGGCTTATACAAGTACATTTCCAATTGGGGTTAGAAGTACCCATGAACCTCCACGTAGACTCCAAACCTCAAACCTTCGGGTGGTGGGAACCTGATCTTCGAGCTTCTCAAGCAGACCACGTCCGGCTTCACGAAGCTGTGGCAAAGCAAGAGTCTGAAGGGATAATAGGAGTGAGCCCCTGCAAGAACCCTTAGTGACATACATACATGCACATACAAGTCCTTACCTTATATAGGGTCCTTGTAAGGGTCCCTCCTCCTCCTTTTTTGTGATACAGGAAACCGGCCCAAGGGGCCAAAGGGGTCAACGAATCGCAGTACGAAGGCCATTAACACCATTTCTGCACTATTTCTGCACTATTTCTCATATGACTACTGAGAGTACTACCAAAACTGCGATGATTCCTACTCATGCGAGTATGATTAGTACAAACTATTCATCATGTCATAGCTACGAGTATTACTTTGTTGGCTGCTTTTGCTACAACTTGAACCCTACACCCGAAACCCTAAACCCTTTTGAACCTGGAAGCTGCTTCCTAAACCCTAAACCCTCAACCCTAAAACCCTAGGCCGATCCCACCGGTCGAGGGTTCATGCTTCGAAGCTGTGCGAAGATGCGGGGCAAGCCCTGGATGAAGGTCGTTTAGGGTTTAGGGTTTAGGGCTTAGGGTTTTAGGGTTTTAGGGTTTAGGGTTTGGGGTTTAAGGTTTGGGGTTTAGGGTTTAGGGTTTAGGTTTTGCGCGTTCATGGCACTTCTGGAACGACCGAAAGCCGTCTTACGCAACTCTCCGCATCACGTCAAAACGCAGAAGCCAAGTTGAGTGTGACCTGGGGCGCCGTTCGGCAATATCACTATCTTGATATCCATGTTACGGTGGGTGGGGTAGCCAAATCTTCAATTCTTCAGGACAACACATCCACCCCAAAAGAATCAGGCAGCGGTGGGTGCCCCAGCCGCATCGGTCTTTGCCGTGGCTGCCCGCAGGGTTGGACCACGGGCCTGCGAAGCGGGGCATCGGAAGGCACCCCGTTAGCACCCCGATGTCTGGGTGATCACGTGATCACTGTACTCTTAGCTGTAGTGTTGTTGCTTGCTGTTGACTGCTCTTGCTCTTGCTCTTGCTCTTTACTCTTTACTCTTTACTCTTTACTCTTTACTCTTTACTCTTTACTCTTTACTCTTTACTCTTTCTTTACTCTTTACTCTTTACTCTTTACTCTTTACTCTTTACTCTTTACTCTTTACTCTTTACTCTTTACTCTTTACTCTTTACTCTTTACTCTTTACTCTTTACTCTTTACTCTTTACTCTTTACTCTTTACTCTTTACTCTTTACTCTTTACTCTTTACTCTTTACTCTTTACTCTTTACTCTTTACTCTTTACTCTTTACTCTTTACTCTTTACTCTTTACTCTTTACTCTTTACTCTTTACTCTTTTCTCTTTACTCTTTACTCTTTACTCTTTACTCTTTACTCTTTACTCTTTACTCTTTACTCTTTACTCTTTACTCTTTACTCTTTACTCTTTACTCTTTACTCTTTACTCTTTACTCTTTACTCTTTACTCTTTACTCTTTACTCTTTACTCTTTACTCTTTACTCTTACTCTTACTCTTACTGACAATGACGTATGGAGATTCTTGTTGGCCTCCCCAACGACAAGGCCGGGCGCTGATTCCCTCTAGGACCCAGATTGCTCCCCTGGCAACAGCCGAACCTTGTACAAAAGGCCCCAGCCCACTCAAACATCAGCAGCTCCACCCTTCCTGCCACTGCCCTAAGAGGCCAACTTGCTGTCTGAAGCTTTGGGTTTAGGGTTTAGGGTTTAGGGTTTGGGGTTTGGGGTTTAGGGTTTAGGGTTTAGGGTTTAGGGTTTAGGGTTTAGGGTTTAGGGTTTAGGGTTTAGGGTTTAGGGTTTAGGGTTTAGGGTTTAGGGTCGACGTCAACTCCACAACTCACTTGGCCTTCTTGCCGGGCATGCTGCAAGTTCTGAGTAATCGGAAGCTTCGGGCTCCGAAGCTTCCTTACACGAACCCTCTGAAAGCAGCGAGCCCTTCTGACCCCAAACCTGAATCTTGACGTCCTTTGCACAGACCCTTCTAGACGTTCTAGTTGCTGCGGTCCCTTATGCATAGGACCCTAAAAAGACTCTAAAACAGTTTCTTGTTGCAGCCAAACCCTAAACCCGTTTCGGGATCAAACTCGACCACGAGGGTGGCGGCTACGAAAGCTCTTCAGCTTGAGCCATTCTACAGCCACAATATCCCTTTACTTTGGGGAGCTCTGGTACCTAAGCAGGCTGCGTCTCGAATGTGAGCCCAATGGCTTCCGGGTGCACACCGACATGCCTGAATGTTCACGCCGTGGAATGCGCACATGACAGCTTGCATGTGTGTTATGTGCTATCTACATCTGTCATGCTACATACTACAGGTTACATATTACATATTCAGACATACAGAACATGAATACATACACATAACAGTAATAATACTAATAATAATAAGAAGAAGAAGAACAATAATATGATAATAACAATAACAATAACAATAACAATAACAATAACAATAATACTAATAATAATAATAATAGTAAGGAGGTTAAACAAGCAGATAAGAGGACTCAAGGGGCCCTGCTTTAGCATGAAGTGCTTGGCATGCCTCGGGCTTCAACTCTTTGCAGGCTCGAGGGTCTAAGGAGCCTTCAGAGCCCCTAGATCCCCCCGGTTTAGGGTTTAGGGTTTAGGGTTTAGGGTTTAGGGTCTAGGGTCTAGGGTTTCGGGTCTAGGGTTTAGGGTTTAGGGTCTAGGGTTTAGGGTCTAGGGTTTAGGGTTTAGGGTTTAGGGTGTAGGGTTAGTTGTTTCAAAGGGGCTCACAGGGAACCTAATTGCCAACGGCTTAGAGGGTATACATAGGGCGCCGGGATTCCCTGATTCCTGACTCAAACCAGGGGGGTCTAGGGTTCTCTTGGACTTGTGACTAAAGTCTGGGCTTGACTCGGGCCATGACCAAGAGGGCCTACTCGGGGACCTAAGCCCTGGCATTTTTCTCAGCAGGAGGGCCGGGTCATTGCCGGCGTTCTATGTGGGCGCGCAAAGAAGATCGAAGACGCGTGGAGGCCGCAGCCTCTCCCTTCAAGGTCTTTGTTTGAGTGTGCAGGAGGGGCTCCAGCTCAGGGCATGGGGTTTAGGGTTTAGGGTTTTAGGGTTTTAGGGTTTAGGGTTTAGGGTTTAGGGTTTAGGCTTTAGGCTTTAGGCTTTAGAGTTTAGGGTTTAGGGTTTAGGGTTTAGGGTTTCGTGTTTTGGGTTTCGGGTTTCGGGTTTGGGGTGCTGCAGCGTGCGTCAACCCTGGACTCGACACCGCGCTCAACCTTAACGCCCCCAAAGGGGACCAGGTAATCCCAAGGTTGAAGGCCGAATCCACCAACCTGATCTCCTGCGCTGTGCCTTTCTGCGGCTTTCGTGTCGATAGGGTCGCCACGCGGTTTAGGGTTTAGGGTTTAGGGGGGGTGTAGGATTTAGGACTGTCTCGTGACAACTTCTTTTCAACTAAGTGGGGCTTGCGGCCTGTGGTTCAACATAGTGCTCAGCAAGCAGGGTGACGGGAGATTCCGCAGAGCCCAACGACAATTTAACTCTGGTGCATATGGATCCGTGGCAAGAGAGGAAATGCTTGGATCTGCTGGCAGACCTACAGCAGGCGCTACCACAAGAGTTGCGAAATGTCCACCTGAGATCAGGGCCATCGGGTCCTCTAATTCAGCTCTAATTCGTGCCTTTGCCTCTTGGAGGCAGGCTTGCCTCAAACCCTAAAACCTAACACTACCACTGCCAGCGGACTGAGGAAGCATGAGCGCTTGTGAGCACTGTATCCGGACGAAGGTACCTGGCCTCCCAGCCCCACATTGCATTGCGCCTCTCTCACTCAGCCCTTTTCCTGTGCGCTGGGCAGTCCGCTGGGTCTTCTCCGCCGCGGTTTTCGCGGTGTGTCACTCAAGTGGAATGATCAGAGTCGGGCCAGGCTCCTCCCCAAAACGGGCAACTGGAGCTGCGCTGTAGTTTGCACGTGGTATCCATCGGGCTGACGACACCGAAGCTACTGGACTACCACTCCCGGAGCCCTCTTGCTTGACGCCAACAACTGACATCCGGTCCCGATCACACACACACACACATCTAAGCTGATCTCCCTCCTCTCGAAATCTCCGAACCCCATCTAGACCAGCTCAGCCACATGAAGCCCCGGCCGAAGCCCAGGCGACCCCCCCCCCCCCCACCATTATCGCCTCTAAGCAGAGACGCGGCCCTGGTTGCGCGAGGTCGCCAGGGTCGTCTGGCACAGCGGTTGGGGGCGTCCGGTCTGTGGAGTGCTAAAGGGGATGTCCAAGACGGATGGCTGCCACCTTCCTGGTGATAGTCGCATGTTCTTCGGGTAGTTTCATGCTCCCTTAGTATGGTCCCTTAAAAGGGGACCCCTCGTACTATACCCCGTATATACCCTGCACAATGCAACTATGCCCTTAACCTTTTGAAACATCTGGGGACCCTGCCAGGCTTAGGCTTCCCTCTTTGGGCTGGGGAAAGTCTAACCGATCTGGCGCGAGCCGAATTTGACGCCGTGATAACATTCAAAGGTTGTCCTGGAAACACCGCTTAGTTGTTCTTCTTTGGTCTCTCCCTCTCTCTCTCTCGCTTTCTCTGTCTGGTTCTCTCTGGGACCTCAAATGGGTCCTATTTACTCTTCCTAGATGCCAGAACTGGACCCGCCCTAGCCGCCAGAGCCAAAGCACCACTTCTCTTGCCTGTGATTTCTGAGTCTAAACCTTAAACCCTAAACCCTAAACCCTAAACCCTAAACCCTCCGATCTCTAAGAACCAAAGTAAGCAGCCAAGTCGCGAGGGTCTGGATAGCTGCCGCGGCCTGACCCACATGAAAGGGTTTAGGGTTTAGGGTTTAGATTTTTGGGGTTTAGGGTTTAGGGTTTAGGGTCTAGGTTTTTTTTTTTGGTTTAGGGTTTGGGGGGGGTGGGCAAACCCAGCCCGATGGCACCGAAGCTGAAGGTTGGGGGGTCTGTAGGCGAACCCCTTTTTGAGAAACCCTAAACCCTAAACCCTAAACCCTAAACCCTTTTGCAGCGAGCCTCGTGCGCAGCCTCGTGCGCCAGCAGCTAAACCCTAAACCCTAAACCCTAAACCCTAACTCTTTACGTCAGCTGGCTCGATGACAATGTGCAGGCGAACCCGAAACCCCAAACCCTTTTGCATACAGTTCTCTGCGCAGCGAGCCAGGGTAAATAAACCCCTAAAGCCCGAAAGCCCTAAACCCTCAAGCCCCTGAGGCCCTGAAACCCTAAACCCTAAACCCTAAACCCCAAACCCCAAACCCTAAACCCTAAACCCTAAACCCTAAACCCTCCCTCAGCCCGGAAACTCCCAGGCCTTTGGGCGCCAGCACCGAAGGCGGGCACAGGGCGGGGCCAGCGCCCATGGCCCGGTAGAGGCGGAGCCCCTGGCCTTCGACGTTTACAGCGGCCCAAGACCCTTAGAGATTTTTGTTTTCACTCCTGCACAGCTGGGGCGAATCCACTTCGCAGGGCGATTACGAGGCATCAACGGGTGTACAAATAAGGGTTTAGGGTTTAGGGTTTAGGGTTTGGGGTTTGGGGTTTAGGGTTTAGGGTTTAGGGTTTGAGGTTTAGGGTTTAGGGTTTAGGGTTTGGGGTTTGGGGTTTGGGGTTTGGGGTTTGGGGTTTGGGGTTTGGGGTTTGGGGTTTGGGGTTTGGGGTTTGGGGTTTGGGGTTTGGGGTTTCTATACTCCCCCTAGAACCTTAATAAGAATGATATGTCCAATATCCTCTTGGGTTTTATATAAACAAAAATAAAAAATAATTCCCAAGTGGGATATAGTGCTCAAATACACGTGAAAACATCAAACAAAGCCATAAGGGTTTGATGAGTTCTTTTTTAAATTTGCTACATTATGTGGTGAGTACAGAGATTGATGTATTGAAAATTGTACGTAGGAGGAAAAAACCTGCGAATTAGGGTTTTAGGGTGTAGGTCCCTTTCGACTCATGGCTGTTCGAGCTTTAGATCTCTTTACTTCTTGGCCCGATACTTTAGGATTGAGGGTTTAGGGCCTTCTGCCCTGAAAAGCCTATCAAACCCTTTTTTTTGCATCAGGACTTGTGCAATACACTAAACCCTCTCTTCTTCTTCTTCTTATTCTTCTTCTTGTTCTTCTTCTTCTTCTTCTTCTTCTTCTTCTTCTTCTTCTTCTTCTTCTTCTTCTTCTTCTTCTTCTTCTTCTTCTTCTTCTTCTTCTTCTTCTTCTTCTTCTTCTTCTTCTTCTTCTTCTTCTTCTTCTTCTTCTTCCTCCTCTCCTTCTTCTTCTTCTTCTCAGCGAAGAGGGGCCCCAGAGAAGGGGACCCCGGCTGCGCTGGCCCGTTGTTTTGTCCAGTCCGTGTGAGAAGCGCTTTCAAGATGCATTTGATCTCTCTCTCTCTCTCTCTCTCGCTCTCTCACCCACCCCCCCCCCCCTTTCTGACCCTAAACTCCGGCCCTCTTCAGCCTAAACAGCTTAAACCTTCCAACCATACACTTTGGCCCTAAACCCTCCCTGACAACTAAACCTTACCTTTAACCCTCCAAGCCCCTAAACCCTCTAACCCTAAATCTCAACCCCTATAACCCCAACCTTCTGGCCTTTCTTGAACCCAGACTCCCCTAAACCCTAAACCCTAAACCCTAAACCCTAAACCCTAAACCCTAAACCCTAAACCCTAAACCCTAAACCCTAAACCCTAAACCCTAAACCCTAAACCCTCAACTTGACCACTCCAACCCTCTAACCCGAAACCCTCTAACCCGAAACCCTCTAACCCGAAACCCTCTGACCCGAAACCCTTCGCCCCCCAAACCCTACTTGAAGGTTCACCCAAGTACCCAAATACACCCAAGTGCACCCAAGTACACCCTGAGGTGTAACCCTACTTACAAGTAGCCCTAAACCCTAAACGCCAAACCCCAAACCCCAAACCCTAACACCCAAGTACACCCTGAGGTGTTGGCGCAGCGAGCCCATCGTCGTTTTGGACTTCGGGGAGTCGTTGCCCGTGGGCGCGTAGCTGGGGTCGCCTTCAGGAGGCTTCTCTCGGAGTGGGGCTTAAGGGGATTCCCTAAACCCTAAACCCTATAAACCCTAAACCCTAAACCCTAAACTTTAGGGTTTCGGGCTCATTTAGGGGTTGGGGGGATCTGCTGCTGCATGTTCTGAGGGCGGGTTTGGGGTTTGGGGTTGGGGGCTGTTTTTGCCACCCGCTTCGCTGATCTCAACCGACCACAATGCTCGGAACATTGTGTGGAAGACTTGTCCTAAACCCTAAATCCTAAACCCTAAACCCTACACCCTACACCCTACACCCTAAACCCTAACTTCGGGTTTAGGGGCTTCCGCTCTTAGGGTTAAGGGTCCGGTTTTGCAACCACACTGGTCAGGTGCATGGCACAACAACACGTCTTTCAAGGAAGCAGGAGGCCGAAAGCTGAGGAAGCAAGATGCCCGAGATCACGGGAGTGCCGTGTTGGGAACTTTCCCAGGGCCTGGCTTTCTTGCGACGTGAGCGGGCCCCCATTCGAGTCTTTCGCTACGCGTAGACGTCAGGCCACAGCGCTTGCAGACTGGGAGGGGCTGCCTGGACCGCTCTCTTGGCTTTGCTGCACAGGCCGGTACATATAAGTCCTAACCGTATTAAACCTTTCAGGTGCATCCATGCACGGTGGATTTTCTGCGTTGCAATCGGCGTCTATCAGCGTCGACTGGCTCCAGAGGTGTCTCCCTTCGGACCCTTACAGAGTTCCAGCTTCCCGGATGCTTCGAATGGGTTCGCTTGCAACGCCAAGGTTTTTTCTGGCAGCTTCAGCAAGATGAGAAATGGGCTCCAGCAAATTCCACCTCCGGTAACACCCGTCATTCCCCAGGTGTTCTCCTCACCCCAGACTCCTGCACTCCTCGTCCGAATGCCTCTCAAGTTCAAGATTTCAGAACCTGGAGTAGCTACCTCACATGAGGGGCTTCCCCGAACATGAAGGTCATAAGGACTCTATTTTGGGTATATACACGGCCTGAGTCCCCCTATTTTGGGAAACACGCAAATGTCCACAGAATATTAACATGCAGAAAGCTGAGGGAAGCTATTGGACCTTAAAGATCATCATAAGCTTTCAATCCGCTTCCTGATTTTCACCCCACATCACCAAACCCTAAAGCTTAGCTCGCCAAACCCTAAACCCTTTTTCCCTAAACCCTAACCCTGGCTCTCAACCCTAAACCCTAAAAGCTAGCTCGGAGTGCTCGCCACGTCACGCAGCAGCAAGTCCGGAAGAGTTGGCTCAGGGCTGTGCACCGCAACCAGCCACAGCAGCAAGAGGGCCAGCAGAAAGCAGAGCAGGAGCCTGGGATCATGAGAATCATGAGCCCTAACCCTAAACCCTAAACCCTAAACCCTAAACCCTAAACCCTAAACCCTAAACCCTGAGAGGTTTCCAGTCTGTGGGCTTCGTAGGCTGAGCGAGCTTCACCGCGCAGGGCAGCCTTGAGGTTTGGGAGGGTTCCTACAGCTCTAGGGTTCTAGGGTTTAGGGCTTAGGGTTTAAGGTTTAGGGTTTAGGGTTTAGGGTTTAGGGTTTAGGGTTTAGGGCTTAGGGCTACCTAGACCTAGACCCTGTTCTGCTTCGCCAGATACGAAGCACCCCTCACTGGAAACATCTGCCAAGTACACGCCACTCTCAAAGCCTCAACCCACAAAGCGCACAGACTCCAGACCCCACATATCCCTCAATGGCCGTACGCCCTTCCTCAATCAAGACAAGCTTACTAAGGCCCCAAGCCCGGTTCGGATGCAGGGTCGCAATCCGCCGGGCCCCCCGGCAAAACAATTAGACTAAACCCTGAGCTTGGGATGTTTCCCCTTATACGAACATTCTCGCTATTAGGGACTGTTAGAAAAAGGGGGAACATCCCATGAACCCTTTTTAAACTGAACCCGTACTGAGGGTATACACTGGCGCTCTCCCGGGCAGCCAAGCAAGCCCAGCAACAAAGGCACGACAAAGACTGCCCAAACTAACCTATTACATTCTCATGCCACGGTTGCTGACTTGCCTGTCGTGCTTCTCGCCTACCAAAACCCTAAGCCCTCAACCCTCAACCCTAAACAGTAACCCTAAACCCCCAAATAACCATGCAGAGACGAAGAAACCCTCAACCCTAAAGCCTCAACCCTAAACCCCCAAATCATCATGCAGAATCGAAAAAACCCTCAAAACCCTAAACCCTAAACCCTAAACCCTAAACCCTAACCCCTAAATCCCAAACCCTAAACCCTAAACCCTAAACCCGAATTGGGAGAATCATGCGGAAACGAGGCCCCCAGGGTGCCAATGGCACCACCTTGGCCGCAGCTCGCTCGAGCCGCGCCGCCCAAAGCAGACCCAGGCTCAGGCCTCCCGCGGTGGGCTCTTAAAGGGGGGTTTAGGGTTTAGGGTTTAGGGTTTAGGGTTTAGGGTTTAGGGTTTAGGGTGTTGGGTTCACCCGCACTGCACACACCACTCACGGTACCTCGTCTACCCAACACAACCCTTCAAGGGAATATAAGGGAAGCGCATCTCCCCTTAACCCTCAACCCTCAACCCTCAACCCTCAACCCTCAACCCTCAACCCTCAACCCTCAACCCTCAACCCTCAACCCTAAACCCTAAACCCTGAACCCTGAACCCTGAACCCTGAACCCTGAACCCTAGTTGAGTCCACCCGCCAGCCTATCGCCCCATTGGCCAAGCTCGCCGTGCTGGAGAGGCGCGCCGACCTTCTTGAGCTTGGCATGGAGAGGTGGCGGCCCTCTCCCCTAAAACCAAGAACCCCAAAACCCTAAGAACCCTAAAAACCCTAAAAACCCTAAAAACCCTAAAAAACCTAAAAACCCTAGAAACCCTAAAAACCCTAAGAACCCTAAAAACCATAAAAACCCTAAAGACCCTTCAAGCCCTCAATAAACCCTGACCCTCGGAGCCCTACAGTTGTCGGCTGTTGGTGGTTTTTGGGGTGCTTCTTGGGTCTCCAATGTGTGCGCTCCGGGGCATGCGAAAGGCCGAGCTGAGGGGGTTTAGGGTTACCACGGGGACAATATTATGGTCCCTTTTTGGATCTCTATTACAGTACGGCACCTAAAATTTAGGGTACCCCAAAAAGGGATCATCATTTTGACAACCACCCATGCTAAACTCTAGACCCTATAGACCCTGGACCCTACACCCTCTAGACCCTATACCCCACCTGACCCCACACCCTCTCACCTCCATCCATCCCATGGCCTCGTCTCGCGCACGCGACGCTCCAGCAGCCACGCCACCAGCAGTGCAAACACCGAGGCCCCCATGGCGAAGCAAAGCTCGGGTCCTGGCAAAGCGACGTGGGGTCTGTTTTTTTGGCAGTTTAGGGTTTAGGGTTTAGGGTTTAGGGTTAGGGGTTTAGGGTGGTTTAGGTTTTTTTGGCCACCCGCCTAGCTGACACTCAGGCCACATTGCAGGGACTCATTCCGGATGTTTAGGGTGTTTGGTGCACACTTTCAGCAAGCAGCCCGCAGCAGAGTTTTTGGTGGTTGCGGATGTTCTGGGCGCTGAGGGTTTTCAGAGGGTTCTAGCGGTGTTAAGCATCTTGAGGCTTACATTTTGTAGGGGGGTTCTTTCAGAGGCTTGGAGGGGTCTCGGGCTTTAAAGAGTTTAAGAGGTTAGCGTTTTTGCGGGCTTCAGGGCGTTGGCTGCTTCTTTAAGGCTCTTGGGATCGTTTTGGTTTTTTGGGCTTCGGGGTGTTCAGGCCCGGGAAACTCGACTTTTCCCCTTAGCTGAGGAGCACAGGCTTTTTACTCTGAGTTTGGGTGTGTTGCCTACTTCGGGATTGTTGGGCAGGCTCTCACTTGGTCACAAAAGAGTTCCGTACCTTCAAAGTGCTGAGACAGCAAGTGTCACCTCTGTCAACCATCCCGATAGACCCGAAAAACCCAGGTAAACAACCTCAAGCAACAGACATGGCACAAGCAACTCTCTCCAACCCTATCTACACATATACACATATATATATACATACATATATATAGAAAATATACATATGTATTTTTCATCTATTTCGGTTATTCATTCTACATAATATGTACAAGAGACCCCGTGTTAAGACAGGAACCACAAGAAGGGCCCTCGTGCAGAGAACTCTACACCACACATGCACCCCTAAACCCTAAACCCTAAACCCTAAACCAAGGGCGCCGAGGAGGGCCTAGAAAGAGACTCTGAGCCGGGCCACTGAAGGAGTCGACCCGCGGTAGCCACCCCCAGCTTTTCGCGATCCACCTGGCTCTGCGGGTTTAGGGTTTAGGGTTTAGGGTTTAGGGTTTAGGGTTTTTTTGGCCACCCGCTTAGCTGACCAGGGTTTAGGGTTTAGGGTTTAGGGTTTAGGGTTTAGGGCCTCAGGGTTTTGTGGCCACCCGCCTAGCTGCTTGCTCTCGACCACTCCGCAGGGACTATTCGAGGTCTCAGGGTACACTACAGTGGGGCGAAAGACACCTCGCCACGGACTGAAGTGGCCCTCAGGGTTTAGGGTCCAGGGTTTCTTCTGCAGGTGGTGTAGGGTCTAGGATTAGGGTTGTTGTGTTTCGGGTTCAAGGGAGGGAGGGCTTTGGATCCCCACAAAAGCCCCCCATGCGTTCATGAAGCTGCAGGATGAGAGCCCAGAAACTACGGGCACTTGGAGGTGCGCGTGTACTTCGAAGCAGGTTTACAAGCAGGGTAACTTTTTTTATCAGGGCAGCTATGGTGACTACTTATACCCCACCTGCAAGCACCCGAGTAGAAACCAGGCTGGCAGGAATCCCATCGACTAGAGTTGCGGCCCCAAACAGCTTGCTGCTTCCCTCAAAACTCTGAAGCTCTCAACGGGAGTTGGTCAAAAATTGCCATTCCCACAGAATGTGATCTTCCCTCCTTTCCGCGTGCGGAAACCCTGGACAAGGATCCTTAACATCAACCCCAATAGGCCCTTACAGCCCCACCCCCTCTCCAACCCCCCCGTCCCCGCGCCTGCACCCCCGCAGCCCTGCCCACGCCGCAGCTATAGCGCTGGCGTGGCGGAGGGTCGAAGGCAGCTCCTGGATTGGGGGGGTTGAGGGTGTAGACTCCTTCCTGTCTTAGTAGGGTTTAGGGTTTAGGGTTTAGGGTTTAGGGTTTAGGGTTTAGCGGATTGCCCTGAAACTGAAAAAACAAACCATGCACGAGCTCGTGCAGTGTCTTCAGATCACGAAACCCAACAACATAAACGGGCTTCGGGTCGGGGGGTTGTGGGTGTTGGGCCTCTGGGGCATAGAGGTTGGGACGTACGCTTTCTCCGAGCCAGACTTCTTATTATCCCATGCTGTTGGGGTGGACAAGTTCTTGGGATTCCCTCCAAGAAACCTGGATGTCCGAGAGCGGGGCAGGGAAATCCTTGAGATCCTGGTGTTGCGGAAGCTGGGTTAAGCTGAGCCCTCATCTCTTCAAATTCCGCAGCCCGGGGTTCAGAGTGTGAGCTCGGTTTAATTTAGGTGCTCTCTTGAGGCCCCTGGTTCTACAACCCCGCAGCCTCCCATCCTCTTCAGACGACCGAACAACCACACACAGCACGGGATTCGCAACGCCTGGGCAGCACGGACCCAAACACCCTCAACCCTCCATAATCCTGAACCTCCGAACCCTTAAGCCCTTGAGACCATCCCTAGACCCTAAACCCTTAGCCCTAAACCCGAAACCCTAAACCCTAAACTGCACCTCCCACGCCGCCGCCACCGGGAACAGCATCGCTACCGCCAGCAGAACGAGGCCGTCGCCTTGGGCTTCGGCTTAGGAAACCCTAAACCCTAAACCCTAAACCCTCATTCCCTACGAAGAACCAGCCAGTTAAAACCCTCTGAACAAAAAGTCCTGAATATGATCCTCTCAAACCCCAATAAGGGAAAGTATGACCCTCTTGAACCCAATCAGGGAGAGTATGATCCTCTTAAACCCAATAAGGGAAAGTATGGTCCTCTTAAACCCAATAAGGGAAAGTAGGATCCTCCTGAGCCCAAATAAGATCCTCTTAAACCCAATAAGGAGAATATGATCCTCTTAAGCCACATACGGAAAAGTATGATCTTTTTAAACCCAATAAGGGAGAATATGATCCTCTTAGAAGATGTTACATGTCCCAAGGGCCTACCTCGGTATCCAGGTTGTTGCCCTGGGATTTAGGACGTAGGGTTTAGGGCAGGGGTGCAGTGGTGCCTCTTTGCTCTCGGGCAAGGTTTAGAGCATTCGTTCAGGGTTTCGTCTGTCGCGAGTGTCCGGGGCTTAGTTAGGGTGGCACCCTTTAGTCTCTCAGAACGTGGGTGGGGGACAACATGGTTCCGAGCAGAATGCTCGTTCAGACTGCCTCGACCTCAAGGCAGCGCCTTGGGTTTAACGAGGCCTCTGGGCCTCGTGGCGTGGTTAGGGCTGAGGATTCTTCGGGTTTACGATGCCCTGTTCCCTCCGACGGAGCCCCAGAAGGTGCCCTTGACCCTACAATCCGAGAGTTCCCCTCAAGCACTCTGAGACAGGACGCGCCCTGACCCTAAACCCTAAACCCTGAACCCTGAACCCTAAACCCTAAACCCTAAACCCTAAACCCGAAACCCTAAACCCTAAACCCTAAACCCTAAACCCTAAACCCTAAACCCGAAACCCTAAACCCTAAAGCCAAGGTTTTTGGGAGGGAGGCTCAGGGCTTGGGCATTTCGGTCGCCAGGGCACTGGTGGCCGGCAGCCTAATGCCGGCTCCATCCTCGGCAGCCGGCGGGCAAACGCCACAAAATTACAATTTAGGGTTTAGGGTTTAAGGTTTAGGGTTTAGGTTTAGGGGTTTAGGGTTTAGGGTTTAGGGTTTAGGGTTTAGGGTTGAGGGTTGAGGGTTGAGGGTTTAGGGGCTTAGGGTTCCTGAACTCGCGCACTCCGAAACCCCTTTGCCACCCCTCAATCCCGTAACCCTGCAGACCTCTCTCTTTTCCAGGCATCCCTAAACCCCAAACCCTAAACCCTAAACCCCCTTGCGGATGGGATTAGAAGCCCTTTTTGAAACCGGACTTGGATTAGAAGCCGTAAACCCTAAACCCAAAACCCCAAACCCTCAACCCCACACCCTGCATCGCCTCGCGCGCGCGCGCGCCTGCGCGCGCTCGCTCGCAGGCCAGTGTGAGATTCCTAAACCCGTGTCAGACCGAATTTTCCTAAACCCCCCTGAGCCCCCACACAGCATTTCAAACCAATCACCCTAAACTATAAAGCCTAAACCCAAGTACCTTAAACTCAATTACCCTAAAGCCCTAACTGCTAAGGGGCTCTCATGCCCGCACTTCGGACTTCGCTAGAGTCAGTTGAGGTTCCTGGTTTCAGGGTTTCGGGGATTTCAAGGAAGGGTTTCGGGTTAGGGTTTAGGGCTTAGGGCTTAGGGCTTAGGGTTTAGGGTTTAGGGTTTAGGGTTTAGGGTTTAGGGTTTAGGGTTTACGGTTTACGGCGTAGGGCTTGGGCTTAGGGCTTAGGGCAGGAGCCAGGAAGGAAACCGGGTTGAAAGGTTTAGGGGTTCAGGGGTTTGTTCAAGTTTGTTCTGGAATTCGGCCCTGTTCCGAATTTGTTGCGACAGGGCTTGGGGCCGAGGGCATTTCTTATAGGACTCAAGCTGCAAAATGCCGCCGGGCGAACTCAGGGCTGGGATTTCTTCTTGGGCCGCCTCAGCCTAGAAACCCATTTTTTTCAGACTGGAACTGAGGCCAGCCCAGAAACCCTAAACCCGAAACCCTAAACCCTAAACCCTAAACCCTAAACCCTAAACCCTAAACCCTAAACCCTAAACTAAGTTGAACCCTGGGCTGCCTCCAGCTGCCCCCGGCGGGTTAGCAGAAAGTTCTGCGAGAGGTGGCCGCGGATGGCATAGCAGAGCACCTGACATGGCTGGACTGTGGGTGTCGGGCTGCGGGGTCCAGAGGTCGGAATCCCGGCTCAGGGTCGAAAACCCTCCATTTCGAGGAAGTGCACTTCCTTCTTACCCTAAACCCTAAACCCTAAACCTTAAACCCTAAACCCTAAACCCTAAAACCCCCTCTCTGCATCAGCGTTCCTCGGCCAATGTGAGCTGGAATCCAGACATTTTCAGATCCAACCTTTCAAGCCTCAACTTGTGAACGTCTCCGCAGTCAGCCTGTGGTACCCTTTGAGGCGTACGCTCAACTATGTGATCCTAAGCCCTAAACCCTAAACCCTAAACCCTAAACCCTAAACCCTAAACCCTAAACCCTAAACCCTAAACCCTAAACCCTAAACCCTAAACCCTAAACCCTAAACCCTAAACCCTAAACCCTAAACCCTAAATTAAATTCCGAAATAAGGCAGAAGGGATGCTGGGCTCTCTGGGTCTAAGCTGCACATGCAGCCTTGAAGTCGGCCCCCGACCAGAATGGCTGGGCCAAGGGTCCTACTTGAAGGTTCATGGGTCGTGATATGGGTTTAGGGTTTAGGGTTTAGGGTTTAGGGTTTAGGGTTTAAGGTGGGGCTAAGTTCTAAGCAGGGTAACCATGAAAATAACGGGTTCTAACCTTATTTGGGGTACTTATAGCCCTACTTATAACCACCCATGAACCTCCAAGTAGGGTTGAGGGTTCTTCAAACCCTCAGCTCGCGATGCGCCGGCACAGAGCGCAGGGCCCCACCTCCACGCTGAGCAAGGCAATGGGACCGCTGCAAAGTACCTCTCTGCGATGGGTCGGGCCCCTACTTGGAGGTTTACGGGTACTCATACGTAGGGTTACAAGTCTGGTAACTATGGTCATAAGTGATAACCTGTTTTAGGGTACTTATGAAGCCCACTTATGAGCACCCGTGAACCTTCTCAAGTACATCCAGGAACCCAAAAACCCGTCTAAACCGAACAGAAACCCTCCCGCAAGAACCCCAAGCCGCGTCCCCGCCTCGGCAAGACTGGAGCCCAGGCGTCGGGACCCGCCCCTCAGCCGGCCTTTAGGTTTTAGGGTTTAGGGTTTAGGGTTTAGGGTTTAGGGTTTACGGTTTAGGGGGGGGGGAGGGTTTTTTGGGGGACCGCGTGTCTTGGGCATTTCTGGGCCTCGTGCGCTGAAAGATTTAGAGCTTCGGACCCACTCACAAGCAGCCCCTTACCAAAAGCTACACCAGCTGCGTCCGATGAACGTTTTCAAAGCCCAGTAACCCTTAATTCAGGAAAAAAACTTTATAAGTCTGAAACATAGGATGCCTTAAGCATGTTGCTTCAATACGGCTTCCTTGGGCTCTCTGTGACGGGAACTTCGCCAAGGTGCCCTAAACCCCAAACCCTAAACCCCAAACCCTAATACCCTAAACCCTAAACCCTAAACCCTAAACCTGCCTGCCAGGCGGTCAAGGCCCAGAAGCTGCAGTTGAAACACCGGGAGGGACAAAGCCACCTGGGGTTTAGGGTTTAGGGTTTGGGGTTTAGGGTTTAGGGTTTAGGGTTTAGGGTTTGTTTAGGGTTTCGGCTCGCGCACTAGCACATGCAGGGAGGGTGTAGGGTTGAGGGTTCAGGGTTCAGGGTTTAAGGTTTAGGGTTCAGGGACCTTCCGAGGGTAGTTATATGGCCCCTGAATGTGGCCCCCTTAAGTCCCTCAAAGGGTTTTTGAAGTATGGGCCCTTGGGCTGTATAGGTTTTATAGGGTATATAAAGGGAAAGGTATATAAATGTCCCCACTCCCTAACCCATTTGGGCCGATTCGCATGGCGTGCTGGGGCTCTCGCGGTTCAGGATTCTAGGGGTGCATCGCTTCGCACGGCACTGTGCGAGGGGCACCGGCCACAAGAATTTCAGGCTTTCCAGCCCTCCGCCTCGAGGGGGCTGCCTCCAAAGAAGTGCTGGAGCGTCCCACCCGCGTCCACTGCGGCAAAAAGGACGACGAAGCCTGAAGTGGGCAGCAAGAGCGGTTGAAGTGCAGCTGACGAGGGGATGGATGGGAGATTAAAGCCTGGATGCCTACATTCGGGGCATGCAAACGGATAAAGGAACCTCGACCAGAGGTGAGGAAAAATCTGCCTGGTGTCCCCCCTCGTCGCACCCGACACCACCACTGCTGAGCATGTCACTAAAACCTACAAGCAACTACGCACCAGGATTACGGCGACAGCGAAGCCACCGGTACTCATGCCCTGTCGCGGCGCCGCTATGCGCAAAGAGCACCTACGACAAACTGACTCGCAGACTGGCATGTCAGGTGCGCCATTGGCAAGCGTCCCGACAGTGTGAAATCCGTTGTGCATCCAATATGAAATCCCTGTTTTCTAGAACCCTGCGACTCCACACGTCCACATGACCCCAACCAGGGAAGGGTGCTCCCGGCACCAGCACACATACGCACATAAACACATGTGGCCAAAAAACAACTGACTCCGGCTTCTTTGGAACTTTCTCGCGAACCCTAAACCCTAAACCCTAAACCCTAAACCCTAAACCCTAAACCCTAAACCCTAAACCCTAAACCCTAAACCCTAAACCCTGAACCCTGAACCCTAACCCTAAACCCTAAACCCTGAACCCTGAACCCTGAATGCCCGAACCCGAAAAGCGCGGCCCCAGCTGCCCAAGCACACCGTGGCTGCTTCAGGAAGTGGGCGCTCCAGACCCAAGCTGGCACGGAGGGTTTAGGGTTTAGGGTTTAGGGTTAGTCTAGGATTCAAAGTATTCCCTAGACCGTAAGCCCTAAACCCTACACCCCAACCTAGGGCGGGCTGTCGGGTTTGGGGCGATTTATGGAGTCCTTTGCGAGATCCCTTCATGAAGCCCCAAAGTGCTTTGTACCTTGTCCTTCAAGTTTCAGTTGCATTTTCAGTTGGGGGGTCGCGGGTTTTTCACGCCACCCGAAGTCTCTAAACTTGTGTCTGGTTTGGCTTCCTACACTTACTATAACCACGGAGGCATCATACTTCTCCGTAGGGCCAAAACCGGGGCCCCTGAACCCCGATCCCCAAACACTGGAAGCCCTGGCCCGGCGCTGCCTCTCCGACCCTTCCTCGGAGCCGTCTTGAAGCAGCGCCACCTTCATCATCATCATCATCAGCAGCAGCATCATCAGCATCATCATCCTCAGCAGCAGCAGCAGCAGCAGCATCATCATCCTCATCATCCTCATCACCACCATGATCATCATCATCATCATCATCATCATCATCATCATCATCATCATCATCTGAGGGTTAGGAAAATATCAGGGGCCCCTAATACACACCCCCAAGTAGTACGATTCCCCTACAATGAGGACCACAATGAGGTACACCTATTTTCGGAAGACCCAAGAGTAACCTAGGAAGAAACTAGGGTGCACGTGTTTTGGTTTAAAGGGGCTGATGAGGGAACCTAAGCCCCAAAAAAGGGAATAAGGGCCTGCTCTGGGTCCTAGGATATATACACATGGACATACACATCCACACATATGCATATATACAGCTATGCATCCATTCATATACAGAGGCAGAGACATACCCGCATACCCCACATGTCCACCTGCCCACATACATAAACACATATACACATACACATACACATACGCACAAAATATGTGGTTCTCTTCTTGCTTTTTTGGTAGAGGCTTGTGCAGGCTTGGAGCATCCTGGTTTGGGGTCAAGGGACGTTTTGATCCCCAAGACGAGTACATTTATGACTCTTGATTGGCCCCAGAGAGGCATGGGCCGAACTGAAGATAGACACAAGTCGTCTGAAGGGGTGTGCTGCACCGACGCAGCAATCATCAGCACAAATGCGCTGATGTCAGCCAGAACCCTATTAGAAGCAGCTCTGATGGGCATGTAAGCTCTCCGGCATCAGCAGACCAGCCACGCTGCAAGACACAGCAGGGTTCAGGTTTTTATTTTGAGGGTTCCGGGTTTTCGGGCCTCTCAATGCCTGAAGTTCCCACTCGAATTTACATAGGGGAAGGACAAGAAGGGCCCGGCGCCGCAAAACGCGCCCAAAAGCTTTGCCGGCCTGGAGCAAACCGTAGAGTCCCAGGAAGAAGCCCATGGCAGGGAGGACGTACACCTAGGGTTTGGGCTTGGCTTCTGCGTAGGGTTTACGGCTTTGGGTTTAGGTGGGAAACCACTCAAGCTCCGTGGGGTTGGGATTTCTACTGCATGCTCTGGGGTTTGGGGTTTATCGCTTATACCTTCAACTCTAGCTACGCAGGGGTTCTCATGTGTTTGACATACGGACTGTTACCCTAAACCCTACCCCTGAGCCCTAAACCCTAAAGGCACTGGTAGGCTCCAAAAGCAGTGGTGAGCTCCGACGTCCTGCTCGCAGATATCCCTCAGCCCTAAACCTAAACCCTAAACCCTAAACCCTTTGCAACAGGAAAACCCCAAACACTTTTTTGAAATCTCGAAAGAATGACCTGAGTTCTTGGAGCCCCGAATGGACCCTGTCACTACCTGGCACGCCACGAACGGCCCTTGCATGTTGAGTTTTTGTAGTGGGGTAACAAGAGCTGGGCCCAGGCCGGAAAAAAAAAAAGTCTCAAGCCGGGGCCGTGAGAAGGAAGCACCACCGTCACGTAAACCCTAAACCCTAACCCCTAAACCCTCAAACCCTAAACCCCTAAATCTCATGAGCAATCTGAGCCATCGGCCCAAAAGGGGGTGGTCCGCTGCCTCGCCATGTCCTTAGCTGGCCAGAGTGGGGGGCGGAAGAGCCGGACATGGAACCCTGAATATGAGCAGAACTTCTTGTGATCTTGGGATTAGGGTTTAAGGTTTAGGGTTTAGGGTTTCGGGCTTAGGGTTTAGGATGTTCCCCCGTATACTCACAGCCCTTGATCGGGATTAATAGCGGGCACTAGAACCCCTCTAAGGGGGAACATCCCAATTGTGACCCCTTATGGAAGGACCCTAGTGCTCCGAGTGTCGAGGCTGCTGCGGAGCACGAAGAAGAACAAGGCAGACACCGTCACCGCCTCAGGGACGACCACGGGCCCGAGGCCGTGCGCGCTTCGGAGGCTTCTTTGCAAAGCTTAGCGGTTTAGGGTTTAGGGTTTAGGGTTTAGGGTTTAGGGTTTAGGGTTTAGGGTTTAGGGTTTCGGGTTTAGGGTTTAGGGTTTAGGGTTTAGGGTTTACGGGCTTCGGGGTTTAGGGGTCAAGGCGCTGGCCTTGGGGCAGGACAGTGCCAGCAGTCCCTCTGTCCCCAACCCTGACCTAGACCTTCTCAAACGCCCAACCTAAACCCTAAACCCTAAACCCCAAACCCTGCGCCATCAGCTGCATCCCATCCTACCTAACAAAAGCCTCGTCTTCCGAGTGCGGCAGCTACAGGAATGGGGCCTCCTGGAGCCCAAGGGTCCTTCCGCGCCTGATGTCTGGGGAGAGATACAATCCTGCATGGACAGCTTAGGGGGCAGGAGCGTCTTCTTTTGAGCCTTCTGATTCGCGTGCTCTGAAAGCCGTATCGCGCACGAAGGGAGAAACTTCATCAGTATGACGCACGGCCTGGCCCCAGGCCCATCCCACTCGATGATATTCTTTCCATCAGAAGCTGGAAGATCTCGTTATGTCCATGGACCTGTGCCTCTGCTAGGAGCAGAGGCTCCGCGGGGGCGCCGGACTCGAGCAGTTCGCCCACAATCGTCGTGTGACCCCCCCGAACAGCTTCGTGGAGAGTGAAGCCACCCACGTTGGCGCGGGCCTTCAACAACTCGTGCACAACTGGTGCGTGACCAGCCTTGGCTGCCAGGAACAGGGGTGTGGCGCGACCTGGCAAGCACGCTCCATCACTGTCATTGTCCAGACTGGCTCGAACTTCCATTAGCACGCGCACAACCTCCAAATGACCCATGGCAGCTGCCTCGCAAATAGGTGTGCGAATGGCTGGGATTTCTTTCCGAGCACCGGCCTCCAGCAGCAGTTGAACGATGTCCACATGGCCATGACGTGATGCCGCGACCAGGGGCGATGGTCCCTGGCCTTCCTTCTCGGTTAAATCCGGGTCTTGCGGTCGGCGCAGAAGCCTGTCGACCTCGCTCGCTGTGCCACTGCCAGCTGCAGCAACAAGCCTTGCCCGATCTGCTGCGGAAGGACTCGACCTCACGACCCTAAACCCTAAACCCTAAACCCTAAACCCTAAACCCTAAACAGAGCATCCCTTGACTTGCCAAAGAAACCACATCCCGAGGATCTTCGGTCCCCCAAAGCGCTTGCTCATTGGCGGCCACCCTAAACTCATATACGATCGTGAACAAGAGAGGACCTCTAATCCTACACCCCTTTGAACGCTAAACCACAAAAACATCCTATAAACCCTAAACCCCGAACCACTGAACCCTAACCTCCTTCCCCCAAACCCTCTGAGCCCCAGAACCCTACTAAACCCTAAACCCTAAACCCTAAACCCTAAACCCTAAACCCTAAACCCTAGACCAGGAGGCAAGGGAAGCAAGACCAACTGAAGGTCCATCGCAGACTCGAGCTTGACCTTGTCCTCCAGAACCTCGCCACCGCACAGGAGCTGCTGTCGAAATCGTGGAAGCCCGCATCTGGGGTTCATAGTGGGGGGGATGGGGTTTAGGGTTTAGGGTTTAGGGTTTAGGGTTTAGGGTTTAGGGTTTAGGGTTTAGGGCATAGGGTTCAGAGGGTTTAGAGGGTTTAGAGGGTTTAGAGGGTTCATAGTTTAGGGTTTGGGATTTAGGGTTTCTGCAGGGTTTAGGCTTTAGGGTTTAGATTGGTTTTGGGTTCCCGAGATTTCTTGAACTGCACCAATTGCCCTTGAGACACGGATCTCTAAACTCTGCGCGGGGCCGTTCGGCGACCTCCATTCTAGGCCAACACCCCCCACTTGGACTTAGTTGTCCAGTACCTAGGGGAACTAAAGGTGCTAACCTTTGGGATTATAAGGGGGTTATATAACCCAAAAAGGTTAAAGGTTGCATACTCTACTACTAAGTGGAGAGTCAAGACACAAGCCTTTCAGATGGTTCTTCAGGGCTTGCACATCCGCAAAGTCCTCCGCCGGCAACGAGGCCAACTCATCCCCCGACACAGCAAAAACACGCAGCATCTTGCACAGCGCGTGGACTCGGGTTCTCTTATTCCCCCTAAACCCTAAACCCTAAACCCTAAACCCTAAACCCTCAACCCTAAACCCTAAACCCTAAACCCTAAACCCTAAACCCTAAACCCTAAGCCCTAAGCCCTAAGCCCTAAGCCCTAAACCCTAAACCCCAAGGGCTTTGCGGGGGTCAGGCTCGGGGGCTTTCGGCTTTCGGAAGTTGCGCTGCGAGCCTGGCACTGCGGTGAAGGAAGGGCTGCTGATGACTCATCTCTCCCTTTGGGCCTTTGGGTTTGGGGTTTAGGGTTTAGGGTTTAGGGTTTAGGTTTTAGGGTTTATATAGGGTTTAGGGTTTAGGGCTTAGGGCTTAGGGCTTAGGGTTTAGGGTTGTTTTTGTTCGTCTTAAGTAGAGGCTCTAGCTCTTTCATCGCATGCTGTAGGGAGCAGGGGGCTTCAAACTCAGGTCGTGCATCGACTCCTCTTTTGAGATTTCGGGCTTGCCGCGCCCGCGTTCTCGCCATTGTCGGAGGAGTTCGACTTGCAAGTTCAGAGTCCTCAGCGATTCTGTTCATTGCTGAGCTCGTCTTTCCAAAACCCTGCACACGATGTGAAGGTTGCCCCTTCCACGTTCAAAAAGATCATGGCCCAGAAGGCTGTGAAACATTTGATTGCTTCGGATGTAGCAACCTCGTCAGGCGAACTTGTGGCCTCACGAGCACTACCCCACTCGAGCCCTAAAGGCGAAGCAAAAGTCAAAGAACCAGCAACCCGAGGGCGCAGAGGCCGCAGAGGTTGGTGAGGTAAGCCTTGCTACCGTGATTTGCATTCTCCATGCCGCCACTGGAGGTGCTGCTTCCACTGCTTCCACTGGTAGTGCTGGTAGTGGTGCTCGCATCGTCTCCAGCAGAGGCGTCATCTCCACTGGTGGTCGTGGTCGTGGTCGTGGTAGTGGAAGTGGCAGCGGCATCGGCATCTCCGCTGGTCGTGTCGCTCGTGGGATCTCCGTCGGTAGTTGTGACATCACCTGTGCTTGTCTCCTCAAAGTCTGAGTAGCTCATCAGCGGGTCGTAGATGAGCGTGTCAGTCGCTGCGAAATTGGCGCGCGGAAACTGCAGCACCAGCACCGTAGTGCGCTTGGTGGCCTGGGTGCCGGGAGGCGGATCGATGGTAAGCGTTGGATTTTCCGGCAACGTGAACTGTGTCACAGCGCCACTCCCATTGCGGATCATGTAGGTGTTGAGCACGGATAGAAACACACCCCCCAAGTCCTCGACGGCGCCGTTCTCGCAAGAACCATCTGTGCACCCAGAGAGACGCCTCGAGGAGTTACCTGAATTAGTGGTCGTCACGTTAGCTGAAGTGTTCAAATCGCTCGCCGTGGATGTGGTGGTTGTAGCATTGCTTGTCACCGAATCGGTGACTGTGGATGTCGTGGTTGTTGCATTGCTTGTCACCGAATCGGTGACTGTGGATGTCGTGGTTGTGGCGTTGGTGACTGCATCGGTCGCCGTGGATGTTGCAGTCGTGGCGCTGGCTGTCACCGACTCGGTCGCCGTGGTTGTGGCGCTGTCTGTCTCTGTCACCTGGTTGATCATCTTGATCGTCAGGCGCACGGAACTTCCGACTCCATCTGCTGCTTTGCAGTTGTTTTCGCACCAGTTCCACTGACTCATCTTCACGTTGAACTTCACGGTTCCTTTGGCGACTGTCGGATAGATGAATGTACCATCAGGGTTCTCGAACTTCAAGATGGCGTCCTCCTTGAAGATGATCGACTCAATCTCGAGCTTGGAATCCGTCGCTGCATTTCCACTCCCTAGGTAGCTGGTGAAGGACACCGTGGTGACATTGTAGTCTTTGGGCAGGTATCCTCCGCCTGGGCCATCAGGGACCAGACCGAGAGCTGCTGCCTCGTCCCTCTCCACGCCCGCAATCGTGCTTTCCATGGGAGTCCCGAAGGTAAACGACTGTGTGGCAAAGCTGTTGAAGGAATGCTTGGCGTTTCCCCCACCACCCAGGACGGTGCCGTCGGCGGCTAACTCCTGAAGGCTGTCCATCTCGATCTGCACCCGATCGTCAGCCGATCCTACGGGTTCGGATGTGGCGAAGGTCATCTTGCCACTTTGCCCCTGGATCTTCATGAAGATGCCACCGCCGCTGAGGCCCTGATCACCACGCACGAACATGCCAAAAGCCGCAGCAAGGTACAGCTGCAAACTTCTGGCCATCGCACCCCAGCCACCTTGGGCAGAGTCGACGCACACGCCTCAGCTCTCAAGCCTTGGGCCCAAATTCTCCATGAACGTGTCCGTTTGGGATGGTTCCCCCTTCTACGAACAGTCCTTAAAAAGGGATTCTGATAGGGGGTACTATGATCAGTCCTTAAAAAGGGGGTCTGATAGGGGGTACTATGATCCCTGCTCAGGACTGTGAGTCTAAGGGGAGCTTCCCAACTGTCCATCCATCTGTGGCTGGGCAGCACAAGGGGTAACTTGATTATGGTAGAGAGCAACAAGGGGGGTTATAATATAGGGGTACAGGAGACTTGTGGTTTAGGGCATAGGGTTATAGTGCAAAGGTCCACACGCATACCACAGAAAGGGGAGGGCAGTCTCTATCGTGAGGTCACCGCACAGACATGGTTTAGGGTTTAGGGTTTAGGGTTCAGGGTTTAGGGTTTAGGGTTTAGGGTTTAGGGTTTAGGGTTTAGGGTTTAGGGTTTAGGGTTTAGGGTTTAGGGTTTAGGGTTTAGGGTTTAGGGTTTAGGGTTTAGGGTTTAGGGTTTAGGGTTTAGGGTTTAGGGTTTAGGGTTTAGGGTTTAGGGTTTAGGGTTTAGGGTTTAGGGTTTAGGGGCCCATGATTGGGCATGCATGAATCTGGGGAGCGCGCCAGCGTGTGGCTCAGCAGGGGCCTGCGGCCAAGTCCCGCAAAGGCCGGGCAAACTTCAGGTTCAAGGGTTTCAGGTCCAGCTGTGAACAGAAGTGCAGAAAAGAAACCCTAAACCCTAAAACCCTTAAACCCTAAAACCCTTAAACCCCTAAACCCCTAAACCCCTAAACCCTTGAACCCCTAAACCCCTAAAACCCTAAACCCCTAAACCCTCAAACCCCTAAACCCCTAAACCCCTAAACCCCTAAACCCCTAAACCCCTAAACCCCTAAACCCCTAAACCCCTAAACCCTTAAACCCTAAACCCGGCCAAACCCCCATGTCCAGGTCTTGGGCCATCTGAGGTCGCCGCTTCAAGGCGCCAAACTTCTTTGACCATGAAGCGCCTCACTTCACAAAGGACTCGCATGTCAGGCGACTGCCCTGTGAAACCCTGTGAGAAAAGATTCCTCAAGAAGGTTCTCCTTTTAAATAAGGTTCTCCTAAACTTCGAGGTGAAACATCGAATATCTCAAACAACTAGCATGGCGTCGAAGAAGTTGAATGGTGCTTTTGCCGGGGTCAACTAATGGAGTTTTTGAGTCCGGTGCGAGCCTGCCAAGAGCCTGTAGGGAAGACTGGGCAATTCCACACCAGGGCTTCTCGAAACTAGGGCCCCTTTTGGGGCCACAGCACCAAACATGCAGGGTACCCACAAAAAAATTCCGAAAAATTGCCACATAGAGTCTGCGCATGCAAGTAGACCACTGCGTCGAACCCTGTGCATCGTTGCAAGCAAAAGCAGTGGCCACAGAGCAGGTAGACGAAACTGGCCACAAGCCTTCTGCAAGCCAGCTACGCATGGGTGTTCGGGTTTAAGGTGTTTGGGGTTTAGGGTTTAGGGTTTACCTGAACCCTAAACCCTAAACCCTAAACCCTAAACCCTAAACCCTAAACCCTAAACCCTAAACCCTAAACCCTAAACCCTAGGGGTTCGAGCCGAGGCTCAGTATCTATCCGATCCCCTGAGCCCTGCAAGCCCCTGGCCTTAACGATGAGCTGAAAGACGAAAAGGAAGAAAGAATCCAGGCTACTTGGGATGCTCATACTTGAAGGTTCATGGGTAGTTCTAAGTGGGGTTTTAAGCTTAAAGCACCTGAGAATCGCCCTTATACTAGCAGTCCTTCATTGGGATTATCGTACCCCGATTGTGATGCCTATTAAGGGCTGTTAGTACAAGGGGGAAATTCCCAACAGACTACCGCAAACCCCAAACCCTGAACCCTTTTTGCAACTAAACCCTAAACCCTAAACAAACCCCATACTTGCTGGTTTTCACGAGTCGACTGCTGCCCTTATTGCCTATACTTGCTGGCGGTAGTATGCTCTCAATGGGGAATTAGGGGATTAGGTTTCTGAAGAGCATTTGTACGGGAAATACGGTACCCAACTCTCCCACATCCGATCAGGGACTAGTAAGTATTGGCCGAATGTGAAAACAATCACTTAAAGCTGCGGTGCTCATCCTACTTTTAACCCTCCGCCCTCTTTTTGCATCCAGGCCTTTTCCTCCTAAACCCTTTCGCAGCAGGCTTTGGAAGGTTACTCCCGGACATGTACAGGCCATACGGTTTTCACACAGCAGGAGGTAAACCCTAAACCCTAAACCCTAAACCCTTTTGCATCCGGGCTTGGGAAGTCGGCCGGGGAAACCCTAAACCCTAAACCCTAAGCCCTAAACCCTAAACCCTCCTCCCAACCAAGGCCCGCGCGGCTTAGGGCGGTGCAGACTACAGCCCCGACGAGTACGGCACAGGCCTGGGCGGTGAAGATGCTTTACTTGAAGGTTCATGGGAAATTACAAGTGGGGTTAGGGTATTTTGGGTTTAGGGTTTATAGGGTTATGGGGTTTAGGGCTTAGGTTTTAAATGTGTATAACTGGCTAGATAACCTTATTCAGGGTACTTATAACCCACTTATAGCCACCCATGAACCTCCAAGTAGGGCTTAGGATGCTTCAGGGCTTAGTCTGGCTTTGGGACATACGGGTTTAGGGCCCTAGGGTCTAGGGTTTCCTCGGCGCTGTCTCTGACATCTGAGCAACTGAGCCCTGGTGTTTCTGCTTTAGGGTTTAGGGTTTGGGGTTTGGGGATGTCTGGGGTTTGGGTTCAAGGTTCAGGGCTCAGGGTTCGGGGTTCAGGGTTTAGGGTTCAGGGCGGGGGTTCCGTTTGGCGACGCGACAGGTCCCTCTTGCTGAACCCTAAACCCCAACCTTAAACCCTGCAACCTCAGAGGGTACTTCCAGGACGGGGACTAGTAAGCTTCGTTTTGGCAGACTGCATGGCAGCTACGAGCTTAAGATGTTTAGGGTTTAGGGTTTAGGGTTTAGGGTTTAGGGTTTAGGGTTTAGGGTTTAGGGTTTAGGGTTTAGGGTTTAGGGTACGGGGGGCAACCGAAGGAGGACAGGGAACAAAACAGTCAACCCCAACAGAAGCCCTTGATCCCCTGGACCAACCAACACCAAACCAACCCAAAACACCAAGCACCCTTTGTTCTCGAGGCGCATGGCCCGATCTTGAGCCAAAATGGTTACCGGGTGCATTGACCCTTTAACTTCCAACAACTTCTTTTCTACAATACCAACTGCAGCTCCGCACTCCCCCTGTCCTAGGATTTCCTAGGACACATTGGAGGTGCAGACCTTTGGCCAAAAACCGCCATTTAGGCAGCAGCCAGCTGCTTGAAATGCACATTATGGTTTTACGTCATCCAGGACGAACCTGCAGCTCATTGGCCGAATCCCTTACCATTGAGGATTTCTTCACCTCGCACTTGAAAAAACTCACGTTCCAGCGGCCCGTTCCTCACCAAGGAACTCAGCATTCACCACCCAGCCATCCTTGAGGCAATGCTTACAAAGCGTCTTAGCCCTGGGCTGTGAATATCGCAGAACATCACAGTCACTGCTTGCGTGCATACAGTTCCCACCCACTGTTGTATACAAAGTGGCACTCGCAGGAATAACCGCCACTTTCTTAACCCACAGCCTTTTATACAGCTGCCGAAAGAGGCACCATGCTAATTCCCAGAGTATAATTGCTGCCACCAAATACGCAACAAGGTCTGAATTGTTGATAACCATTTCAATACCTTGAGCCAGAACCATAACCGTAGATGTGTTGGCGACCTTGCACACCCCTTTTTCCGAGCAAAAGAAACCAGCATTTGACACTTCTTCTCCACCAGTTGCCATCCCTTGCAGAGATGCAGCCACCATCATGACCGCCATTGCAAGCGAGGCCCTCTTCAAGTCAGTTCCTCGTACCAACAGTCGGAGACCCCAAAGTGCCTTTTGCTTTGCATACACCTGTCCACTCATCAATTTGGTCAACAGGTCAGCGATCATATACTCACCGCGAAGGTGCGCGATCACCATATAACCACGGTCTACCAGAGACCTGACACCGGCTGCTCGAATTCTCAGGTGTCTTGTCCTCCAGCTTCCAGCCGGATATTGAATGATTGAGCATGTCGAAACCGAATCTGTATACAGCACTTTTTGCAGCGATTCTTCACCTGTTCCAACCAAAGCGGCAATTATAGGGGTGCACGACTGAATCATCGTTGCTCCCTCTATGGACGCATGTAATTCAGCTTCAGGCTTCAGCAGTACTTAAAGCCACCGTTGATTGTCTCTGTGTTGCCCACATCACTGGACAATCACCCCAAACCACCACCGCTCCTGAGTGGCTCTTTTCGTTTTCACCTGCTGCAAAGCTAGCATCCGCGTAGGACTCCACCACCTTGACGCCTCGCCCATAACGCAACACCTCATTCCTTTCTTTTTCGCATGTTGCGATTGCTCCAAACGTCAGGCCTAACGTTGGAGTTGCAGCAAGGTATCGAAATACCTCCTCAGCCTTTTTAACCACAAATCGCGGCCTTCGGGATGTCCACAAAGACAACTGGCTTGTGCAGAAAGCCAAATCAGGTCGAGTTTTGATTGCCACCCAGAGGAACTCCCCTACGGCACCTTGAGCCGCTCGCAAGGAAGGAATATCCACCTCCTCTTCTTCACCTGGAGTTTCTTTCACCATTGGCAGGTTACTACCTTTTCCAGTTTCATCAATCTGATACCCTCTTCGGTTCAGCAAATCTCTCACGAAGTCCTCCTGGTTGAGAAAGAAGCTGCCATTTCGATACCAGATTTGGACACCCAAAAACTTCAGGAATCCATCACCACAGCCTGGACCACAGAACTCGGGTTCAGAAGTTTTCCACTCCTTCCTGATCTGTTCCAAGGCTTCCCGGAGCACTGTCATAGTCCCAGCCATCAAAAAATCATCCACGTAAAGACCCA